CAGTTGGATGGATCAGTATTAAGATGGATGATTATTGCAGTTGGATGGATCAGTATTAAGATGGATGATTATTGCAGTTGGATGGATCAGTATTAATATTGATGATTATTGCAGTTGGATGGATCAGTATTAAGATGGATGATTATTGCAGTTGGATGGATCAGTTTTAAGATGGATGATTATTGCAGTTGGATGGATCAGTTTTAATATGGATGATTAGTGCAGTTGGATGGATCAGTATTAAGATGGATGATTATTGCAGTTGGATGGATCAGTATTAATATTGATGATTATTGCAGTTGGATGGATCAGTATTAAGATGGATGATTATTGCAGTTGGATGGATCAGTATTAATATTGATGATTATTGCAGTTGGATGGATCAGTATTAAGATGGATGATTATTGCAGTTGGATGGATCAGTATTAAGATAGATGATTATTGCAGTTGGATGGATCAGTTTTAAGATGGATGATTATTGCAGTTGGTTGGATCAGTATTAAGATGGATGATTATTGCAGTTGGATGGATCAGTTTTAAGATGGATGATTATTGCAGTTGGATGGATCAGTATGAAGATGGATGATTATTGCAGTTGGATGGATCAGTATTAAGATGGATGATTATTGCAGTTGGATGGATCAGTATTAAGATGGATGATTATTGCAGTCGGATGGATCAGTATTAAGATGGATGATTATTGCAGTTGGATGGATCAGTATTAATGTTGATGATTATTGCAGTTGGATGGATCAGTATTAAGATGGATGATTATTGCAGTTGGATGGATCAGTATTAAGATGGATGATTATTGCAGTTGGATGGATCAGTTTTAAGATGGATGATTATTGCAGTTGGATGGATCAGTATTAAGATGGATGATTATTGCAGTTGGATGGATCAGTATTAAGATGGATGATTATTGCAGTTGGATGGATCAGTATTAAGATGGATGATTATTGCAGTTGGATGGATCAGTATTAATATTGATGATTATTGCAGTTGGGTGGATCAGTATTAAGATGGATGATTATTGCAGTTGGATGGATCAGTATTAAGATGGATGATTATTGCAGTTGGATGGATCAGTATTAATATTGATGATTATTGCAGTTGGGTGGATCAGTATTAAGATGGATGATTATTGCAGTTGGATGGATCAGTTTTAAGATGGATGATTAGTGCAGTTTGATGGATCAGTAATAATATTGATGATTATTGCAGTTGGGTGGATCAGTATTAAGATGGATGATTATTGCAGTTGGATGGATCAGTTTTAAGATGGATGATTAGTGCAGTTGGATGGATCAGTGTGAAGATGGATGATTATTGCAGTTGGATGGATCAGTATTAAGATGGATGATTATTGCAGTTGGATGGATCAGTGTGAAGATGGATGATTATTGCAGTTGGATGGATTAGTATTAAGATGGATGATTAGTACAGTTGGATGGATCAGTATGAAGATAGATGATTATTGCAGTTGGATGGATTAGTATTAAGATGGATGATTATTGCAGTTGGTTGGATCAGTATTATGATGGATGATTATTGCAGTTGGATGGATCAGTTTTAAGATGGATGATTATTGCAGTTGGATGGATCAGTATGAAGATGGATGATTATTGCAGTTGGATGGATCAGTATTAAGATGGATGATTATTGCAGTTGGATGGATCAGTATTAAGATGGATGATTATTGCAGTCGGATGGATCAGTATTAAGATGGATGATTATTGCAGTTGGATGGATCAGTATTAATGTTGATGATTATTGCAGTTGGATGGATCAGTATTAAGATGGATGATTATTGCAGTTGGATGGATCAGTTTTAAGATGGATGATTATTGCAGTTGGATGGATCAGTATTAAGATGGATGATTATTGCAGTTGGATGGATCAGTTTTAAGATGGATGATTATTGCAGTTGGATGGATCAGTATTAAGATGGATGATTATTGCAGTTGGATGGATCAGTATTAAGATGGATGATTATTGCAGTTGGATGGATCAGTATTAATATTGATGATTATTGCAGTTGGGTGGATCAGTATTAAGATGGATGATTATTGCAGTTGGATGGATCAGTTTTAAGATGGATTATTAGTGCAGTTTGATGGATCAGTAATAATATTGATGATTATTGCAGTTGGGTGGATCAGTATTAAGAGGGATGATTATTGCAGTTGGATGGATCAGTTTTAAGATGGATGATTAGTGCAGTTGGATGGATCAGTGTGAAGATGGATGATTATTGCAGTTGGATGGATCAGTATTAAGATGGATGATTATTGCAGTTGGATGGATCAGTGTGAAGATGGATGATTATTGCAGTTGGATGGATTAGTATTAAGATGGATGATTAGTACAGTTGGATGGATCAGTATGAAGATAGATGATTATTGCAGTTGGATGGATTAGTATTAAGATGGATGATTATTGCAGTTGGATGGATTAGTATTAAGATGGATGATTAGTGCAGTTGGATGGATCAGTGTGAAGATGGATGATTATTGCAGTTGGATGGATCAGTATTAAGATGGATGATTAGTGCAGTTGGATGGATCAGTATGAAGATAGATGATTATTGCAGTTGGATGGATTAGTATTAAGATGGATGATTATTGCAGTTGGATGAATCAGTATTAAGATGGATGATTATTGCAGTTGGATGGATCAGTTTTAAGATGGATGATTATTGCAGTTGGATGGATCAGTATTAAGATGGATGATTATTGCAGTTGGATGGATCAGTATTAAGATGGATGATTATTGCAGTTGGATGGATCAGTATTAAGATGGATGATTATTGCAGTTGGATGGATCAGTATTAATATTGATGATTATTGCAGTTGGGTGGATCAGTATTAAGATGGATGATTATTGCAGTTGGATGGATCAGTTTTAAGATGGATGATTAGTGCAGTTTGATGGATCAGTAATAATATTGATGATTATTGCAGTTGGGTGGATCAGTATTAAGATGGATGATTATTGCAGTTGGATGGATCAGTTTTAAGATGGATGATTAGTGCAGTTGGATGGATCAGTGTGAAGATGGATGATTATTGCAGTTGGATGGATCAGTATTAAGATGGATGATTATTGCAGTTGGATGGATCAGTGTGAAGATGGATGATTATTGCAGTTGGATGGATTAGTATTAAGATGGATGATTAGTACAGTTGGATGGATCAGTATGAAGATAGATGATTATTGCAGTTGGATGGATTAGTATTAAGATGGATGATTATTGCAGTTGGATGGATTAGTATTAAGATGGATGATTAGTGCAGTTGGATGGATCAGTGTGAAGATGGATGATTATTGCAGTTGGATGGATCAGTATTAATATGGATGATTAGTGCAGTTGGATGGATCAGTATGAAGATAGATGATTATTGCAGTTGGATGGATTAGTATTAAGATGGATGATTATTGCAGTTGGATGGATCAGTATTAAGATGGATGATTATTGCAGTTGGATGGATCAGTATTAAGATGGATGATTATTGCAGTTGGATGGATTAGTAATCTGATAAGATGGATGAATGGTCGTAATAAGACTTATGAATATGTGTGGCTGTGTGAATGTTTGGTTGAATGGAAGAATGTTCCTGGTCGAAACTTTGTTTTGTATTTTGTTCAATCCGTCAAGAGTAAAAGGCGAGGTGAAATGTAAAAACGTCGCTTCAGTTGTGTCACTTCTATAGCGACGTGCATGCACGTGTATGTGTAGCTGATTTTCTCGTACGGACCAAATCTGTGTGCGTGCTTGTGTGCCTGTGTGCGTGCCTGCGTGTCTCTGCTTGTAATGCTCCTGACAAAAGCCGGTTTTATAGTGCTAGTTAACTTTGATACCATGCCGCAGTTTAACATGAATACGCAACTGTTCCTGTTTATCCCCAAGTGAACTCGTCTTACAACATACAAATACAAAAACACTGAATGAGTAAAATAGAATTATGTTCTCATAAGTCAGAAGAACATACAACAAAGCATATGTGTAATGTCATGTCATTATTTAGTCCTTGTAGCACTTACATTTTTAAATAATCTTCAATTTTGTTGCTTTAAGTGTGGCCTTGATCCTGCTGAATTGTTTTCACACTTCTTAGCCGTCTGCTCTGTGTGTGTGTGTGTGTGTGTGTGTGTGTGTGTGTGTGTGTGTGTGTGTGTGTGTGAGAGAGAGCCGGGATCCAACCCCGGACCTCCCTCTCTCCGGGCGGACGATCTACCACGGAGGCGGTACCTCTGCAGAGAACCATGTGCTCAAGAGCATGGCAATCTCTAGGCATCTCACAAACAAAATCTGTTGAATCAGTGCACATGTGATATATAATGTCACGCTTACACATTCTTTTAAAGTGATCTGCTGTCCATGTCCTCTGCTACTTTGCTTTGTGCACAGGTGACCAGAAGTGACCATTCAGTTTCTACTCAATTTTCAAAGGGTGCTTACTTTAATAGACTTAACACTAGGTCATTCACGAGGTATAATGAAAAGATCATAATGAGCTACTAATATATGAGTGAGTGAGTATGGTTCTACGCCGCTTTTAGCAATATTCCAGCAATATCACGGCGGGGGACACCAGAAATGGGCTTCACACATTGTACCCATGTTGGGAATCGAACCTGGGTCTTTGGCGTGACGAGCAAACGCTTTAACCACTGGCTACCCGTCCGCCCCTACTAATATATGAATCATAAAGTTGGTCATAAATTCAACAGGAAAAAAACAGCAAAATCAAATCAGTCCCCCGACAAGATAATTAACTGTATAAGGAATTAATATTTGGGAAAAGGTGCTTCAATCTGGTTTACTTATACTTTAAATGTATTTTGTAATCAAATATTTTTTAGAACACACCCCACCAATTTTTCTGCTATATTGCAATGAACTTGTAATAAAGACATAATCCAGTTATTCTTTACTTCTTGTTGCAAAAAGGGTTTCAACCTTCCATGTTTTCACAAAGACATAAGAAAATCAAACATAGTTTGCATCATGGTTTATTTACAAAATGTCAATATCAACATATTATACACCTTTTGAAGTCATTCTTTAAAATACGTATTTACACAAGTTGAATGTGAAATTAAGGCTGAAACAGAATCATTCACACGGACTGAATTGATGTACTCTTGATAAGAGAAATATACAATTCCTTCACGATACAAAACATAATACTTTGACATTACAAAAAATAACAACCAAATTGTGAGCCTTAGTTTTGAACATGTAGATGTTTTGAGGTAGATGGGCCCATCAAGGTAAGAATCCAATGTACCTTAAAAATATCTACATGATTCCTCTCAAGTGATGAAATGAACACATCTTTCTGAATACCTTTCTCAAGCAATTGAAAAAAACTTAATACATCACAATTTCAAACTTTCAATTTTCACTTCATTAAAATCTTAAAACTTTAGCCGAGTTGAAAACATCAAACAAAATCTCATAATTTCTTTTCATATACATTATTTACACCTAGTTCATAATCTTATGGCAATTTTCATAACAGGAAACATTCAAATCAGTTGTACCAGATTTATACACATATCTTTCACTCAAACTGGCAAGTCACACAATGAATAAAGCCACCATCACACAAATATTCACTCAATCACAAGTTGTTTAGAACCAGGCTATCAGCATTCACGCGTCTCCTTATCTGACTCTTGTTGCTTTAGGTCAAATCTTAAAGTTCTGAAAATGAAGCACCAAATTCTAGAATCGTATCAGCTGTGTGGTAGCATCAAAACATGCGAACTGTAAGCTAATTCCACATTCAAATTACACACTTCCCATCAGTTTTAAGGATCGCATTTGTCAGGAAACATACACTTTGAAGCGAAACACTTTCTGGTATTATTTCTGGAACAGCTCGCGCTGTGATATCCCTTGAGACGTAGTGCATACGGACGCCATTACACCAGCATTTGGGAGTACCTTGGCTTGCTGACTTAAGGATAACTGAATGATACCGTCTTTCCATCATTCAAGCACTTTAGAGTCTCTGTTTTTCTCAGGATTTCTCCATGTTTCCCTTAGGTTTTCAACCAGACAGATCTTGAGCTTCAAACATGTCAGGATCATACTTTTCTGCTCTCACAATTCTCCCACCAAAGAACCGGCCATTTAGGGACTGAATGGCTCGTTCTAGACCTGAAATAACAATGTTTCAGAGGCTCATATCATGCGGGGCATAACAAGTAACCGACTTTGATAAAATTGAGTAGCTGCCAATTTCCCCAAACATTACAATTAGTATTTTGTTACCATCTTCCAGTCAGGACACCAAAGCTCAACAATTATGAATCATCCAAGGTACAATAAAGCCATGTGATTTCGAAACTCATTTGCAAGGATTATACTTGGAATTTTTTACCTATGAGAGAAAATCCTCCCTGGTCTAAAAGCAATGAGATATTTTGGCGTGTGCTGAGACATCTTGTCTTGCCATAGTGGAAACTGTATTTGATATTTGGCATTTGTGACTCAAATTATGTTGCAATTTATGTTACTAGAATATACCGTGTTCGACGTAATAAGCACCCGGCTCTAATAAGCGCCCACGGCGACATTTGCTTATATATTGGCTATTGAACAATCCCAATCAGCACCCCTTCCGAGTGAACAATGTACACAAGACTTATTTATTCGCGTATAATATGCACTCGTGTGTGTTATGCACCCTTAATTATGGGCATTTAATTCTGGAAAAATATATCTGTTGTATATAAACATTTCAGGCTGTCAGCATAAACCACGAAATTTATCTTTCAACTCTTTTTTGCCCCCACCAAAATAACATTCTAATAAGAGCCCCCTATTTCTAATTTTGAGAGCGCCCTGGGCGCTTATTACATCGAATACGGTAACATTAATTATTCCACTTTGAATACTTTAAAATATTGGCATTAGTATCAACAACAAAATGCATTAGTATTAATATTTCTGTTCATTGTCTAGTTTAGGAGAAAATACATTAATACTTATGTATTTCAGTTCATTGTGACTTTAGGAGGAATTATTTGCGAGAACAATAATAGATAAGGCAGGTTTACAGGCAACAGCTGTTCATTTAATTGCAAATTTCTAGTTTTCGACAATGTCTGTTAAAATTTTAATTTAATATATCACAAGCGATGACATAAAATAGCGACAGTTGCAAATGGTGTTACAGTTTGTTGGCAAAAAATATATAATTTACATTCCTAATCCAGTGCTTTCGTCAATTTCGCTGTCTTATTTCCGTCTGTAGTGTGTACTGTATCAAAGACAGGGTGTCTGACCATATCAAATGAAATCAATATGGACTTATTAACGCAATACAACTTTTTCAATGTTTGTAGGTGAAAATGAGAGTGTCAATGCTGATAAAACTATTGAAAGATGTACGCGATTTTCAATCGCACTGAATTAGTGTTAATACTATGCACGAATATCAAGGAATCCCTGCATTTGACAACTTAATCTCTTAGGTTTTATTTGAATTACAGTAACTTTCCAAAATACAAATGGAGTGTTTTTGACAGCTGAAGGTATATTATTCGTATGAATTAAGGAATAAATCATATTTTAGTATTGCAGTTGCAAATTGTAACAAAGTCGTAAAATTTGGGCCAGTTGGCAACTACGAAATTGCTGTCTGCAGGTAAATGTTTATTTTCAGGGTCATAAAATGTTGTGTGAGACTGTCGGGATTTGTGGAAGATGTCATACAGAAGTGTTTTGCAGACACAGTTTAAGGCTCTTGATGACGAAGACAAATTTTTGCATGTTTTCTTGTATTTTTTACTTCCATTGAACTTTCCATGGAGTGATCATATTATCCTCACAGTACACACATGTAAGAGTTAACAAATCTTTCATTAAACAGTACGTCTTCTATCATAATCAAAAATCTAGTTGTGGGTTAACTTCCATCAATAACAGAATATGGAAGCAAAACTTAAACATCTTGGGACCTGCACATATTTTTTTTTAAACCAACATTGAAAGTGAGGGCTCAAAAATATCAGAGATAATAAAAACCCAGTAAGAGTTATTTAATTTCTGACACTGCAAGTATGTAACTGTAATTCTGACACTGTTAAAATACAGAAAATCTTACCATCCTGTGCGGTGAACTCCACAAAGATCTTGACAACAATTTCTGCATCTTCCTCTTCACTCTGTTTTTCCTGATAGATGATAACTCGGTTAACAACTCCGAACTTGCCACACTCCTCTGTCACCTCAGTCTCCAGCTCATCATCGAGGTCCTCGGGGCCAACCATGTTCCTTAGCACCATCACGCGGGCCTGCACGAACACAACAAATATTAGTTTCACCCTGTGTGCAACTTTAAGATAAGCAATAACCTTTTCTTTTAACACAATATTCCAAATTAGACGGTTATTTTCAAGAAATGTAATCTCAGCACATAATTATTTACCAGCCATATGAACATTCAAAGTCTCAAATTGCTTGAAAGAGAGGGTGGACTCTCAAAACAATATCATATCTAAATCTGTGGTGATATATATGTATGTACCTGAGGTGCCCTCATCAGTTTCTGCATGACCATATGCCTGGCATTACTGCCACTGATCTTCATGTTTTCTTGCTGAGCCAGACTCTGACTTGACTCGTCGTCCAGCTTGTTCTGCTTTCCTTCCTTCTTCCCATTCTTCCCATCCTTCCCATCAGGTGCCATCGCTGACAGGGCGGAAGCAACAGATGCTGCTGTGGCTGGAAAGCAAAAGAAGATAATTAAAGCATCATTTATACTTTATGAGCAATTAGATTCGTGAAGATCCGGGGTAGAATAGGTCTTCAGCAACCCATGCTTTCCGTAAGAGGCGACTAACGGGATCGGTTGGTAAGACTCGCTGACTTGGTTGTCATCGTATCCAAATTGCGTGGATCGATGCTAACGATGTCAATCACTGGATTGTCTGGTCCAGACTCGATTATTTACAGACCGCCTTCATAACTGGAATATTGTGAGCGCGGCATTAAACAACAAACAAACAATTAGGAACAATTACTGAAATATCCAACATTTCACCCAAATGGAACCAACAGCAGGTCTTCGTGGCATGACTTTGTTACAATGAGAATGCAACTGAGGCAGAGATCAGCAACCTCCTCTCCCCTACTTCATGATAACTTTTAATGAAACTCACTACTATTTCTGTAGAATCAGCAAAAGTTCAGCTATTTAGGTATGGGTAAGTATTCAGTACTGGGTCATAGTGTGATCGAAGTGACAATTACATACAATCAGCCAGGTGACACATTTTCACAACATTGGGTACAGGGTTCCTATTGGGCTTTGTTTGTTGTTAACACCACTCTGCAATATTACAGCTACCTGAGGGGAGCCTGTAAATAACTGAGTATCAAAACAGACAATCCAGCGGCAAATATTGGTAGCAATGATCCACACAATTGGGGTAATAAGGACACGCCTTCAACCGAGACGAAGTCTGATGGCCCAATCTATTAAGTCGCATCTTACGACCAGCATGGGTTGCTGGGGAGTAATTCTAACCCGGCATCCCCTGGTACTATTGTGCTAATTGGTTCTTATTGATATTGATGAAGTGAACAGCAAGTAGGTTGTTTCTACACAGCTTGCATGCAACTTACCATGAGGATTGCTTGGTGCTGGCGGTGGTGGAGCAGGAATACTAGCAACGGAGGGCATACTGATAACAGTGGGTGGAGCAATTTGTGAGGGAGCAGACAAAACAGGAGCCTGCCCCAACACAGTAGGCATGGCTAGTCCAGCTGGCTGTATCACACCACCTCTATTCACATCAGGTGACCCCACACCATTTCCTAGTGTTGTCGGCATGGCGAGCCCTGGTGGAGCCTGAAACAAGAAGTGATGACAGATTAAAACAATGGCTTAGCACTAATTTGACAAACTCATCAACTTCATAATCACATCAGCAATACCTCATTATCAAGGTTAATTTAGTTGCTCATGAAGGAAAACTGTCAGAAACCCAACTGTTTTCAGATAACTTCTGAAGTGTGAAGTCTCCAGCAAAACTGGCTGTTAAAGATGAAACAAAGACAACTTACCAGGTTAACTGCAGCCTGCTGTGCATCTAATGCTGTGATCTTGGCCGTGACAGCGGCAGCTGCAACAGCAGCAGCTGTGGGCATGCTTCCAGGGCCTGATGGTGCCTGTAGAGCATCTGGGGGAGTGATAGCCTGAACAAAACAACAAAAAAATTAACATTGGGCTCATCGTTTTAAATCAAGTACTCCATAAGATATCAATCAAAATATCAAAAGTCAAAATGTAAACCTTCATCAATAATTCTTTTGAGAAAACATTTACCAAGGCTCAAAGGGCTTACCCTGCCAACTCTGAGAAACTGGCCACCGAGATCAAATAGGTTCATGGAGGAAACCGCATCTTGAGCTGCTTGGGGGGTGTCATACTCGATGAAGCCGTAACCTCTGACAAAGACAGAATTGTATAAATACAGGTTTCTGTGAAAAATGGTCTGTATGCATATCATTTTCTTTCTTTGAACGGATTTATCTTTTGGAAAATGTTTCATTAGTTATACAAAACCAACCTTTCTGCATACCAAGAAATGTCTTCAAATTAAGAAACTATTACAATAGTGACATAAGAATATGGATATATTCTTCTTGCAATGGAATATTTCGCCTCCAGAATAAAAAGTTGATACTCACTTGTGTTTTCCTGGTTTGGATCCATCTAGGGCTAGTTTACATGATTGAATACGACCAAAAGCTTCAAATACACTGGAACACAAACAGGCAATTAAATCTTAATATTCTCTCATCTCAGCAGCAATGTTGCAAGATTCTGTCAACTTTCACTACAATCAAAATGAGACAAAAATCAATCCAAGCCTCACTTTATGAAAAATATCTGTTCAACAGGATTCAGTAGGACAATTCAGCTAAAGAAATTAAGCTGGCCTAAATACAACTTTAATTATGATGGAAAGAAAATCAGAGAATCTACATGGGACAGGGATCTGATGCCATTCATCAATGGACTACCGTATTTTCTTGAGTATAGTGCGCACTTTTTTTCGAAAAAACACAGCCGTGTAGAAGGGGGTGCACATTATACACGAATTATGAGTTTGGATGTTTTTTTCCCCCATGGAAAGACATTACCGTGAGCAAGAAACACCATGTCAACAAATCCATACTGAAGTACGCAAAATAATTATGTAATTACACTGTCTGGCTATAAAAAGCGTTCTATGTATATCTGGACTTATGTTTGTAACTTATTTCATTGATTTTATTCAAACTTCCTTATAATATTGTTTTTATTAATTTCGGCGAAATCGTGTGTGAAGCGATCGGAAGATCGCACAACTCACCGTCATTAACAGCAACCACGGTCAGAATACTGCTATTGACGCCTTGAAACAAACTTTAGTTGACAGAGAATGGATACATCTACGCAAATACGCAAGGTAATCTTAATCCCTAAATATAAAACAATGCCTAGCAGAACAATAAATACTATTTAAACAGTAAATAAACATGTCTGGTGATTTTTTATCTCAAATTTCGAATTTGTACTGACAAAGTTTCTCAGCACTCTTTTGTTTGCCGGACTTCGCTGAAAGGGTACGGTGTAAAAAAATTCTGCGCATAATATTCAAATTTCTTTTTTTCCAAAATATTGAACCCGCTAGAGGGGGGTGCGCATTATACATGGGTGCGCACTATACTCAAGAAAATAAGGTACTTCAAATGTTTAGGACACAAACATCATCCATTGTCGCATACCTCCTTTTATCTAGTTTCTTGTAATATGTTTTATGAAAGTTAGCAGCCATAATGTTGTATAACCTTGTTTTTAACTTCCAGAAGATTACCAACCATACAGAAAGTTCCAGTTTTCTAGCCCTGTACTGTTAGAAATCAATCACCCAAGCAGCAACACAAGGGAATTTTCTCAAACCTGCAATAACATCAGTGTTCTGCAAACAACCTACCTTTGGATGTCAGACTCGGATAAATCACTGTGTATTGATGCTACATATATCCTATTATAATTCTTGGCTTCTGCTGCTAACTGTTCAATGATTGGTTGAGCTTGTGGCATATTGCTGGGGCGTCCCACCTGAAACAATGTACACAAAATAACTATTAACATCAAAACATCCTTAACTGATGGTACACACCTTCCAACAACAAAACAGTCCCATACACAACTTAATTAAGCAGTTGAAAATGTCATACATGCAGGTGTGCAAATCATTAAATGGGAAAAAGGCTAGAACAGTATCTTACTGCAATACCAACTCTATATGGTAGGGAAAACATTAATGTTCATGATGAAAGAATGAATGAAACCTTGATATTTCAGTCTTAACAACCTTTCATACTGCAAAAATTGATTCAATTAATAGCTTGTATTATCACTTTTACATATACCAGGGCATATACCCTGAATTTACATATTTTTCTGGAGGCCATCTTGACAAAAGAATATTGTAAACATAAGCTCAACAAAGAACTAATACTTGTTTTAAGTTGTAGTTTGTGTTTTATAATAAAAAAACTCGTAGGTACGAAGTTTTTTTCTGAAACACTACACCCATTGCATTCCACCCTCAAGTGTCAGCTGGCTAATACATAGAGTTACCTCCCTTCAGCCAAATCTCTTGGCGCTCTTCGTCTTTGGACAGCTTCAGGTCTAATATTATCGCATGTAAAGATAATAAATTCGAGAGCATGGTTTATGGTAGATTAGCATACATTGTGATTATAGAACCAAAAATAGTCCTTCAAAATATCTCATTTTTCTAGCATTATATTGGTCAGAACTACGGGTAAGAAAACACAAAAGAACAAACAGTCTAGTGAAGAATCAGCTGGATAGTGATATAAACAAAATAATTGTAATTGTTTGCCTTAATTATTATTCGCCTTAGTAGGACATACCCAAAAAGGTGGCCTTCAAGACACGTTTTTTCTCTTCAACAAAATTGAAAGAAAACACAAATGATGTGTTAAGAAAATAAATGATCAATTGTCAAATTATTTGAATACATTTCATCATTTTGTTGGTCTTGAAAGCAGGTAGAAAGATGCAGATTAATCAAACTATTCTAAAATAATGACAAACCTTAAAACTAATGCCAATTTCTTAGAATGCAGGACGTTTGCATATGTATAGATATACTTACTGGATTTCTTTAGTTCACAAAACCAAGCTTTTATTTGTAAACTCATAGGCGCCTCACAAATTCAAAAAGCAACAAAACTACAGGTAAATTGATTTTGAAATCTGCCTCTTTGTGTGACTACATCATGTGTTTGCAAAACATTTCTCAAGATAACTGCTAGAGCCTTAAGAGCCTTATCCCCTTGAAACATTCTAAAAAAATTGGAACTTTATTTATTTGAAAATGTTTTTAGTCTAGATCTGGTGTGCAAACGCATGAAATGATTTTATCGAAGTGCCAAACTAAACCAGAGGGTATGTCCTTCTAAGGGAATATGAAGTATCACGGTCAAATATCAAGCCACCTTGATGTTGCGGCCTCCAATCATAACGCCATTCATCTGCTCTAAGGCTAGTTGGGCCGCTTCTGGAACGTCGTATTCGATAAATGCGAATCCCTTGTGTTTGTTGGTGATGGGGTCCCATGACAGATTGACGCTTTTGATGGGGCCGAACGGAAGAAAAGCTTGCTTGATGGTGTCTTCTTTTATCTCGAAGTTAATGCTGCCTACGTAAATCCTGAAAGACAATCAAATATTCTTTTAGACTTGTTCCAGTTTTACATACAAAGCACAGAAAAAATCCACTGGAGGGTCTGATCTTAAAACTTACAACCTACTATTAAAAAATCACTAAATTCAGACTTTGAACTAGTTGTTGAAGTTGCAGCTGCAAGAATAGGCTACAATATCAATTAAAATTAAACATTAAAATTTTGAAAGCTCAAATTAATATATCCTAACTGCAGCGTGGTACATAGGAATTACTCATCCTCCGAAGTTTTGTATAGTAGTGATGAAGAAAACCATACCTGCACATTAGTGCTAAAGCTTGTTGTCTTTGAACAGTGTTCTGGAAATTCTGCATTTGCTAAAAACAAAATTGAACAGGTTTTCATACTTCACAACAAAAATAACAATAACATGGAAATATATATTGCGCTATATTGTCACACCAAACTTAGTATTGTTCTGTCAGCATGAAAACTGAAATTAATCACATAAGAACCAGGACACCCGAAAGCATGATTGTAAAAAATCTTCATGTCACATGTGATGTCTAGATGATTGACATGACAAGAATAGGGTTTACTTAATGCCGCACTGCGCAATATTTCAGCAATATGATGGCAGTCTGTAAATAATCAAGTCTGGACCAGACAATCCAGTAATTGACATCACAAGCACCGACCCATGCAATTGGGATATGATGACCTGCATGAACCAAGTCTGTGAGCCTGTCCACCTGATCATGTGACTCATCTCTTGCGAGGGAACAGGGGACCTACACCAACATCCCACTGGGGTCATGTAATAAACTAAAACTAAAAGGACTATGTAACTTCTTACTTGTTGTTGATGAGCTATTGTCTGTTTGACAAGAACACTCTTAATGCTTTGCTCCATTGCATACTTCTTGGCTCTTGCTATGGAATCTTGTTGTGATGATCCTAATTTTGGCAGACTGAAAGGTTTCATCTCCCTCTTCGCACCCGGACCCTCCAGAACAGACCCTGTCTGGTCCGCTTGAGGAGCAAACAGCTCATCATCATCTGTGGCAATAATATACTAGTAAGTCAAAGTCAACAACTTGAAGCCTATCCATGTCTGTCTTACCAACAAACCTGGCTTCATACATTCCGGCAGAAATTTGGATACTGAACACAACTAAAAATAACTCAAGACTAAAACCAATTCTCACCCGTCCTGCTACACCCAAATTCTCAACCAAATCATGTCCCTTTTCTCAATTTGAAAGTCAACGAGCGGCAAAGTTGAATGCAATGTGTAAAGACAGACACGATGGCTTCCTGAATCAACCAAGGAATAGAGGTAGACAAGGTTAAAACCCAGAAACAAGTGACAATTTGATGAAAAAGCTGTACTTCACATAAACATGTTTACCGCAGTTAACGTGGTGTATGCTAGGCCTCTGTTTTTGCCCTACTAGTGGGCTGAGGGGCCTGATCAGGGACAGAAGCTGTCATTAACCTGGCTCATAGGTGACGACACTTAGTGCTTCTAAACCAGTATGAAAAACATAGAAACAGAAGAGAAAGAAATCATTAGTAATTGGCATATAGGAGTCTTCTTGCACATCATCTGGAACTGAACGTCTCGCCTGGAACAGAAAGCAAGAGTTTGGCATACATGGGCCTACAGCCCGAAAAGGAACCAGCACTACTTAGTGTAAAAGCTTTGGATTCATAACCAGACATCGTGTCAAAGGTCTGCGACTAGCCTAACCTCTTCTGATGGAAATTAATGACAAAATTCAATCTGTTAATATAAAATCAAAATTATTACCTGGATACTGACATTAAGCTTTCTGTAGTTGCACTACAGGTGCAAAAACTACCACAGAGTTTGAGTTTTGATTTCCCTTTCTCACTGCACAGGAATCACGACAAGAACTATCCCAGGGGCATAGCATCATGTATTAGAACCAAGGATCTTAAGGTTTTACCTCCTAAACTTGACTTTAAAAACTTCAAGTAGAAATGCAAATGTAATGAGAAACAGGCCAGACTGATCTGAAATCCTACATGCGACAAATGTGTACCACAAAAAGCTCAGAAAAAAAGTTCCAAAACCTATTCCATTTCTGAGACAACAACATCTCCAGAACAACAGGAAAGATGACTGCATGCTGAATTACCCAACTTCACTAGAATCAAAACTGACTTGGAACTGACAAATAATGAGATTGCAAAGAATGTCTACATCATTGAAATGAGTCTTATGCCACAAAACCATTATCACTGAGCTATTACAAAATGTCATGGCAATCTGTCCATATGTATAATATACAGATTACCCACCATGCCCATAAGTAAACAAACATAAGATACACTCACATAACACTAGAAAACATTAAGAAAATATTCTCAACATGTTACTTAGTGTAGCAAAGTATTTTGTTGAGTGGCTTGATTGCATAACACCCATTTAACAATGCTTGAGCAAGGATGAGAACAGAGTTGGTTGTCGAGAATCTCGTCTTCTATCTGTAAAATAAAATAATAGTCATCGCTTCTACATATTCATAACATCAAGTCGGTTGCACTTAGGATGACGTCATGAGTATTCTACTTTCAATGAATAGCATCTGAAATTGAGAACATTTTAAGAGTGTGAAACAAATTAAAGGATATTCACATGATGACATACAAATTAAAAATGAGAACTTTCTTAAAATGTCCTCAATTGCAGCATTATTAATTTTAAATATTTAATACTAAGGAAACTTCAAGACAATGTGCTTGCAAAACATCTGTTACTAGTACAAGCATCATACCCACAAACTAATAACTTTGGTTCACAGAAAACATTTGTACCCCAATTTCAACATAGAGTATACACACAGTAAACAGGAGGGTTTTCCCCATTGAGAACCTAAACAATGTCAACTTGTTATTGTGCTTGATGTAACCATTTCATAGCCAATCGGATGGCCTTGCAGCTCATCAGACACGTTTCACGCGGAGACAGCCTCTGTATTATGTCCACACGCTCCTGTTGAAAACACAGAGACAGAGAAAGGGACAGCATTAGATCACTGCCTACTTAGCAGCTTCGGGCTACCTAACAATATATGTCTACTGATCATTCATTTCTCTTGATCATATTTAAGATCTCAAAACATTTTTTGGAAAACAATAGAAGACAATTGTCTGTGTTTAATGACAACGAATCAGGTTATGTTTAATACGCATGTCTAGTTTTTTTCAAACTTTTCTTTTTCAAATAAGTGCAGAACCTTTGAGGAAAGAAGTGCTGAGTTTGAGATTAGATAACATGAAGTAGCTGTATGATTAATCAGAATGATGCTGAGGGCCGTCGGCAGTTGATTCCGGCATTCACTACTCAGTATGAGTCAGTAGGTTATCATGTGGATGGAATTCTCAGGTCCCCCATTTTCTTACATCAATATTTCTGACGCTGAAAATACATGGAGAGAAAGAGGCATATGTCACTGGGACAACAATTCAAAGTATTCAGTGGACAGACAAGAAAGCAGTCTTTGACGCATTTCAACAAGTGAAAATGTGCCCGGCATTTTTTCTGTTATTTCAAATACACACCAAGGATATTTATCAAGTCAGAAAAGCACCTTTGGGTTCATGGAAATATATATGCACAGAATTCTTCTAAGAAATGTCAGTCATGTTGATATTCTTAACATTTGTAAACAGATACACAGCATGATCAGTAATGCTTCTCTGTATATTGCAAGTTATCCTGGACGCTTTCAACAGGCAGAGTAGTCTCCCTTTGAGTACTTCTTGGAATCCTGAGGATCATACAAAACACAGGAAGAGCATAGATTTTAGCTGTTGTCTCTCATGAAAACTGCACACCACACAAAACTGACTACATACTAAATACCATGACTGAATATTACGTATTTCTAAGTTCAGAAAGAAATGTGTCATGCAAACAAATTTGCGATGCTATGTGACGTAGCGTAACATAATAGAGTTACACACCATGTTTCAGTATCTTTCGTCATCAGAAACAACTTAACTAATACCGAGTAGTCTTAGTTGTTAAAAACAGTGAATGGTCAACAATTGTCGTAAGTGGGCAAAACACTGTCTCCCTATTAGTCATGCCGACAATTAGAATTTTGAACAGGTGGAAGTTCAGATTTTTAATATTTCCTTCTTACTGGTACAAACTCATGCAAGCACATCCAATAACTGACTACATTGGCAGTTTCCTTTTAGTTGTTCTAATACATCCTATAAGCTACACCTGGGAAACTTGGGGAAATCTTGGAATCAGGTTAACTGAAAATATAGAAGGTAAAGTAGAGACAAAAGCACAGGTTCATCAACCTATACCACACTTTGGGTCATTTTCATTCCAATGATGCATCGTTTCACATTTATTTCGAGATTGCTGTACAATACATTAATATTTAAGAAAACATTTGCAAACATCTGTGTTTACAAGCAGATGTTTCTGCTGTTGTGGGAAATATTTTCAAGAAAATAACATGCAACATACATATCAATTATTGACAAAACTAAGTTGCAGCTCTTGGATAAACTTTGCTACAGCGTAGACAGGATAACATTGTGATGTTCCTATTGTATTCCAACTGTAGCTCCATCTAACCAAAGCAGGCTAAAGGAAATGAATGCAGTGTATACCTCTTTCAACCTTCATCTTCTTAAAAGCTGGTTCACCGTCAGGACCTCCCAGCACTGGTGCGGGAGCCTGAAAACATCAACAAGTTGATCAGGTATTTTGGAATTTTGCTAATTACAACCTGATACTTAACAAAACATACCATCTGCCAAACAGTGAACATTCATGACAATAACAGCTAAACCTTTAACAGTGTTTGAAATTAAACAAAGTAAAGGGGTTGTGGTCATGGCCCAAATGTTAAAAGGAAACATATAATGGGTCCTTAGATGGTAAATACTTCATGAAAAGCTCAGTTTATAAATATCCATGTATGAACACCATGATGATGTGAATCCAAATGAGATTGAGAAAAACATACTTAGGAGAATATTAATGAACTGAAATATTTGCTCTTTGCATGTAATAGCAAATGTGGATGCTATGTATGATATATATATATATATACACACTTACTTTCCTTTTATGATGTAATAAATACTACATTTAAGTAGATCTGCAATTTTTTGGAGTGCCAAAACAATTTAGGAATACAATAAAACTTAACAATAAATGTGTCTCTTACCAATATATCATGGAAAAAGTATGTGTCACAATGTGTGTGTGTAGATTGTTATCAGTTTGTTCAGTACCCCTTAATTATGAGGGTGGGAAAGTCTATCACTGCATGTAAGTGTTGGGAATTATTTCAAAACATTTTATGTAAGTGATCGATTTTGGTTGGTTTCCTTAATCACCATCTTCAGATCCGGATCTGCTCTGAGGCCAATATTTGCCCCCAAGTCTTCAGCAAATGTCACTAACGCTTCTGAACTTCCAATTTCATGTTTCGTGAGTATGGTTTTACGCCGCTTTTAGCAATATTCCAGCAATATCACGGCGAGGGACAACAGAAATGGGCTTCACACATTGTACCCATGTCGGGAACCTAACCCGGGTCTTCCCCGTGACGATCGAACGCTCTAACCACTAGGCTACCCGACCGCCCCCAATTTCATGTTTAAACATAATGTCACAGCTTTGTAAAGATGTCTTGTATTTCACTGAGAACAGGGTCAATAAAGAGGCCTCATTGTTTCGATATAAATTAATGCATCAATTCGTCAATTTCGAAAATAAGAGCTCACAAAATCCCAATTGTCAACTAAATAACGACTGTTCGACAGATTACTTGTCATTGGCACTTTGTTTGGAATCCTACATAAATTCCCCACTTATATCATAATATTAATAATCATGCCTAGGACAGAAATGATGCTAGATTCCATGCCACAGACTCTAAACGTCTAAGCCACAGAAATTCTTAGGCCTGGGAGAAGACCAGAAGCAAAAACCTTTCTATGGTGCCAACTGCGCATGTTTAAACTTGCAATAGGCCTAGTTAGGCTAAAGATTTTTTACTTTGACTAAACCCTGAAGCCAAAGCTGCAAACGCAATGCGTTTTAAACAACTAATGACAAGAATAGAGAACTAGTGACATGTTTTATTCAAGAATGTCAGCGTACAATTACAAAATACGGTCAATATATAGGCCTACGTGTGGACGCGACGTACAATGAGCGAAGCATGTGCGCAGACAAACCAAAATGGCTGCCTTAAAATTTTGAAAAACGAAGCCGGGAAAATGATCAGCATTAAAGAGAAACATGCGACTAATGCATTTGAAATTATAATATTCTGATTCTTGAGTATCTTAATATCAATGTTACAATACCTGATCGGCAACGTCGCCATTAACTGGCTCCGCTAACATATCAACTCCTGGAGCAGGAACGGCCATCCTGCCTTGATCGATCATCTGCGCGCATGGGTTAATGCAAAGAACGAACTGTGAGGTGGAATCGGATTCAATTTCGCGTCGCAAAAGCTTCGGGGAAATACGAAATGTGTGATAATAAGAAAGTCAACACATATTATAATTAAGACGCATGGAATTTACTTTATGGTTTGATAACTAACAATGTCGAGAATAATATGAATTAAAAGTCAGACGGTGGCTGCCTGTTACGACACAGTTTTGGCTTGAACACCACGGATTTATAACGTTGTTCAATTTGAAAATTACAAGACTGGGAGTTGGTCTGTATTTGAAAAGCATAGCGTATTGTATGTAAATTACTCTCCAGTTACTGAATCACTGCCACGTAATTCCTAAGGGAATATGATACTCGATATTTAATCTTCTGATCAATATGAAAATTGGACTTTGGGGTAGTATTTACTCGTTCCGGTGAATACCCCGGTTTCGATTCCGCAAATTGGTGATGTCTTATTGTCACGAGTCTTGCTATTTATAAACTATTGCTAAAAGAGGTATAAAACCCATATAATTCTGTTAGTTGTTCCTTGCTTTGAAAAATGAAGTTGAAAAGATTGTTTATGTCATCTAAAACAAAACTTGCATGTTTACCATAGAAAGAGTAGTTCGTGTTTCCATCTCTCAGAGTAATACATGTACTCACATGGTCCCTATTACACCAAGCTTGTCGTAAGAGGCGACTAAAATGGATCGGGTGTTCAAGCTCGGTGACTGGACGAGTGTTGTTTTACACCGCAGTTCGTAATATTACAGTTATATCACGTCTGTAGATAATCGAGTTCTTGGAGGGTCACGCCAATGGTTGACAGCATCAGAACTGCTCCGCACACATTGTGCTGGGACACAATCAGAAACGGTGACCAATCGATTCTCATTTTACTGGGCGCTAGGCAGTGTCTGAAACTCAGCAGAGTAAACAGAGAACATTAAGGGACAGCACATTTTAAAACAAACAAACTGTAGGCCCAGTGGAAAAAAACAAACTGTAGGCCCAGTGGATAACAGTAGGCGTTTTAGCTGAAGTAGGGAGGCACTCTTGCAATATAAATTACAAGACACAACCAGTCAACCAGAATCGTTTACTGCTATCACACCCAGTTCCCAGAGACTCGGTGGTGATAGATGAAGCCTATATTTATCAGGAAATTATCAGCTTGAAAAACATCTTTGCGACTACATGTCATACACTATTTGAATGGTCTAATCGTACTGTTTATAAATATGAATGTTATGTGTCACATTACTTAAATAATGCTAAATAAATAATTACTTAGATAAACTGCAGGCCTTAAGGGCCTGCTGAAATTTAAAACTATCAGCGCGAGAACAAATCTGTCGGCCTCGGGCCTACGGGCCGATGTCTATTTCAAACACTGGTGCTTGGACAATATTCTCAATTGGAATGCCTACACTGGTGCACTGGTGATGCGCTAGCTAGCTGATATATAAAAATGGTGTTTAATGTCGTGTTCAAGACTAGGCCACTGACACAGCGACGTACGAGGGGCGTTCAATAAGTTTTGCAACTTCAATATATGACCAAGTCGCAGAATATCTTTTGCACTTTTATTTTTCAATATAATCTCCATTCACCTCAATACACTTATTCCATTTGTCCTTCAAGCTTTTAATACCACTTTTATAGAAATCCGCAGATTGGCCCTCCAACCACGCCTCTTTGGCAGCCGTTATGTCCTCGTCATCCTGGAAGCGTCTTCCACGTAGGGCAGATTTCATTTGCCGGAACAGGAAAAAGTCAGTGGGGGCTAAGTCTGGGTTCGAACAGTTAAATCACCCACCCTACAGCCCAGACTTAGCCTACAGCCCAGATATTCTGCGACTTGGTCTTATATTGAAGTTGCAAAACTTATTGAACGCCCCTCGTACATGCGCGCGCGTGCGTGCGTGTGTGTGTGCAGCTGTTTTTGATAGTCCGGGCTTATGCCCGATTTATAGTGCTGGCCCACTGAGATACCATGCCGCAGTTGAACATGACCACCCCACTCAGACACGGAATACTAACTCCAAGCCGACAAGTCCTCGTTATATCTCCTTTATGGCGAACGCCAGCCAGGGTAAGAAGAAATACCAGCTGTAAACGTCTATTGGTACATGACTGTGCCAGGGTATCGAGCCACCGACGTCCGGCTCTGCGAGCTGAATCACACAGACACACACACACGCTAGAAGATATATATGTGATGTATTATTTGGTGATCACCCACTATGTGATGTAGCGTGTTGTGATCACCCACTATGTGAGACCCGCGAAGATCTGGGGTAGAACAGGTCTTCAGCAACCCATGCTTGCCCAAACAGACGACTATGCTTGTCGCAAGAGGCGACTAACGGGATCGGGTGGTCAGGTTCGCTGACTTAAAATTGGTTGATGCATGTCATCGTGTCCCAATTGCGTGGATCGATGCACAGGATGTCGATCACTGGATTGTCTGGTCCAGACTCGAATATTTACAGACCGTCATTTAGCTGGACTATTGCCGAGTGAAGCGTCAAACAACAAACAAACCACTATGTCACATAGTACGTGATATAGCGTGTTGTGATCACCCACTGTGTGATATATCATGATGTGATCACCCACTAGGTGATATAACACGTTTTGATCACTTCTGTGTGATATAGCACGTTGTGGTCACCTACTAGGTGATATAGCATGTTGTGATTACCCACTAGGTGATATAACACGTTTTGATCACTTCTGGGTGATATAGCATGTTGTGATCACCCACTAGGTGATATAACACGTTTTGATCACTTCTTGTTGATATAGCGTGATCACCCACTGTGTGATATATCATGATGTGATCACCCACTAGGTGATATAACACGTTTTGATCACTTCTGGGTGATATAGCATGTTGTGATCACCCACTAGGTGATATAACACGTTTTGATCACTTCTTGGTGATATAGCGTGTTGTGATCACCCACTAGGTTATAAAGCATGTTGTGATCGCCCACTAGGCGATATAACACGTTCTGATCACTTCTGGGTGATATAGCGTGTTGTGATCACCCACTGTGTGATATATCATGATGTGATCACCAACTAGGCGATATAACACGTTCTGATCACTTCTGGGTGATATAGCATGTTGTGATCACCCACTATGTGATATAGCATGTTGTGATCACCCACTAGGTGATGTATCATGGTATGTTTTTTACCCGATAGGTGAATATAGAATGTTGTCATAACCCGCTTGGTGGTGTAGCATGTTTTCAACACCCGCTAGTTGAATAAAAGGTTGTGATCACCCACGATAAGATGCAGTATATTTTGATCACCCATTATGATGTACACAAGCATAGTTATTATGGTCACCCGCGCTAGGTCTTCATAATGTGACGATCACTCTATCAGATCTACAGCATGGTGAGATCGTGCACACACTAGGTGATATAGCATGTTGTGATCACCCACTAGGTGATATAACACGTTCTGATCACTTCATAATGTGACGATCACTCTATCAGATCTACAGCATGGTGAGATCGTGCACACACTAGGTGATTTGAAGCATTTCTTATCCACAAGGGAAGCCGGATAGAGGACATTAAATTTCTGTAGTGCCCTTGGGAATAACGTTTTTTTCTCACAGTCGTTGATGATCACCTTTTCAGACAGCATGTGACAATCCGCTATTAGTTTTGATGTAGCATATGTTATATGATCACCCGCCAAACCTTTGATCATCCGACAGGATATGTCTTGGGGGATTTCGTACTGAAAAAATTGAGCCTCTGTCACAAGAATTTGAGCAGGCAATTAGGAACAGCAAATTGGGCCCGGTTGCACAAAACGATCTTGGTTCCACGATTATAAGTATATATATTCAAGTATGTCGAGTAACGATCGTCACAGGTGGGCTCGCTTTGTGGAACGGGGCTTTGTTGTCTGTAAGGGCAGGCACTGAACCCAGGTCCATTCACGTTTTAAAGATGCAACTTTGAAATAATTTCTTTTAATTTGTTGACATAATGTTAGTTGTGGCAAAGTGTCTAGTCATTTTCATCAATATGAGAGAGTTTACAACAATATGAAGCTGAATCCACATTCGTCGAGTTAAATTCTTGTTTTAGTGAACACCAATTAGGTAGTTGGGGGAGTGAAAGATCAAGTTAGTACAGTTTAATTTGTGATTTTCATGTTCCACAGTTAGGGATTTAAACAATATGTTATTTTGCAAAGTATGATTTTGGTAAAAGAAAGACAATTTTGACTTTGGTCTATATTATTTCTGCGAGCCTTGTATTTACTGCTTTGAAAGAAAGGGTACTTCCGGTTGAAAACACGTGGTTAGACAACAAACACACACTTCGGCGACTAACGAAATATTAACATGGGCAAGGATAAGAAAGAAAAGCGCAAGTCAGAGGGAGGCGAAGACGAAGAGAGAGAAGACTCGTGGGATGAAAAGATCCGCTATTTATGTCCGATAGCTGCACCTCTAGCATCTCGTAAACTGACAAAGCGTTTGTACAAGACGGCAAAGAAAGGTAAAGCAGCGGGCTTTGGAGTCTTTTCCCACTTGATGCCCCAAAGGTTATTTTGGCCATGCCGTTTGTTGCAAACTTCGCAATTCCAGAAACCTGATGTTCACACGTAATACACTGGCTGTAGTATATTGTGTCTCAACGCCTTGCCGAAATTACAATTGTTAAACTTTGGTTTGTACACAAACAAGCGGCGGCTAATTTCTGTTATGCTGGTGGAGACGTATGTAGAAACTACCCAGGCGAATATGTGTATGTATAATTTCCAAAAGGAATTTTACCATGCCATATTCCTGCATATTACGCACAAAAAGTGGATCCCTGCGGTCCAGTGAACTGGACATAAGACTGTTACATAGTATGTACCGTATGTGCTACTAAACATCACATCGTAAGTGTACATCTCGGAAGTGATGTGATATGCTCAAATATGTAATGTGTTACCTGCACCCAAAAATTAAGCATAGAACGTATGTAGTTGCATTTGCCAAACTGAATTTACAAAAAGTTATGGTCTTTTGTTTGAGTTCTGTGGAAATACTCATTGCTGTGTACTTTATGCTTAGGCCTAGTTGTCCAGGCTATTTTGTCTCCTTTCTATCGTGATGAATACCCTGGACCATTTGCTGAAATGACTTTGTTTTGAATCCTGTTCGTACACATTTTATGTGAACAACTCAAAATCGTGTTCTCAAAATGAGACATGATTAACTAATTAATCATTCATGTCTTAGACTTAGAGAAAAACTGAAAGGGTATAAGTTAGCTACTGTACACCATCTTCCCGAGGCAGGGAAGTTAACTGACTATAAAAGTCCAGTTTCCACCATTGCCGTACTAGGCTGGAATTCTGGAGTTACATTTGGTTGGACTAAGAAGATTATGCATAGTCCAATAAAAATCGCGAAACGAACTTGACACCCAATTCGTTAACAACATGGATTTCAGCGTGCAGGATTTGCAAAGCAAGTGTACCATCAACTTGTAAACTTGAAAATCGGTTCATGTGGTTTGATGCACTTCGTGGGGCAAGACCTGATTTATTACTATTAATAGCTAAAATGGATAGAATTATCATTAAACCCCACGCATGTTATCAGAAATGAGCGGGCCACTGTAACTTGATAATGCCCTCATATTGCTTGATGACGGGCCTTAATCATGCCCGTTGTTAGGTGTCGTCATAGGGATAGGCAACGTCACCGTCAATAGTGACGTCATCTGGTTTGTTCTGTGACGTTTCCATATCTGTAAAGGTGGGTCAGTGACATTTGTGTTGATTGCAGTAAATGTTTCAAAACCAATATTGTTGTTTCTCTTTATTTAGTAACAAATTCCATCCATTTTAGCTATAATAACGGTAACATTATTTTTCAGGGCATCATCATTTGGAGAAGCCCTCAGTCTTTTCAACTGCCCTCCTTTGTCAGGTAGTTAATGGAAGACCTCGGGCTTCTGCATATGATAATGCCCTGAAAAATAGCATTACCCTTAAAATAGATCTCGATTATCAATCAGATCATCTTAATTGGGCGTCACCATTTTGTTTTAATCAAATGCAAACGATACGAACGTTGGAAACTTATTGGTCAATAGGATGGACATAGAAGGGACAAGAGTGGTAATAGCCACTAGTGGCACTACGGTTGAGCCTGGAAATTCCAGCCTCGTTCGGTCATGGTGGAAACTGGACTTTTGTGGTCAGTTAACAACCTTGCCTTGGGAAGATGCTGTACACAAACCCTACCCCTAGTTGAAATTTGTCCCATGGAAACCCAGAGACAGTGTTTCAAAGTCCTAACTGACAAAAGGCACCAGTTCTTAACTCTGCAGTTGCCCTACCTACAGTTCAGCATTTGTATCTGTTTTCAAAGTTTCACAATAAGTACCATCCAGGTTTGATTCCCACATTGGCACAAAGTGTGAAGACCACAATGATATTGTTGAAAGCTGAGCAAAGTCATACTCACCCAATCACCTGACAGAGTCATGGAGAGAGAATTTATTACACTTCGTTATCTGTCCTCTTTTTTGTTTTTGTTTGTTTGTTGTTTAACGCCACCCTCAGCAATATTCCAGCTATATGATGGCGGTCCGCAAATCATCGAGTCTGGACCAAACAATCCAATGATTGACATCATGAGCATCGATCCATGCAATTGGGATCGATGACATGCATCAACCAAGTCAGCGAGCCTGACCACCTGATCCCTAATTTGAGGGGTTATTAGAGTCATTGCAGAAATATCTTTTGCCAAACAGACTTGACCAAGTCTGTGGTCATGAAACTTATACTCAGGTTGTAGTTTTGTTTTGTAACATGTCATGTTGTGTTAAATTGCTTGTTTGTTTGAATCAGAGGTCTCTCCTGTCGTCAGTCCAGGTGTAATACATACTTACTCTATTTGTTCCAGCTTACAAGCAGCCAAAACATCTCGTACAAGGAGTCCGGGAAGTACAGAAGGCAATCCGCAAAGGCGAGAAAGGGTATGTATTCTGATGTTTTACTTTCTTTGGACCCGTGAAGATCCGGGGTAGAATAGGTCTTCAGCAACCCATACTTGTCATAAAAGGCGACTATGCTTGTCGTAAGAGGCAACTATCGGGATCGGGTGGTCAGGCTCGCTGACTTGGTTGATGCACTGTCATGGATCCCAATTGTGTGGATCGATGCTCATGATATCAATCACTGGATTGTCTGGTCCAAACTCGATTATTTACAGACCGCCGTCATATAGCTAGAATATTGCTGAGTGCGGCGTCAAACAACAAACCAACCAAACCAACTTTCTTTGGTATCTTTACATGGTGCATGGGAATACATAACTGTACATTTAAATCTGGTAAAGAATCACCTCTGCCCTCGGTCGCACATGATAAATGTGGGAATAGAATATTACTTTTATGTACAGCTATATGTTCCTCTGCTTGTTGGTACTAAAATTATATGAGGCAGTGGGAGTGAAGCAGGATGCTTTTTGAGGCAGTGTTTTGGGGAATCAAGCAGGATGAAATTTGAGGGGGTGTTCTGGGGTCAAGCAGGATCAAATTTGAGGGTGGGGTATATAGTCAAGCAGGATGAAATTTGTTGTGGGGGGTTATGTTGTCAAGCGGGATGAATTTTGAGGCAGCGTTGTGTTAGTCAAGCAGGATGAAAATTGACACAGATTTCCGTGTGTGTTTCAGCCTTGTGGTGATAGCTGGCAATGTGAGCCCAGTGGAGGTGATCTGCCATGTGCCGCTCATGTGTGAGGAGGCCAACATCCCCTACTGCTACGTCCCCTCAAAGGAGGTAAGTCCAGCTGACCAGTCTCTGCTACATGTCACAGTTGCATGGATCATTTCTTCACTGGTTGGGCGGTGGGGTGAGCCTGGTGGTTGAAGCGTTTGTTTGTTACCCCCGAGACCCAGGTTCGATGCCCAATATGGGTACAATATGTGAAGCCCATTTCTGGTTTCTCTCCCCAAGTGATATTGATGGAATATTGCTAAAAGCGGCGTAAAACCAAGCTCACTCAGGCACTGGGGCTTGTCTGGTCCAGACTCGGATCATGTACATGCTGCCGTGATGGAGCTGGAATATTGTAGACTGAAAGAGCGTTCACTTAACCACTGGGTTCTGTTAATCCAAGTAATTAAATATAATATAAACTGTTAAGATGCAGGGTTGGGGGGCACCGGTGGACCAGTCGTCTAAGGCGCCGTGATTCGCTGTGCAGAGTTGTGTCCCTTGGGCACGCCAGAAACCTATGATTGTGGGTTCTAATCCCAGTTCGCCCTGATTATGTTTCTAGGTTTGTCAGCACCATACCCGTGCTCATGGGTTTCACTGAAGTGGTAAACATCTGAGACTTACATCACTTTGGGCTTTCCTCCCACATTAAGCTGACACGCTGTGATATAACTGGAATACTGTTAAAAGCAGCGTTAAACCAAACTCACTCACTCACTCACTCACTGTTAACATGAACATGGTAATTGCCTATCTTAGCAGATATTAGGTGTATCATCACATTAAGTCTTGTGTAACACAAAATGGTTTTATACCGTAATTCATTTGTTGTAACCATGTGAAAGTTACAGATTGATGCTCATGTCAGTCACTGGATTGTCTCGTCCAGACTCAATTATTTACAGACTGCCGTATTATAGCTGGAATATTGCTGAGTGTGTCATTAAGCAACAAACGATCAATCATGGAATTAACCAATTCCTCTTTGATTGTTTTTTTAAGTACTTTATGATATTTATTGTTGCCATGTACACAGGACCTTGGTTCGGCCCTCAACTCCCACCGCCAGCTCTGCATGGTGCTGATCAAACCTCACGAGGACTACGAGGACACGTATGAGGAGTGCTTCGGAAGCGTCAAGGACCTCCCAGCTCCCATGTGAAACACAACTGAAATTGACATGACACTCATTGTGGTTTGGGAGGAATTGTCTCCCAACAAGGAACAGACCTGCATCCATGGAATGCAGATATTGCACACTTGTATGGATGAAGGCTATGGTTATTGAATGGTTTGGTAAGAATAGGAGAGGAATAAATGAAAGGCTGGTCATTTGACATACTCTTTTGAGTTTCAAGTTTCACATGTTTTGCCGAGGCTAGAGACTCAGATGTTTACATGGCTTTTGTATTAGGAACTGTATTACTCATTGGCTTGTCATTTTGAGCCGATTTGTGTAACTTGGGTGTAACATTTTTCTATCAATGGCATCGTGGACAGGTCAAGTTCCTGTAACCTGAGTAGTAGTGGATTCAGGATCCGTTTTGATGAGAAATATTTTTGAAATTAATAGAATGGATTAATCTGGCCAGGTGAATGTATGATCTGAGTAATAAGTAAAGTTTGCCAGCCTGTGAAATTCACACAAGCACTCTAGCCCAAGACAACTAATTGTAATGAGGACAGGTTAAAATCCAGAAAACCAGGGATGTTAGTCCTCGTAGATTAGTAGCATTTGAGAGCTATAGTTCTGAACCAGTTCTCAATGCTTCAATGTTGCTGCAAATTGGAATTGAAGAAAACTGATAGAAAACATAAATATAGTAAACATTTTTGTCTTGTTAAAAGACTAGCAACAAACTGGGAGGACTTTGAGATAAGGTTACACCAAAGTAGACACAATTTATGGAGAGATTTTTTATTACTGTAAAGACGTCGTTTCGGTATAAATCGTTATACCGTTGTCAAGCTCCAGACTTGATTATTTGCAGACCGCCGTCATATAGCTTGAATATTGCTGAGTGCTGAGGTAACAACAAACAAACAAAACAAAAGCCGTTGTCAAGCAAGTAATGCCTATCAAACAATTCAAGGTTACACCATTCGTGAAAATTGTATAAGTCTGTTTGCCTCATGATGTTTTATTCAGCACAATATATATACAATCACCCAGTTCATGTGCATCATGTCCCACAAACATATTGTCAGATTTCTGTTATTGCAAGTTATGCATTCTTATTGTCAGACATTTAGCCATAAAGAATCAGATATAAGTACTGGTTAAAATGGTTAATGGATACGTCTGGTGGAGATATATTTCTTAGGTTTCATAAATCATGACAATGCATTTAAACATGTAAGGACTCATTTTATAACTGTAATGTTGATGTTATGTATATGCTACATATAATTTTGTTCGCCATTAAAATATATTGTGTGTAACAGTTAATATTTGTTTGTTTTTGTTGTCTGAGGTTTTGCAAGGTTTTCAAGGTTTTCGGCAAAATATTGTTGGTGTTGTGTTGAGACCCTTGCAGTTTGTATTGTGTCAGCAGAGGTGTATGGTTTTACTACTTGCTGGTTCCAGGGCAGAGTAGGATCCCTTTACTGCTGGCAAGTCAGGCCACTAGGTGGAGCTGGTGGTCGGTGCTTCTTAACATTCCATTGTCCTAAGAGGCGACTAATGGGACTGGGTGGTCAGGCTCAGTGACTTGGTTGATGCATGTCATCGTATCCGAATTATGTAGATCGATGCTCATGATGTCAGTCACTGGATTGTAGGGTACATCATCAATTATTTACAGACCGCCATCATATAGCTGGAATATTGCTGAGTGCGGTGTTAATAACATTCATGCTCTTAACAAACCAGCATCTGAGACAACACCTGGTTTCTTCACAATGGAGAGCTGAAGACCACGTCAATCTAATGTCAACCACAGCATCTTGTAGACTTGACTGTAATAGTGATAGAGGATGAAGTGAACTCTGCCACCTTCTGGGATATAGTAGCTATGGCAACCTATCACAGCTTTCTGCAACAAAGGACTGTCTTCCTGGTGGTGGATAGAGCGCCTGCCTGGAGAGCATAAGGGTGGTTTGAGCCCCTGTTTATATATCAAGACATTAAAAGTTTGTACTAGTTACCCTCCCCGGCTCTCGTCATTTAGGGGATAAAACAAGGACTGGTCAGCTTGGATTCGCTTACTGTGTCGGAGTGGGGTATTCATGTTAAACTGTGGCATGGTATCTAAGTGGGCTAGGACTATAAAACAGGCAAAAGTCTGAGGTACACCACACCACACCACACCACACCACACCACACCACACCACACTTGAACATGGCGTTAAACCCCATTTCACCTTGTCTCGCCAGCAACAGCACCTTCAGTGTTGATAAAGTCTGGTGTGTAGCATAACAATGGTGTGATGTCCCGTACAAGCACTTTTCAAAGTAATGACAAACACTAGAAGTTTATTTGTATTTTGAGTTTATTGTACTACTATTGCACAGTTCATAGATTCAGTCACAGCCTACGGCTCATGTTGTACACGAGACAGCCGGCCGGTCTGAGATCATGCACCACAACATAGGTGGCGCACCTGAACACAAAACCACAGGTAAAAACGTAATGGGAATCAAACTATGGCATATTGATCACTTGCCGGTCTCATTAACCTTATAGTTAAACACAATTTGGTACTGACTTTTATGATGGGAAAATTGCCATATTCACCTTAAACAAAACCCGTCCCATGCACACAGCTTCACATGGTTCAAAGCTAAAAAAAGGAACTTTGTAAATGTCGGTTTGTTCCTCATGTGACCAACAAGTAATTTGCAATTTCTAAATGGGAAACCTGTCTGAAAGATTTACACACTGTTGGCTTTCAAATAAATAAGTATACATGGAGAGGTTATGATGAATTTTATAAACCACATCTCTTGTTTACTAAAGGTTTATAGTGTATTTGACGACAATCATGAATTTGAATTCATTTACTGAAATTTAATTTTGTATTATTTTCTTCGATTTACCTTTATTTGAATTGTTAAGCATCTTTATATAAACATGCCATTATGTTATGTATGCTCCGGGTATTTGCAGTCCCACCAGTAACATTAAAGATGCAACATCAGCCTGGATAAACAGGCAAAAAATCTGAATTTTTTTTTTGTTTTGCCATAATTGAGCACTCATGAAAAGGTATATCATTCCTGATATAAGAAGTAGCCATTAAAGAGTAGGCTAACAGCAGGGAATGGTTCATTCAGCATGTTGAACCTAGCAACTGCATAATAAATAGAAATCAACTTGTTTTTTCCCAGGTTTGATCGATAAACAGCCTAATTCTTGCTATAGGTCCACCGATGACTAAAATAGAAGTTGTAAAGGAATGATAACCCTTGAGGCAAAACTCCCCACACTACACATTATTTGTTATGAAAATATAACACAGAGAAAAGTAAGACAAAACAAAGAATTTGCGAAAAAAACATTTCTTAACATATTTAAATTTTACTGACTAGTGATGTTTACTCTATTCAGTAAACAATTCTAACACAAATCTGACGGTAAACTGGTTCTTGATTAAGACGTTTACACAGTTGTTCGTAAATACTGTATACCAAGTATTTAATTTATGTTTATTACATGCTACTGTAATGTGATTTCTCTTGTGTATCATGGTGGTCAAAACACACAAATATTTTTGTTACAGGAACAATGTACCAGTATCGAAAACATGAAGCACAGAATACTGGTACTCCTCACAGAGGCATTGATGCAGTGCATCTCGAGCATCGTAATACTGAGCATGTTCCGTAACCAACTACAGGTGCTGTCTGATGACTACATGTCAAGTACTGCATACCTGATGACATACATACATTATATATATACAACACGGAGTTATGCGAGTACAAACAGGTTATAAAACAAACAAAGCTGGAACTATATACATACATGTACAAATATTGAGTTGTAGGATCTACGATCTAACCCATCCATTTAATATATAATTTACACGATTTTGACCAATATTATGTTTGTACAAAATGTTTTCGATTATGACATTTCATTATCACAGAATCAGCAGCTAGAATAACTGACACTATATTACACAGACAACACACGGAATCCAACCAAGTGAAAGTGTTGGTGTGTTTCTTGAAGCAGTCATAATTACTTCAGCCAAGGGCTGACTTTCTCTTTCTCATTCATGAATGGTCAAATTATGATTGTCAATGTCTAGAAGAATCTACTAAAATGATATTTTGATCTAAATGCAACTTAACTTATGCAATAAAGTTTAAATAAAAAATGTGAATTACTGAATAAATAGAATCATTTCTAAAATAATTCTTTATCACAAATGCAAAATATAAAAATTAAAATAAAATAAATAACAATCACACAGAAATAATAGTAAAATTATGTCTTTCTTCACCAGTTCCCAAAGCTTGCCTAATGTTAAGAGGGCACACTAAGTGGTGTTCAACAACGACCAGTACGTCACTCGGCGGTCAGAAGTGCAATGTTACAGGCCATAGATAGGGACCACTTCCCCGAAATCTACTAGCAAGTTGCTGTCAGATATTGGACTCAAACCAACAACCTGTGGATACTATGAGCCGAAGATGGACATCTGCACAGCGAATAATAATTTAGACCTCTGGGTCAAAGAAATAAGGGAGACATTTTCAGGTAAAGGATCACAAAAATGGGATTCAAACTCAGGACTATAGTAGTGATGAAAAGTCACAATACAAGATTCAAGAAATGTAGGAAGCTGTTCTGAACTAACTACTAATGGTTCCAACCTCTGTGTTGGCATATCAGTATACACATATTTACAATATGTCTTTGCGCTGGGAAAAAAAATCAAAACTCGTTATGGCGTGTGTAATGCGCACCACCTTCTACACGGCAGTGTTTTGTGCACACTATACTCAAGAAAATACACTTATTGTGTTTTTAGTATGTACAATGATATATTTGTTAATGCATATTCACAGATCAAAATATAAGGTTTCTTCATGCAAGTACAGATATATTTACATGTCTGTGTGTGCACAGGATCAAAGCATGCCAAACATAATGATACATACATAACATTTGTAGCTATATGATATTTACATAATAATGATAATAATAATACAGGTACATTGACATGAAATGTTGCTCAAAGTTGCATATAAATCACTTGTTTGATCATTGGTACATTATACATGCATTTGAAGCCATATTGGGGATATGTACAGTCACATTTACATTGGTTAATTATGCATAACAGTTATGTACAATTTAGAAAATTATTTTCCTAAATGTGTTGAAGTAAAAAAACAATGTTATTGGCAATAAAAGAACTTAAGAAAATAATGACGATGTTAGGAGATACAATATATGCAAAAACAAATACCAATCGTATTGATAACAATTATTTACACACAAGTTTTTTTATACCCTACAGGTCCATTATGGCAGTGTTGCTAAGTAATAAATAATTTTGGAAATAAAGGTGCAAATTAAGAACTTAATTCTAAAGGAATCAAAGGGAAGGTATATATACATGGCCTAGTTGTGAAGACATTGAGATGTGAACAAAGACAGGACTTGTTCTAAAGTGATGAAGCAGGATACTAAAGTGAGAAGACAATGCTGTACATGTGATGTGGTCACTTCACTGCCGCCATGTGAGGAGGTGGACATTGCCCAGCTGGTCCCCACACATCAGGGGGACACACACAGGGGACCTACTGACCGTTCCCGCAAGCGTCATGCTGGTCACAGGTGCTGGGCAGAAGAACTGACCAATCTGAGGAGAGAAAATACAATGCTTTGCTTCACGAGACCCTTCTGAGTCATGTTACATGTGTACACTTGGGATGTGCTGATACACCTATTTCATGTATATACACGTACATGTATGATGTATTTAGTTCTGTGGGGGCCCAGGTTAGAATGTGTCCTCCCCAACCCATAGCTTAAATATTGCTGAGTGGAGTGTTAAACAACAAACACACACACTGTTTGTCATATGAGGACATCCATGAAGATCCGGGGTAGAATAGGTCTTCAGCAACCAATGCTTGCCGTAAAAGGCGACTATGCTTGTTGTAACAGGCAACTAAGAGGATTGGGTGGTCTGACTATGTTGATGCATGTAATCATATCTCAGATGCGTAGATCAAAGCTTATGATATCAATCACTGGATTGTCTTGTCCCGACGCGATTATTTACAGACCGCCGTCAGATAGCCGGAATATTGCTGAGTGCAGTGTTAAAAAACAAACAAAACAAACAAACAAACAAACTAAGCCACTGATTTGGGAGCCTGTGGAGAACCCCGATTAGTATTGGTCCCGAGAAAGAGGCGACCAAACTGACTGGGTTGTCAAGTTCGTAGACTGGGTTGATGGCATGTCAACATACCCTGATGGTGTGGATCATTGCTGATAATATCAATCACTGGATTGTCTGGTCCGGACTTGATTATTTACAGACTGTGGTCATGCCTGGATGCATATACTGGTACCAGAGAGAAGCTGCATGGTGTGGATCATTGCTCATAATATCAATCACTGGATTGTCTGGTCCAGACTTGATTATTTACAGACTGTGGTCATGCCTGGATGCATATACTGGTACCAGAGAGAAGCTGCATGGTGTGGATCATTGCTGATAATATCAATCACTGGATTGTCTGGTCTAGACTTGATTATTAACAGACTGTGGTCATGCCTGGATGCATATACTGGTACCAGAGAGAAGCTGCATGGTGTGGATCATTGCTCATAATATCAATCACTGGATTGTCTGGTCCAGACTTGATTATTTACAGACTGTGGTCATGCCTGGATGCATATACTGGTACCAGAGAGAAGCTGCATGGTGTATAGAGATATCACAGTCTACTCCTACTTTTATCTGATAGCCCTGCTGGGATTGCCAATTTGTACATACATGTATCAGATATCTTAACAAAACACAATAAATAAATCAAAAGGTCATTTTGAAACATATTTCATATAATTCACTCAGGTTAATATGGAAAAGACAAACTAGAGCCCACTTGCACAAAGGGATCTTAGCGCTAAGATGATCATAACTCCCATACTTTAACATAGGCTTGTGATAGTCTTAGCGCTAAGATCACTTTATGCAAGTGCGACCAGGTCCATGAGTGTGAGAACAGGCAGCTCCTTACCTGAGTCAGGCCTTCCGTCCACACCTTGACTGTTTGGTCTGCGGAGGCTGTGAAGATACACCCAGCCACCGACATGATGCTGGTGATGGCCTCCGCATGAATCTGGAACAAACACCCTACCATCAGTCCAGCTTCCTTGTAAGTCTGTGATCAGTATCTATCATGTAAACTAATCAAATGTCTGTTCATTGCAAACACTGGTAAACACAAGTTTGTGAAAATACAAGAAACTTCAATATCCTCCCTTCTACTTCCTTTCTTATTTAGGGACTGGTAATTTATTATGGGGAGTATGGAGGATCATGAAAAAATGTAACTTGAAATTGTTTGGTTTTGGGGAGGGAGGCCGGGATTTGACATATTTTTTACATAAAATGGGGGGGGGGGACCAATCTCACCAGCCACCAGTCCCTAAATAAGAAAGGAAGTCACATTTAATGTTCAATTGCTTACAGGTTTCACAAGTTTGACTGAGTTATGTCAAACCTGAACAGTATTTCAGTCACTACTTCCAAAATTGTTTTTCTCTGAAAGGAGACTTGGAAATATTTCGTTTTTCAAAACCAATTTTTTTTTCAGGACTTCCAGCATGCCCTGCAAGTTTTTCTTTCACTGAAACCTGAATCCAAATGGTTTTTTTCTGATATAATTTGGAACCAACATTTTAAGAATAAATAAATATCAGGACCCCTTCAAAATCTGAAAAGGTTCGTCCCTATATGGAGCAAATCTGGGATTTCAGGCAGCAAACCCTTGTTGCTAAGAGAGCACCAACTCAGCATTGGACCCATGAAAATTTAGGGTAGAATAGGTCTTCAGCAACCCATGCTTGCCATAAAAGGCGACTACGTTTGTCGTAAGAGGCGACTAACAGGATCGGGTGGTCAGACTCGCTGACTTGGTTGATGCATGTCATCGATCCCAATTGCATGGATCGATGCTCATGATATCAATCACTAGATTGTCTGGTCCAGACTCGATTATTTACAGGCTGCCGTCATATACCTGGAATATTGCTGAGTGCGTCGTAAAACAAACAAACAAACAAACAAACAAACAAACTCAGCATTGCGCCTTCAAGCATTCTCTGCCCCCCATTGCAGGCAAATCTTAGAATCAGCTCCCCCCCCCCCCACCCACCAAAATATCTCCAAAACCCTTTTTTCATAATTTTGCTGAAAACTATAATGTCTTCAATACCTTCACTGTTTTCCAGGTGTCAGGTGCTTGGTTTCTGTTTGCCACAGTTATCTGCCCCTTGGAGTCAACACAGTACACAGTTGTCCCCCTTTGCATGACATCCAACACCCATGTCTTGGTACGTTTGTGAGGAGGGACATGTTTGTCCAGTTCAGAGCTGTCCACAAACATCATCATTTTGGTCACCACTGGACTATTGTACTTGACCTGTGAACAAAGAGAAGAGTCACAGTTTCCATGGTGATGAAAAACACCTGCAAGTTAAACTTTGGACATACCTGTGTAATTTACACAATTCTGCCAAGGTTAAAGCAAATGTTGCTACAACTTTTTGAAAAATTGGGGTGGGGGCACTTAACAAAAAAAAAGTTGCATGAACATAAATAATTCATGTATACGTGTGCATGTGCGTGTGCATGTGTGTGTGCACGTATGCGTGTCTATTCTTGTACAAGTCAGGACTTATGCTTGTTATAGTGGCAGTCCACTGAGATACCATACCACGGGTGACTACCCCTCTCAGACACTGTATACTGGCATTAAGTTTACTGGTAATTGTATTCCCTTAATGCCGAGAGCCACGCAAGGTAACAACAAATATCATCTTTTAACATCTTTTGGCATGACACAGCTGGGGATGGAACCACCAACCTTCCACTCCGACCTCACTCTCCATCCACAAGACCATGGAGACGCTTACGGCTCGAGGATCAAGAGAAAAACATTCTAAGTGCCTCAGAGGATCTTTGGAAAAAAGCAGTTTGGAAGAGGACAAAAAAGAAAGGAGGGTTGATAATATGAGAGGTCCCTTTATATTTTGTATTGTATGCATGGCATTGTCCAAATCGTTGTAGGAACCGATTCTCCTTCTACCTCAACCTTTGCACTACCCCGGTTCAAATTCCTGAAAGTGATCCTCGCACGCAATGACTTGTAACTCCCATACCTTAACACAGAATTCCAACAGTACCAACACCCCTTTGTGGAGTGAGTGAATATAGTTTTACACCACTTTTAGCAATATTCCAGCAATATCGCGGCAGGGACACCAGAAATGGGCTTCACTCATAGTACCCATGATGGGAATCAAACCTGGGCCTTCAGCATGAAGAGCGAACACTTTAACCACTAGGCTACACAAGCATCCCCCTCTTGTGGAACAGAACCCCGAAGCCGAAAACTCACCTGCAGTACTGGCGCGACGTCCATGATGACAACCTTGCTGTCAGTGCCTGCTGTCAGAAGCTCCTGGTCAGAAAAGGTCAGCCTGGTAGACCAGCTGTTGTAGAAGCCAGCATTTGTCGGGTTCCTGGAAGAAACATGCAATCGTTAGACAAAGTAGGCTGGTGGAGGGGCCTGCTGGACAGGATACTGTCCAAACTCACTAAGCATGTTCCAGTACCAAAACAATGGCCTACACCTGGTCCCACGATGTAGTTGCATCGAATCTTTACCAATAAACTAGTGTTTTAATCTATTTCACATAGAGAGGTTTTATTAAGTAAAAAGACATACAATTTAATCACAAATGTTTGCTTGTTGTTTAACACCTAACTCAGCACTCTTCCAGCAATATGGCGTCTGTATGTAAATAATCGAGTTAATGACATCATAAGCATCGATCTACGCATTTTGGATACAATGACATGCATAAACTAAGATAGCGAGTCTGACCACTCAATCCCGTAGTCGCCTCTTACGACAAGTATAGTAGCCTTTTTCGGCAAGCATGGGTTGCTGAAGACCTATTCTAAGCTGAGTCTGACCACTCAATCCCGTTAGTCGCCTCTTACGACAAGTAAAGTAGCCTTTTTCGGCAAGCATTGGTTGCTGAAGACCTATTCTACTCTGGATCTCCACGGGTCCAATGCTGAGTTGGTGCTCTCTTAGCAACAAGGGTTTGGTGCCTGAAATCCCAGATTTGCTCCATGTAGGGACGAACCATTTCAGATTTTGAAGGGGCCTGGTATTTTAAAACGTTCTTCACAGGTATATTTTAATCAGAACTTAGGATACATATGTTCTATTCAACCACCAAGAGCATTCTCCACAGGAAAAGTTGTTACTTCACCTTATAGTATTGACAGGCGTGCCATAGTCCGTGTTCCATACGTTGATGGTGCCGTCCCATTCTGCGGAGAAAAAGGTGAGTCCGGACTTGGACGGGTACTTGTCATTCCAGGCCAGGGCTGTGATGGGAGTCATGACACTGAACACCTTTCCTTTCCTGCAATGACAGGGGGTAAGTGATAGACGGAAGTCTCACGGGTAAGTGATAGATGGAAGTCTCACGTGAAAAAAACCCACAGATGCACTTGAACATATTCTTATCTAAGTTGCTTTACTGCTAGGGTGACAACCCTACCAACAAATACAAAATATAATATTGGTGAAACCTTTGGCTTGCTATGAATGGCATTTTCCTTGTTTGAAACAAAAACTTTGTGGCTGACTGTAAATTAAACGTGGACAGTAAAATAGACTCAACTTGAATTGGTTTTAATTAAAACAGAAATCCTTTTTTACCTCCTATATGACTTGCAGTTAAAATTATATGTGTCCATTTTCAAATATAACTTGTGAATACAACACAATATTTTCTGTCCAAAAAAGTACAGGCAGGTTCATATGAAATGTTTTGTGTGTACCAGTCAGACATTTGCCGCTTCATAAGAGGGAGTGAGTCTGGTATATGCCACTTTTAGCAATATTTCGGCAATATCACGGCGGGGGAAACCAGAAATGGGCTTCATACATTGTACCCATGTTGGGAATCGAACCCAGGTCTTCGGTGTGACGAGCGAACGCTTTATCCACTAGGATACCTGACCGCCCCCGCTTAATAAGAAATGCCTGAAGTAATTAATTCTTGACACACCACAGAATGCGTGGAGAGTGATCCTGATGATGTGGGTATGATGACATACAAGCAGCCAGGTCACACATTGTAACCCTCAGGTGGTTCTTCATCAAGTTAATGCACTCTTTGTAACATGGTGGGGACCAGTCACAATTGTTGCCTGACGCCACTTTCAGAATCAATCTCATTAAAATCAGATCTTAGTTCTCGCTACAGCTAAACAAAGATCTGAGAACATCCAATTACTCGCCACATCAGACCGACCTTGCACAAACTTTGACCGACCAATGGAATGACCAATCAGAAGGAAGCTTTCTCATGTTACAGCACTAATTTCAAATTGGCGACTACGCTTCGAAACATATTTTGACAAATTCTCCATTACAAATTTGAAACCTGAACAAAAGAACATTCTGGAATGGTCTAGATTGTATGGATTCATTCGTTAAACCCGTAACTATCATTTGGAGTTAAAGTTTTCAAGGTTGCATGATTAGAAATCACATTCTGACTGTCACTTTCATAATCTGGTAAGCGATGCTCTGATTCATCAGATGAAAGGTCGTTCTGATGTGACCCCTAATGGGATGTCCTCAGATCTGTGTGTGTGCATTTCCTTCAATGCTGCACTCAGCAATATTCAATCTGTATTCAACGTGTAAATAATCACGTTTGGACCAAACAATCCAGTGATTGATAGTGTGAGCAACAATTCATGCCATCGTCATCAAGCAACTCAACGAGCGTGACCAGCCGATCCACTTTGTTGTCTCTTGCAACCAGTAAAGGTTGCTAGAGGCCTATCCTGACATGGAATTGCCACGGGGGAGAATTTCATGATGGAATATGGGACCAGAAAATAAGGGCATGGGCCCATTAGTCTGATGATAAGCACAGCTCACTTGACAAGGAAGGACTCTCTTTTCTTTATGATGTCCCATATGATGATTGTTGCATCATCAGAACCCGTGGCAAACTTGTTGCTGTGTCGGTTCACAAAACAGGCAGCATTCACCGATTTTTCATGAGCCTGCAAAAATGGATGTCATTGTATGAACTTGACAAAACATTTTGACTTACTGTTTCTAAAAGTATTGTGAATACACAGCATGTATTGTACTACAGATGGCAACATTAAATGGTACTGGACATATAATTTTATTCCGTGCTGCAGTGTGATTGGTTGAGAAAATGTGATTTAATTGGATTCGAAGCTCGGAAATCTCCTGGGCTATTCATTGCGCATGAATGATTTATCTTTTAGTTCGCAATCCCAATTTGTAAAAACGTGCCATTTTGGTTGTCAAAATGGGTAACACATTAATTAAATATTAAGCCAGATCAATATTTATTACATTAATACATTAAAGCATTCCAGCATGACATCAAGTCCATCTCACAACTGTGAGAGTACCCATACAGACAGAGTGGTTCCGGAAAATGATTACTAATTATTGTATTTTACAATGTCGATAAACAAAATTTGTTCTCAGATTTGCAGGTTTATTGACGTCAGTTCCATATGAAAATTCAGGGGATCCCACAAATCTGAAAACCCGTAACTCCTAAATTCAGTATTTAGTTCCATGCCCCAAGATCATACTAAGGGCAGATAACTCCTGCTTCCTACTAACAAAAATAAAAATGGCGTCCTACCTTGAAGCTGTAAGAGCATGCTCTCTCGTTGGTGACAGGATCCAAGGTCCATATCTTCACGATACCATTTCTAGAGTAGAAAATAATAATGGTCCAACAAATATACAGGGAATGTATCAAAGCCATACCAAATTCTGCATGAAATCTTCAATAAACACAACTTAGATAAAATTTGTGGGAAACAGAACAAGTTCACTTTATTTAAACTATGAATGCATCATAAATGCTCTACTGAAGTAATCCCAGATTCGTTCTGTTTAGACAGATTCCAAGGCATTTCAAACATAAAAGCTTACATTCTCTTGTTGTAAGTTTACCAAAATGTCTTGGCACCCATGTGGCAATCACACATCAACGGCCTGCACCCAATTTTCAAAATTTGTCATTGTTTTCTGTCTTTTTTTCAACATAACAGATGCCATTTGCAAACTTAGAATCTTAAATCACCACATACCGGCTTCCTGTGAGAACTGTAGAGCTATCTGGAGAGGCAACACAGAAGGTGACCTCAGCATCATGGCGACCGATGACGTGTTCCTCACTGAGCTGTGGGGTCCAGAGTCTCACTGACTTGTCCAATGAACAGCTGCATACATTGCCAGACTTGTCCGATGCTACTGACAACACTCGATCCGAGTGCCCAGTCAGAGATGCCAACTCATTTGCCTGGAAGAAACATGTTTGTAATTATCAGAGAGCTAATTGATTGTTTGTGTATCATAAAGAATTTATTGCTGCCATTTGCAAATTGAAATATATCTGAAGCAGAGAATGAAATGATTTGCTTGCTATAGACCATACACAATGGACAATCAGGCTTTAAACCTGGACTTGTGTCAAAATAATTTCTTAAAAAAATATACCCCCGGTATATGACTGAACAAAGTCAGGCATCATGAATATTTTTTGGGATATCTTTATGAAATTGTGTGCCCAGTCTTCATGACAAAACATATCACCCAAAATATTCATGACCCTCACGTATTTTATTCAGGACATAAAGAAATTAGAGTGTGCACCACAGTCTGATCGGTGGAACACATATTTTGATAGGATTGCAAACCTAAAACCCTCTAACTAATAATTAGAGAATAAGTCTTTTTTGAGTATATTTACTTGTTATAAGTTATTGGATCACACCTGTCGATATGTCTTTTAAAAAAATGACATGAACATGATATACATTAATGATGAACTGCATTAAAATTCGAAGATTTAAATGTTAATTTTTATATACATCCTCTGAAAGAAGGGATCACATTTCATGGAAGCATTTGACATCATCCACTGATTAATGATATCCCTGAAAGTGGTGGCACTGGTTTCTCACACTGACAGTGAATGATGATGCTGCTGCCATGTCTTTGGGCATGAAGAAGCTGAAGAGTGAGTGAATGTGTGTGTATGGTTTTACGCCGCTTTTAGCAATATTCCAGCAATATCACAGCGGGGGACACCAGAAATGGGCTTCACACATTGTACCCATGTCGGGAATCAAACCCGGGTCTTAGGCATGACGAGCAAACGTTTAAACCATTAGGCTACCCGACCGCCCCAGAAGCTGAAGAACATGACATACAATGACATCACTGGAACTTCAGTTAGCTTGTCACAAATATGTCTCAAGAAGTTGATACCAAAAATATGTTAGGTTTCATCCAATATTAAGGTGATATGCCACGATGTTACTAAAATATTGTTCAAAGACGCATTCAACCCAACTCATTCACCAAGAAGTCTGGAGTAGAACCTGTCATCACTTCAAGGACGACTATGCTGGTCCTGTACTGACCTGCAGGGGTTTCCAGAGTCTCAGAAGACCATCGTCTGCACACGTGGCCACGATCACATCCTGCATCTTGATGTCCGAACGTCCAGACTTCTTGTCAGGTGTATCAATCTCGGGAGCTGCCCAGTCCATTGTCTCCTCCTCAGTTGCTAAAAGATGCATGGAAAGGTCACAGTACTAGAGCCGACCGCTTTCAAGCTCACATAGTAACATATGTCCCCAGGCAGTGTGACCTTTGACCCAAACAGAGTGGTCCTTTTCTTATGGTATCACAACAGGATTGGATGACCTAAACTAAATTTATTTACAAGAAATCATGATATATCTTGTATATTCACTCTAATAAAGTGACTGGCAGGGATTTTTCCAGGATTCCACACTAAGTGCCTCTGGCAGGCAAATTGGGAAAAAAATTCATTTGTTTGTTCAAATTGGTCAGTAAAATAAAAGTCACCCCTACAAAGCTATAACATTGATTAATATTATACAACCTAATATGAATTAGGAAATTTGGAATTTTTTACTGACATTTGCTACAGGCTTGGGATGGAATACCTGCCTCTGAGCAGGTCAAGATAAACCCCTGAAATGGACATTCATGAAAACAAACACCCATTAACATCCAACATTTGATGTGGCTCAGGTCAGTGTAAAATACTTACTGTCCTCCACATCTGCCCCTTGTTTGACCTTGACCACAATGTCACAGCTGTTGACCCTCTGTGTGTGTCCGAGCAGGGTGGTGATCTCAGTGCCCTTGTGTGACCACACCTTTACATGACCATCACTGGACGCTGACACGATACACCCATACTGAAATACATGATACACCGATACTGAAATACATGATACACCCAAACTGAAAACATGGTACACCCATACTGAAATACATGACACACCCAAACTGAAAACATGGTACACCCATACTGAAATACATGATACACCGATACTGAAATACATGACACACCCAAACTGAAAACATGGTACACCCATACTGAAATACATGACACACCCAAACTGAAAACATGGTACACCCATACTGAAATACATGACACATCCACACTGAAAAACATGACACACCCATAATGAAATACATGACACATCCACACTGAAATACATGACACACCCATACTGAAATACATGACACACCCATACTGAAAAACACGGTACACCCATACTGAAAAACATGATACACCGATACTGAAATACATGACACATCCACACTGAAATACATGACACATCCACACTGAAATACATGACACATCCACACTGAAATACATGACACATCCACACTGAAAAACATGACACACCCATAATGAAATACATGACACATCCACACTGAAATACATGACACACCCATACTGAAATACATGACACACCCATACTGAAAAACACGGTACACCCATACTGAAAAACATGATACACCCATACTGAAAAACATGGTACACCCATAATGAAATACATGACACATCCACACTGAAATACATGACACATCCACACTGAAAAACATGACACACCCATAATGAAATACATGACACATCCATACTGAAATACATGACACACCCATACTGAAAAACACGGTACACCCATACTGAAAAACATGATACACCGATACTGAAATACTTGACACATCCACACTGAAATACATGACACATCCACACTGAAAAACATGACACACCCATAATGAAATACATGACACACCCACACTGAAAAACATGACACACCCATACTGAAATACATGACACACCCATACTGAAAAACACGGTACACCCATACTGAAAAACATGATACACCGATACTGAAATACATGACACATCCACACTGAAATACATGACACATCCACACTGAAAAACATGACACACCCATAATGAAATACATGATACACCCATACTGAAAAACATGATACACCCACACTGAAAAACATGGTACACCGATACTGAAAAACATGATACATCCACACTGAAAAACATAATACACCCTCACTGAAACACATGATACACCCATACTGAAAAACATAATACACCCTCACTGAAAAACATGATACACCTATACTGAAAAACATAATACACCCTCACTGAAATACATGATACACCCATACTGAAAAACATGATACACCCTCACTGAAAAACATGGTACACCTATACTGAAAAACAGAATACATCCATACTGAAAAACATAATACACCCTCACTGAAAAACACGATACACCCATACTGAAAAACATGAAACACCCACACTGAAAAACATGAGACACCCTCACTGAAAAACATAATACACCCTCACTGAAAAACACGATACACCCATACTGAAAAACATGAAACACCCACACTGAAAAACATGAGACACTCTCACTGAAAAACATGGTACACCCATACTGAAATACATGATACATCCACACTGAAAAACATAATACACCCTCACTGAAATACATGACACACCCATACTGAAAACACGACACACCCATACTGAAATACATGATACCCATACTGAAAAACATGACACATCCACACTGAAAAACATGAGACACCATCACTGAAAAACATGATACACCCATACTGAAAAACATGAAACACCCACACTGAAAAACATGAGACACCCTCACTGAAAAACATAATACACCCTCACTGAAAAACACGATACACCCATACTGAAAAACATGAAACACCCACACTGAAAAACATGAGACACTCTCACTGAAAAACATGGTACACCCATACTGAAATACATGATACATCCACACTGAAAAACATAATACACCCTCACTGAAATACATGACACACCCATACTGAAAACACGACACACCCATACTGAAATACATGATACCCATACTGAAAAACTGATACATCCACACTGAAAACCATAATACACCCTCACTGAAAAACATGGTACACCCATACTGAAAGACATGGTACACCCATACTGAAATACATGATACTCATACTGAAAAACATGACACACCCATACTGAAAGACATGGTACACCCATAATGAAATACATGATACACCCATACTGAAATACATGACACACCCATACTGAAAAACATGGTACACCCATACTGAAAAACATGATACCCCCTCACTGAAAAACATGGTACACCCATACTGAAAAACATGGTACACCCATACTGAAAACCATAATACACCCTCACTGAAAAACATGGTACACCCATACTGAAATACATGATACTCATACTGAAAAACATGACACACCCATACTGTAAGACATGGTACACCCATAATGAAAAACATGATACACCCACAATGAAAAACATGATACACCCACACTGAAAAACATGATACATCCACACTGAAAAACATGATACATCCACACTGAAAAACATGATACACCCATACTGAAAAACATGATACACCCAATGTGAAGTGAATATGTTTAACACTTTGGTGAATCTGGGATTCAACCCATGACCATAGGCTTCAAGCATGTCTAAGGTACACAACTTAACACAGCAAGTTGTGGTGCCTCAGATGACTCAGTCACCTGTGTCCCCCACATAATGTTGGAATAAATTCTGTAGCATTTAGCAAGTGCAGTTAAATTTTAAATGCTTAAATACTTTTCCAGGTGGAAAAACAGCCCAGCCTTTTACCTGGAATGCCACGGAGTTGACCGCAGACATGTGACCGGTCAGTTTGTTCTTCTCTGCTCCGGTCTTGACGTCCCAAACCTTCAGGTTGAAATCATTGGAGCCTGTCACCTGGGGAATGAGGGAGTCATCAGAAAGTGGCCACATATGATGAAGTGCTAACTAGGGGTCCATGTTTGCTTGTTGTTTAATGCCCCCGACTCAGCAATATTCCAGCAACAGAACAGGAGCCTCAAAATAATCAGATAAACCAGTGATTGATATCTGACCAATAATCCTTGATCAATGACAAGTAATCAACGAAGTCTCTGAGCCTAAATACCCAATCATTTAGTTGCCTCAAACAATATGCACAGGTTGGCTGAGACGTATTCTAACCCGGAATCCATGAAGACTATACCGCCAATCATTTAGTTGCCTCAAACAATATGCACAGGTTGACTGAGACGTATTCTAACCCGGAATCCATGAAGACTATACCGCCAATCATTTAGTTGCCTCAAACAATATGCACAGGTTGACTGAGACGTATTCTAACCCGGAATCCATGAAGACTATACCGCCAATCATTTAGTTGCCTCAAACAATATGCACAGGTTGACTGAGACGTATTCTAACCTGGAATCCATGAAGACTATACCGCCAATCATTTAGTTGCCTCAAACAATATGCACAGGTTGACTGAGACGTATTCTAACCTGGAATCCATGAAGACTATACCGCCAATCATTTAGTTGCCTCAAACAATATGCACAGGTTGACTGAGACGTATTCTGACCCGTAATCCAAGTAAAGCATACATGGCCAATGTGGAGAAGTGACAAGCTGCTAACTTGCCGAACCATATTGACATGTCAGATTATGAAATACAAGTAACAGAATCTCTCTACAACTGTAAGAAGCGAAGAGCAACTGCACTCGAGTTATTTCTCACTACATGTACTGTGTTCCGGACTGTGTTTCTGGAAAAGAACTTGTGCTAAGCGGACACTTGTCAATCTGGGCTGAGGTGCTGCAAGTTTGCCTGCACTACTCCAACATGTGGGAAATGACTTAGTTTGACTTCCTGTCTTAATATCATGTGAAAAGGATTCACCATTTCTTGTTTTTACAAGAAATCACCATCAGTTTCAATAATATTTCCAGGATTTGAATTCTCCATTGAAAGTAAGTGCAAATGTACCTAGTAAAGCTAAATGGATATGCAAATGTTTGTTTGTTTGTTTATTCCGGCTATGTGACAGCCGGTGGTAAATAAACAAGTCTGGACCAGACAATCTAGTGACTGCCAACATGAGCATCGATCTACGTGATTGGAATATGATGACACGCAACAACAAAGTCAGCGAGCATGACCACCTGATCCCGTCAGTCGCCTCTTACAACAAGCATGGGTTGCTGAAGACCTATATCCTCTACCTGGATCTTCAAGGATCAGGTAATGCAAATGAGGTAAAGGGGGAATGGGTAGGTTATGGGTAGGAATGGTGGCTCTTGACTTTAGTCTACGGACATTTCCAAGTGATTCCAGTGCCATTTGGCACCCTCATTGCCTTCCGTAATCTGCAAGATACTGAGTGGTGAGCAATGAGCCAGTACGGTGCCAACTGGAAACGTCTCAAAATGTGGTCAAAATCAGAAAACACAAACTGTTCATCTAGTGACTGTCATACCAGGTAGTCGCCGATGTTGGACCACCTGCAGGAGTTGATCCAGTCGTTGTGGCAGGCGTGAAGCGTCCTCTCCGCCACCGCATCAGGGTCCAGTAGGACTTGGAACATGTCCCAGATCATCACAGACTGAAAGAAGAAATTTACTTTGTGAGTCAACATGTTATGGGGAAAGTCCTTCTCATAAGCAGTTCCATGGAACCAGCTACCATTTGAGCTCAAACCTATCCTGTTTAAAGCACTTCTCAAGATTTATCTCTTCTGTCAAGCCTATCTCTAGAAACTGTCCAGTGTGTGCTTAGAACACGCCACAGTGCATGGAGATTAGCGCAATGTTATTATGTTAGATAGTGAGTGAGTATGGTTTTACGCCGCTTTTAGCAATATTCCAGCAATATCACGGCGGGGGACACCAGAAATGGGCTTCACACATTGTACCCATGTCGGGAATCGAACCCAGGTCTTCGACGTGACGAGCGAACGCTTTAACCACTAGGCTACCCGACCGCCCTATGTTAGATAAAAATGGCAGTGGAGAGGCAGGCAGTGGGATTGGTCTAAGGCCTGTATCATAGTTTGAAGACCCCCCCAACCCCCAATTTTATGTTTGTTTGTTTTTTTAGTTCATGCACCCCCTCCTCTCTAATACAAGTAACATTATTTCTTGACAAACACAGACACAAACATAAATGACCAGTCCTTCGCTGTGTCTTTTTTCATGTCGCCTTCCCCCATCCAACCCACCCCCACCTCCAACTCCATTAATCTCTCTCCGGGGAGATATTGCTTGATCTCACAGTGGTATCTCCTGCAGAAGTCCGTTTTGGATGATGAAACAAGGTAGCCAGGGCTATAATGTGTTACTCACAGCATCTCGACTGGCTGTGGCCAGCTTGGTGTGGTTCGAGTTGAAGGAGCAGCTGGTCACTGGGGCAGTGTGACCCTTCAAGGTCGCCATCGGGGAGGGTCTGGAAACACACAACCAATCCACCATTACCTCATTTAGTCTGTGTGCATATGTGTCTTCAGTGTATAGCCCCTGACATGCCTCGCATTTAGTCTGTGTGCATGTGTGTCTTCAGTGTATAGCTCCTGACATGCCTCACATTTAGTCAGTGTGCATATGTGTCTTCAGTGTATAGCTCGTGACATGCCTCGCATTTAGTCTGTGTGCATATGTGTCTTCAGTGTATAGCTCCTGACATGCCTCGGCTGATATTCTCATGATGATCATTAAAGCAAAGGGTTAATCGCGTCAGGTAGTAAAATTATTTGCTTGTCACACAGAAGCACCGGGTTCAATTCCCCACCAAGTGCGAAACCATTTTTGGTGGCCCTCAGCAAAAACATGAGCAGACCCATCAGATGCTCTCTCTTTCCATAGTTTGTTTGTTGTTGTTTTTGTTTGCTTGTTTGTTCATAAACATCACACTTATTCCAGCTTTATGACAGCAGTATGTAAATAATCGAGTCTGGGCCAGTCAATCCAGTGATTGATATCATGAGCATCTACCCAAGTCAGCTTGCCTGCCCACCGAATCCTGTTAGTCATCTCTTATGACAAGCACAGTCGCCTCTTACAGCAAACATGGGTTGCAGGAGACCCATTCTAACCCGGGTCTTCACAGGTCTCTTGTAATGGTAAAACACTCATATAGACCTTTGTGCAGGACCACCTGCGAAGACCCTTAAAGCCCTGACCCTTAAAATAATCCACCCCCTCCCCTAAAATATACACCAAAAACATCCAACCCTGCACCTGAGGCAGATTTTCACAAAGTTTCACAAGTCCATCTAAAATACCTTGAATAGGACCATGATGTTTAACCAAGGTAGGTCAATAAAAATCCAAAGGGTTCTACAGTTCATGTGTGACTCACAAATTTGTTTGGTTTGTTTGTTGTTTACACTGCACTCAGCAATATTCCAGCTATATGACAGTGGTTTGTAAATATTTGACTCTGGACTAGACAATCCAGTGATTGACATCATGAGCATCGATCTATGCAATTGAAATATGATGACATGCATCAACCAAGTCAGCGAGTCTGACCACGTGATCCCGTTAGTCTCCCCTTACGTAGAGCATGGGTTGCTGAAGACTAATTCTAACCCTGATCTTCACGGCGTGACTCACAAATGGTAGGTCATAATGACCTAATAATTTAATAAGTTGGCCAATGCCCCTTCCCGTATGTCTGTCTGACCAATGATGTGGTTTCTATACCAGGACTTCCAACTTGGAGTTGGTGAACCTCCTTACCTGAGTGCCTTCTTACACTCCCGGGGCGAGCCGAAGATGAGGCAGGTGTAGTCCTCCCCACAGCTGGCCACGTACTTGGCGGTGACCGTCACACACAGCACTGGCATGGTGTGTCCCTCCAGAGATGCTACCTTGGTGGCCGTGGTTCCGTCCAACATCTACACACAGACAATGTTACAACCATATATCATACCATCGACTATCAAACTGGTGACCATGAATTTGGAATCTACTCGATTCTGATTGGTCAATCAGAGGCTATTAAATCACAATAAACCCCCTCTGATTGAAACAGCTGGTTCACGGCCGCATCACCACGGAAGCTAATATTCATAGAATAGTACTATTTTCAGTCATTGTCGGTAGGCATATTTAAATAATTACCGTATTCGACGTAATAAGCGCCCTGCTCTAATAAGCGCCCACGGCGATATTTGCTAATATATTGGCTAGTGAACAATCCCAGTCAGCACCCCTTCCGATTGATAAAAGTATACAATGTACAAAAGACTGCGCGTTTGGTTCCAAATTCAATTTAGCACAGTTAAATCTACAGGTAACCTAGCTCTACATTGAAAACACAGTATGTTTATCTCCTAATTGTCTTACTGCAATTGGGGCCTGATCCTGTACAACTGCACTACATCGATAGATTGATCAATTGTTACATTTTAAAGGATGCAAAGTACTGCATCCTTTAGGCATACACATTGAGAATGAAGTATTCGAATCTATTCGGTTGAGAAATACATTGAAAGTTCCGGGTGTCAGTGGTTGATTTTCTTCCATGTAACATTGAAATCCCCATCGATGACAGACTTAAGGCTTCTGAACATGAGCAGTGGTAGGGCATTAGTACATTCTTTGAAACCAAATGAAGCGTGATATTGTCTCCAGCATGGGCCCCCATATTCATACCTTGTATTTCTGAACACGATGGAATGAGATGGACCGAGGTCAATTCCTGCCTCCTACTCACCAGCACCATGTTGTCGTCAGCGCCTGTGAAGACGTAGCGTCCGTCCCGACTGTAGGCTAGAGCTCTCACGGCTGCACTGTGATGCTTCACCTCTGCCAGCTGCATGCCTACAGCGTAAACAACGAGGGTCAGGTTTTCATTGTTTGTGAGACGTCGAGAACCTCACCCGAGTGTCCTTTGATATCATGTATATGTCGCTAAAAGTTGAAAACTCAGATGCTTGATGACACTTAGTCTCATGTGTTGATACATTTAATATAAAAAGACATGAGGGTAACATTCTATTTATCATACAATAACGTTCTTCCAACTTTTTCAGTTTGTAATCAGTAGTAAGCAGTGTCTTGTGTGCACAAATACAGCAAACCAGCGTCAGTGGCAGATGACATCACAATAGTCTGCAAAGCATGGAAACCACAACTTTCTCTCACAGCATCGATCACACTATATTTTTGATAATATTTATGTTACATCATCGACCCCCTCGTCCATCACTTCCCTTGATTGCTGTCTTCAGTTAACCTAATCAACGGAAGTAAACAGATCCCCACCTGTGTTGACATCAAAGACGCGAACATGGCCCTCATGGTATCCCGCGGCAACCAGATCTCCTCCAGGAGAGAGTGCTACAGAAGTGACCGGTCCGTTCTTCTCTGACCCCAGGCAGTGTAGTGGAACTCCCAGATGCCCAGACCATACCTGGAGGTCAAAGGAGGTCAAGATATTCATATCACGTACCAAACATATACATACACAGATTTATCTACAAAGTGCCCCTGGCAGGCAAATTGGGGAAAATTGTTAAAAAGTGGGATTTGTTTACAGTTCTTATTTCTTAAACTCAGAGGCTTTTTAAGATTGATTTTTAACATTGCTCTCAATGCATTAAAGTAAAGCCTAGCACCAGAGCCCTTACTGTTTATTGGTCCTGTTATCAGTGAACTAGAAGCCACCTCTGCATGGCTATGGCTATGACATCAGTTATAACTTTAATACCACGAATTGGTGATTTTCACTGCTGTTAACTTGGGGCTGATTATTGGTCTCTGAGCAGGTGTAGATAAATCCCGGACACAGCAGTGCAAGCTGAATAACATGGGGATCAACAGTGCCTCTTGCCATTACCTGGCCATTTGGGGACCATTCATCTAGCAGTTGATAGAAGAAACTGTTGTTTGTGGTTCTTCCACCTCAGTGAGCATATTTCAGCTCCACACAGAAGCAGGGTTCAAACTAACACAAGCCCGTTAGTCCAAGACTAGTACATTTCAGGAAGAGCTAGGGACATTTCATTGCGGCCTGTTTTACCAGAAAGAAGATGGCATCTCTGTAGCAGACAATTTTTGTGGACCAGTGAAATATAAGTTTCTAACCCTGAGCTGCCTGTAAATAATGGAGTCTGGGCTAGACAGACCAGTGGATGATATAATGAGCACCGCCAAACACCATCAGGGTACAATGACACACAATTACCAAAGTCCCAGTGTTTGGGACCTATTCTAGCCTGGGTCTCCACAGGGAAATATATAAACTGAAGCAGGAATCTATGAAGTGTGGCAAACTGACATAAAATCTTATAATGAATGTACTGAGGCCACAAACTATAAAGTTGATGAAAACTGCAAATATTTCAAAACTGACCTTAATCTTGTGGTCATCACTGACAGTGACCAGTTCCTTCCCTGTAGGGGTGAAGGTCAGTTTGTTGATAGGCAGGGAATGACCACAGATGTTTCCGACCTGAAACAAAACAAATATTATGTTACATGAACCAGCATCAACGTCAAACTCATTTCAAGATACCCTTAATGGGCAGCTGTCAAACTCCTCAGTATTTCAATAACACATACAGCTAGCTGTTAGCACAAAATACTTTAGGTAAATTTGAAGGAGGTACCCTCACTTTCTTAGGTTAACAATACAGTAACAAACGTCATCAAAACACAGACCAAAATCATATATAATCAGTCAAATTTGGAACATAAATCTGTTTCTTCATAAAATGCATTGTTTCAATTATCTAAAAAAATGTGACAGATAATAAAACTGACAGAATATGTACATGTAAATGTACATAAGCTATATTCCCCAAGAACAAGCATGAAATACTCATATCCTCCGCCAATACTGCCATTTTCAATCTAAGTCAAAGTTGTTGCCATGGAAACTTGAAAAATACTTTTTTCAAAAATCCCAAACTATCAAAAGGCACCAGTTCACCACTAGACCTATCTATGTGCCAAGTTTGGTTAAGATATCTCTCATGGTTTTTGAGTTCTGCTCCAGAAACGAAACATGATGGACGACGGACGGACAACACCCATTCCATATACTATATATGTTATGAATTTGTACGCTTTCCTATATATAACGCCTCAAATGTACTTAAACCGTGACAGATTATCGTTACCCCAGTTACTGGATCAGTGTCCACTTGACTTTCTTTCTCATCTCTATAGGCAGAGTACAACCAAAGCTGCCCGTGAGGCGCTAGAAGACTAACATTTACGATGACGAAGAAACTCTCAGGAGTCAAGCTGAGTCATCCATCCAACTACTCTCATCAACCACATTGCTTATCTTCACCTGGACCCCCTTGCACAAAGCGATCTTAGCGCTAAGACTATTGTAAGCCTATGTTAAAGTATGGGAGTTACGATCATCTTAGCGCTAAGATCACTTTGTGCAAGTGGGCCCTGATTTGTGACCTGTGTGCTGTACACAGGACCATAGTGCAATTGTACAAAACAACCTTAGTGTTACGACTGTTGTAAGTCTATGTTAAGGTATGCGAGTTACGGCCACCTTAGCACTAAGATCACTTTGTACAACGGCACCCATGTGTCCAAATTTATTTACACAAGGTTATCAAAATATCTTTTAATAACAATATGTGAGTCTGTCCACAAAATATTCAACGTACTTGTGAGCCATTTGTCGCAGACCAGATCTTGACACCACCGTCCAGGGCTGCTGAGGCAATGTGTCGGCCGGAGGGAGAGTAGGCCACGTCCCGCACTGATGAACTATGACCTCGCAGCACCTGCAACATTCCACAGATGTAAACTACTGGAAACCCACAGGATCTTAACACACATGATCCTAGAGAACAAGGGAACTGAGGTGTATTAAAATTTAATAACATCATGAATTTGTATAGCACACTTTCCAGTTTATGACTGCTCTAAAGCACTTAGACCATGCTAGAACTGAGTAAAGACTTGCTTAAAGAGACATGGGTTTAATGTCTTTCAATCAAATGTCTGATTCTCTGATTTCCGGCAGAAGATTAAAGTTCATATTTTCCTACATATTACAATCACAGGTATTTTTACTTTAAATTGTAACTTTGCATTCAATCAATGTAATAGTGTGAAACTAAGCATTCTGTTATTGTATACTGTATAACATTAGTTATAAATATATCAGCATGAATTGACAAATGTCTGTTCCAATTTGAGAAATTTTACTGAAATTTGCTGCAGACTTGGGGCTGAATATCGACCTCTGAGCAGACCTGCATAAATCCTTGGACCTCAGGTTACACAAGTACTTACAGCCTTCCTCTTTTTATGGAAGACATCAAAGATCTTGAGAGTGGAGTCCCAGCCCCCAGCAACGATCAGCTGACCCTCGGGATGGAAGTCTACACAGTTGACGGGGCTGCGGATATAAGTTACAAAGTTGTACAGCCTTCATTGAGCCACCAGAGATTATTGGAGGTGCTTTGTGTTTTCTGTGCCATTTATTCTGCAGTGAGTGAGAGAGTATGGTCTAATGCCACTTTCAGCAATATTCTGATAATATAACGGCCCGGAAAATCAGAAATGATAACATAAGGAATTGAACCAGGACCTGCAGCATGACAATCAAATACTTTAACCACATGGCCACTCTCATTGCTTGTTCAAAAGTGAACAAGGGGACACGGGTGGCCTAGTCGTCTAAGGCGCCCCGATTTGCTGTGCAGAGTTGCGTCCCTTGGGCACACCAGAAACCTTTGATTGTGGGTTCGAATCCCTGTTCGCCCCGATTATGTTTCTAGGTTTGTCAGCACCATACCAGTGCTCCTGGGTTTCACCGAAGTGGTAAACGTCTGAGACCTGGATCACTTCGGGCTTTCCTCCCGCATTAAGCTGACATGCCGTGATATAACTGGAATACTGTTAAAAGCGGCGTTAAACCCAACTCACTCACTCAAAAGTGAACAAGCATGAAATACTCATATCCCCCACCAAAATGACATGTCCAGTTGCATGCAAGACATTAGCCCTCCGGAAACGAACAACTGCCATTTTCAGTCTAAGTCAAAGTCGTTGCTATGGAAACTTGAAAAATAAATTCGTGAAAAATCCCAAACTTTCCAAAGGCATCATGAAAAGTGACAGACGGACGGACGGAAGGTCGGACGGACAGCACCCATTCCTTTATCCCCCCCTTCAACTTCATGGTGGGGGATAATGATATACAATTAGTAATCATAGGTCTGTGGTTTAACCTCAAATGGATCAGGGTGAGCGGGATCTGAGCTGTGCTCTGTGAACAGATCGGTGCGAACACCACACTCTACAGGTGCAGGTAGAATGTTTGTTGTCTACAGCCAGAAAAAGTATTCACTAAAACTTGAACTCAGACATTGGTATCATGACAGAACACATGTCCCCTCGATTTCAATTGTCTGAATTTCAAAAAGTCAGTTTGTGAAAACCAGCTAGAACCCAGGTTTCACACAATGTGTCAGAATATATCTGGTTAAGTTTCAGTTGACTCCTGGTCTTCAACCGGAAGTAGTTTTGAATACTCAAATTGATGATAAATCATCATACAGAAAATGAGTGTTTGGTCATATCATCACATTGTAGCTTAAAGTGAAAGGGAAGCCCAAGTTCATGCAGGTCTTGGACAAAAACCACGAGCCCAGGATAATAAACCTAATAAGGGCGATTCAAACTGATCACAAGTTCCTGGCACGCCTAAGGGAAGCAACTGTGTAAGTCAATTGCAGTGCCTCAGATGAGTGTCCACGGCCCTGTGCATGGCGGCATGGGTGTCCCAGTTGTCTAAGGCACTGCAATTTGTTTGGCAGAGTTGTTGCCCTTGGGCACTCTAGAAACCTATGATTGTGGGTTTGAGTGCAGGTTCGCCCTGATTATGTTCTGGGTTTGTCAACACTAAAGAGTGGGTTTCACCAAAGAGGTAAATATCTGAGACCTGCATCACTTCGGGATTTCCCTCCACACACTGACACACTGTGACATAACTGAAATCCTGTTAAAAGCATTACTGTATTCGACGTAATAAGCACCCCGCTCTAATAAGTGCCCACGGCGATATTGGCTAGTATATTGGCTAGTGAACAATCCCAATTAGCACCCTTCCGATTGATCTAATCATGCAATTTCGAAAACTTTAACACAGGGTATTCCGAAAGATAGTTACAGGTTTAACGACTGAATCCATACAATCTAGACCATCTATTGGCCATTCGAGAATGTTCTTTTGTTAAGGTTTCAAATTTGTAATCGAGAATTTGTCAAAATATGTTTCTAAGGGTAGTCGCCAAGTAGAAATTAGTGCCCTAAAGCTTCCTTCTGATTGGTCATTCCATTGGTCGGTCAAAGTTCACGCAAAGTCGGTCTGACGTGACCCGTAATGGGATGTCCTCAGATCTTTGTTTAGCGGTAGCTAGATTGTTTGTCCTCTCTCCACTTTGTTTGTTTGTTGTTTAACGCCGCACTCATCAATATGCCAGTTATATGACGGCGGTCTGGAAATAATCAAGTCTGAACCAGACTATCCAGTGATTGACATCATGAGCATCAATCCACACAGTTAGGATATGATGACATGCATCAACCAAGTCAGCGAGCCTGACCACCGACCAGGTTAGGCCCTCTTTTGACAAGCATTGTCGCCTTTGTATGGCAAGCATGAGTTGCTGAAGACCTATTCTACCCTGGATCTCTCACCTGTCTGTGTTCAGGTGGCAGACAATCTCCGTGGAGCCAGTGTTCCACACCTTGATCTGACTGTCCCAGCCCCCAGATGCCACCAGCTTACCAGACTGGTCGGCCGAGCAGGAGTTGACCCGACGCTGGTGACCTTTAAGAACTGCAATTCTGAAATACACATACATTCAGCCTTAGAAATAAACTTAGCGTACACCTTATTTAGTCCTCACAATTTGCAGCTAGTCCTGCTTGAACAAAATGAAAACTGTCAAAAACATAATCTATCAGTTTTATTTAGTTGCAATTTTTAGCAAAAATAAAGCATTGAGAACTGGTTCAGAATAATAGCCCTCAGATGCTACTAGTCAATGAGGACTACCAATATTGGATTTCAATTTGTACTCAGTGCTGCTAAGTGTTCTCCATCTATCCTGCTAGTGTGAATTTTGAAGGCTGTATTGCACTACTGATAAAATGCAATTTAGCATACCGTATTTGACGTAATAAGCGCCCCACTCTAATAAGCGCCCACGGCGATATTTGCCAATATATTGGCTAGTGAACAATCCCAATCCGCATCCCTTCCGATTGATCAATGTACGCAAGACTTATTTATTCGTGAATAATACGCACTCTTGTGTTATATCACCATTAATTATGGGCAATTAAATTCTTGAAAAATATATCTGTCGTATGTAAACATTTCAGGTTGTTAGCATAAACCACGAAATTTACGATCTTTCAACTAAAAATAATATTCTAATAAGCGCCCCCTATTTCTAATTTTGAGTGCGCCCTGAGCACTTATTACGTTAAATAAGGTAACTACCAAGCCATAAAGCCAGACATGGTTGTCTTCTACAAACAACCTCCACAATCAGCTGGAACCTACCTGTGTCCATCCTCTACATGCCACAGGCACAAGCTGTTGTCTAGGGATGCGCTGCACAAGACACCCTTCCCCACGAAACACACGTCGGCGATGGCGTCGGCATGTCCTCGGAATGAGCGGATCTCCTGGGATTAGTAAACAGACATGACTGTCAATCCCTGCAGTTTCATTAATCATGCGATGAGAGACACCTACTAAGGTTTACAATGAGTATTCACACAAGCAAATGACTCTGTTTACCTTAACAACCTTGTCATACCAAACAGTTGTTTGTTGTTGTTGTTGTTGTTTTGTTGTTTAACACTGCACTCAGCAATATTCCAGCTATATGACCGCAATCTGTAAATAATCGAATCTGGTCCAGACAATCCAGTGATTGATATCATGAGCATCTATCCACGCAATTTGGATTGATGACATGCATCAACCAAGTCAGTGAGTCTGACCACCCGATCCTGTTAGTCGCCTCTTACGACAAGCATTGTCGCCTTTTATGGCAAGCATGTCATACCAAACTGAAGCAAGGGACGAAGAGTAATTACTCAGTGCTTGATGATGATGATGATGATGTCTGACAAACTCTTACTTTTCCACACAATGTAGATCTTTGAACACTCTCAATACCTCCAAGCTTTATGTACCATACTACATCACTAAAACTGGGGGCGGTCGGGTGGCCTAGTGGTTAAAGTGTTCGCTCGTCACGCGGAAGACCCGGGTTCAATTCCCGACATGGGTACAATGAAGCCCATTTCTGGTGTCCCCCGCCGTGATATTGCTGGAATATTGCTAAAAGCGGCGTAAAACCATACTCACTCACTCACTAAAACTGTCATCGACATCAACAAAAAAAAACCAGTTAATATTTAAATAAATAAAAAACAAGTGAACAAATCATCAGTGACCCAGATCTGTTTCCAGGGTAACAAGCCCTACCTTGCCAGTTTCCATGTTGTACAGCCTGACGAGGCAGTCCATCCCACCTGTAGCGAAGTACTCGCTGTCACTCGATACAGTCACACAAGCTGCTGGCTGAAAGGCAACACAGACAACGGTGTAAAATCATAAATCTTTTGGCAAAATACTTCTTAAAATTTGTTTTACAGATTCAACCTTTCCTAAAAAAATGAAACTTGAAAAAGTAAATAAATCTGAAAAGCAAATTTTTAGTGCAGAAAATAAAAGTACATTATTGATACTCAAGAAAGTACTCCTAAATAAGGGGTCAGGAGTATGGCTTCATTATTATTATTATTTTTTATTTATATATCACTTGATCATTTTTTCTATTATTTTCTTATGGATGACTTTGTAAAAGTAATCAGAAAAATATGAAGACACATACTATCGATCGAAAAAAAACCCACAATGTTGTCTTCAATGGAGAAAATAAAGCAATATGATGTTTTCAATCAAAAGCATGGTCATTTTAAACAACATGAAAGGTATTTTTATTAAAATTTTCATATTGAAATTCAAAATTCTAACGTAAATCCTGTGTGTGTCGTGCGTGATTACTGACCTGTGGGAGGTTGCTGATGTTGAGGTAGCAGGGGTCCGTCTGTGACGGCTTGTTCCTCCACTCCATGTAGCTGTTCTCCTCCGTCAGGGCCTTGGCATCGGCACACACATCCGACGTGTCGGGTTCGTTCACTGCCTGCTGCCAGGTCAAGGCTGGGTGACTGCATGGAGGAACATACGTTATCCCTTAAACATTGTTGTATCATGGCGTCATATCCAGAGATTCAAACATGCACTCGCAACGTGATGGCGTCGTAAATTACCCGACATTATTTTTGAGAGGGAAGTGTCAGAGTTGTTTGCCATAGATGTAGCTGGGCAACGTAGTTAAACGAAATGGGCAAGCGATCATATTCAAACGTGTGAGAGATGACAATCGGTATTTGGAGAAAAGGTACAGATAATTGACATGCAAATTGTGAGAGTATCCGGGAAATACCAAATGCAATACCCCTGAACATAAAACTGTCCCTATGTTTCCCTTCAGACTAGAGAGAGACGATCCACTCTCACATTGAGATGATTCACATTTAAGACTCAACTTGACAGCTGTCTGCTCTTCTGATGTTTATTTACTGAGTATACCGAAAAAATAATGACAACTGACAAAACACCCCAAATTTGACAGACTACTGAAGCAAAACCCCATTTCACCCCACTTCCCCAGTTCGCCCTGATTATGTTTCTAGGTTTGTCAGCACGGGTGGCCCAGTCGTCGCTGTGCAGAGTTGCGTCCCTTGGGCACGCCAGAAACCTATGATTGTGGGTTCGAAACCTGGTTCGCCCCGATTATGTTTCTAGGTTTGTCAGCACCACCCGTGCTCGTGGGGTTCACCGAAGTGGTAAACGTCTGAGACCAGCATCACTTCGGGCTTCCCTCCCACATTAAGCTGACATGCCTTGATATAACTGGAATAATGTTAAAAGCGGCGTTAAACCAAACTCACTCACTCACTCACCTCACTTCATAGTTACCACCTAAAAAGGATTGACAGTGTAGAAATAACTACCTGGCCAGAATGTGTAGATTGCGTGACACGAACGAGGCATACTGCTGCACCCTGAGAACAGCCTGGAAGCGGATCAGCTCTCTCTCCAAGGCCTTGTTATTTGTGGGCACTGAAAAACACAGACATCTCTGTGCAAATATTTCTTTGAATATCTCTATTCAATCTCTCTATACCGCTACAAACACAGAGGCAGTTATATAAATCAACCTCTTTGGATTGTAACACTGATGAATAAACTTGAATAATTTTCTTACAAAGCATAGTGATGCAGTTTGACTGTGGAAGCCATGTTTGGATGATAAATGATTAATTTCAAATTGAACCAGGATACAGTAAAAAGGTTACCTTTTGCGACAAAGTCCTCCATCAGCTGGGCAGCTAGGCCTAGTTTACATTTAGCATTGATGAAGTGAAGGTCACACAGGATTAGCTTCAGATCAGTGAAGCACCCACTCGCAGCCTGAAAATAGGAGAAATATGCTCGGACATGAAGGTCAAAGATTACACTTTTGTCAACCATTAAAAAAACACAAAATCGAAAATACTGCATGATAAACAAGCATGAAATATTCATATCTCCTGCCAATATGACATGTTCGGTTGCCATGGAAATGCGAAAAACATTTTTTTCCAAAATCCCAAACTATCAAAAGGCACCAGTTTACCACTAGACCTATCTATGTGCCAAGTTTGATGAAGAAATACTGTACGGTTTTCAAGATCTGATCCAGAAAAGAGCACTACGGCCATATTCAGTCTAAGTCCAAGTCGTTGCCATGGAAATGCAAAAAATTAATTTTTTAAAATCCCAAACTAGCAAAAGGCACCAGTTTACAAATAGACACATCTATGGGGTCGGAAACTAAATGTGGCAGACGGACGGAAGGACAATAAAAACCCGGAAAGATGGAAGAATGGACGGACAGCACCCATTCGTATATTCCCCTTCCACTTCGTGGTGGGGGATAATCACACAACAACAGATCTTGTAGTGGCCATGTATCATATTTTCAAAATGGCTGCCATGGCATGCCATGTTCAAATTCTGTAAGCACACTTTATGGACAACGAAGCCGGAGCCATCCATACAAAGTTTCATCTTAACAGTCCTCGCAATGTGGGAGGTGAGGAGGGACACTGAAACTGCATAAGCTTATGGACGGACAGACAACCAGACATTGGGTAACTTTCAGTCCAGGAGAGATAAAACCCTGAACTCTTAAGTGTAATACTGACCAGATGGTAGGGCAGCTCACTGAAGGCACGGGTGTGGCCTGTCCATGTTCCTGTCCTCTCTGGGTCGGCCTGGCGGAGGTAGTACCCTGAAACATGGAATGCCGGATGATGGGAACACCAATCTATGTTTGAAGACAACAGCATGTCCATCAACGTAAATCACTGTACCAATTAATTATGAACATGTACCCCAATTCATGGAAGGTGTCAAATGACGAAGCCAGTATTTTCATTATAAAGAATAACAAATTTGCTGCAAACAATGATATCCACGGTGGATTCTGTTACCTGCAAGTAGCTTGTGCAGGGTCAGTTCCTTGTCCGCGGCAGAACCTCGCAGATAGCGGTGACGGACAGCGGTCATTATCTCCGCATGGGCCAATGACAGGCAGGTGCTCCTGGAAACATCAGGTTGCCATGGATATTAGAAGACAAAAACAAAGTCAACACACAACCATGGTGACTTTGAATAAGCAGCGTGGTGTGATGTCTCCCTGAATATGACAAGTCAGATCACCATTTGGCCACAATGTTTTATTTTGTGTTATTTCAAGGACTTATATAGCAACGTGCATGCACATGTGTTTGTGTGTGGCTGCTTGTACTTGTCCGGGCTGATGCCAATTTATTGTGCTAACCCACTGAGATACCATGCCGCAGCTTAACATGAATACCCCCCTCAGACACAGAATACTGACTCCGAGCCAACCAGTCCTTGTTTTAGCCCCTTAATGCTGAGCGCCAGACAGGGTAACAACAAGTACCATCTTTTAACGTCTTTTGGTATGACACGGCCGGGGATCGAACCCAGGACCTTCCACTCTCCGGGCGAACACTCTACAACTAGAATTCATGCAGGGATTTATCTAGACCTGCTCAGAAGCCAATTATGCCCAAAGTCTGCAGCAAATGGCAGTTAAAATTCCAATTTTGTGCATATAAAACCTCCCAATTTCTCAGAATTTACACAAATAAGAACAAGATAACAATTTTGAACAATATCTTAAATTCTTTCCCAAATTTGCCTGCCATTACTAAATAAATTCCTGTCATGTTAAATATTGTCATAGAGATGATCAACATGGATTGTAGAGCTGTTACCTACATATTTGATATGCATGTTGGCATCAATACAATGCACTGATGTTTGAGTTGCACATACAACATGTGACAGTAATATTATCGCAAAAATGTTACAACACATCAATATTGCCAAACTTTAGAATACAAACCGATACCCAGACAGCTTTCATTGATGACATTCCAGGCCCACCATATTAAAGTGAGTAAGAATGGTTTTATAGTGTTTTTTTAAGCAATATTCCAGAAATACCATGGAGGGCGACACCAGAAATGGGCTTCACATATTGTACTCACAGGGGAATTGAACCTGGGTCTTTGGTGTGATGAGGGAATGCCTAACAACTGGGCTACCCTACCACCCCTACCATACTAAGCATCATTAAAATAAACAAACTTATGTATGTATTGGCCCAAAAACAATACAAATAGCAAACACCAAGAAAACCCATCAATGAATAATGTCCGGAGTGTCTTACCATGCTCCGCTGGGGTTGAGGAAAGTCTGGATTGAGCGGCAGAGGTAAGAGAAGGACGCTGGGGGCATGAGGTCCTCGAAGTCGACCTCAATGTTCATAAAGTCATTAATGTCAAACTTGCCACTTCCTAGAATGTTCCACCATGTGAGCAGTTCTCGAAGATCCTCTGCTGGTAGCCCTGAAAATGGAGGAAACACTGCACTGATTTGTCACATCCTGAAAATTTCAGCCACTAAGCCATCAGGCTGTCAATTAATATGGGACAGCTGACGGTTGACTACAGAACAAAACATCTTTCACTCACTCACTCCTGTATGGAGTGGGAATGAAAGGACACCTCATGCCGAGTTTAAGTTCACGATCATGTTAATTCTTAATCAAAACAAGCATGAAATTCTCATATCCCCTGCCAATATGACATGTCTGGATGTGTGCAAGGCAAAAAATATTGTACGTTTTTTTAAGATCTGCTCTAGAATGGAGCACTACTGCTATTTGTAGTCAAAGTCAAAGTCGTTGCCATGGAAACTCGAAAAATAATTTTTTCAATAATCCCAAAAATATTAAAAAAGCAACAGTTAACCACTAGACCTATCTATGTGCCAAGTTTGGTTAAGATTTCTCTCATGTTTTTTTAGTTTTTGCTCCAGAAACGAAACGTGATGGACAGACGGACGGAAGGAAGGATGGATGGATAGCACCAATTCCTATATCCCTTCCACTTTGGTGCGGGGGATATATAACCAGTTCAAGTTCGTACCATCTCTAGCGCAGACCAGCAGAGAGAGGGCTGTGGCCACTACACTTTGGCCATGGTCAGTCTCCAGTCTGCCCAGCACCTCCTGCAGCAACTGGGGCGTTGTGTGGGGCAGCGACTTCAACTTGGTGGATATCTGGAGGAAACAGCAAACTCAGTTATCTCCAAAATATACAATAGGACCAATTATCATTATTGATATCATTATTATTAACGTGATCATTTTTGGGTAAGAAAAAGTGAAAGGATGCAATTTTTCTGGTGTGCCATATGTCATCTGCACATCAGTACCCTGCAGTTCTAGATCTTTGACATACTTCATATTGATCATGGTTAGACACATCCTCCCGGGGCAAGAGAGTTAACTGACTATAAAAGTCCAGTTTCCACCCTTGCTGAACTAGGCTGGTATTATGGAGTTAGATTTTGGCTGGACTAACGAGTCTATGCATAGTCCAATCAAAATCATGCAATGAAATCGAAATCCGGTTCGTAAACTGTCATGCAGATTTTGGTCGATTGCAGGATTTGCAAAACATGTGCACCGCCAACTCGTTGTCAACAGATATTTTCCAAATCTTTTCATGTTTTTAATCAAGGTGCTCATGTGTTCTGATGCACTTTGCGATGTCAGATCCGTTTTATCACAATATAGATGTTGATTATCGATCAGATCGTCTTGACTGGGCATGTGATACAAGAGGTCGAATCTGATTGGTCCATAGTCCTGAGAGACATAGAAGGGACATAACTAGTAATAGCCACTGGTGGCGCTACGATCAAGCCCAGGCCTTCCAGCCTAGTTTGGCAAGGCTGGAAACTTGACTTTTAAAGTCAGTTAACTCACTTGCCTCGGGAAGATGCGATAAACACTGCCACTGGTCCTTAGTCTGAGACCAGTAAAAGTCTAGAGGCATTTTCTTCTAAAATTTAGTCATTTTTCATAACCACTGGTCAGAAATGAACTTTGGCTAGTTGCCACTGCATGACCAATTGCTCATGATTGATATACATAGTTCTCAAACTTGACCAAGGGTCCATTCCACAAAGCGATGGTTGTGCTAAGGTGACCGTAACTCCCATACCATTACTTTCGACTGTTATTCATCTTACTATGAACGCTTTGTAGAACAGACTTTTGGTCAAGTTTGAGAACCATCTAAATCTTTAGTTTTTTAGGTGGACTTTCAAAAACACTTAGATTGGTAAAATCTGTGGAAGTTTTTGTTTTCGGAAATCAACAGATGGGGGGGACTATGCATCATTGTAGAAGCATTAAGACCAATTCAGGAAATTGGTAAACAATGGTAAGTTCCTCTGGGAATTGGTTGGAAATGCTCCAATCAGTCAAACATGTGTCAACTAGAGAAACTGCCATCCATTATTTTTTTAAGTGAGTGAGTGAGTGAGTGAGTGAGTGAGTGAGTGAGTGAGTGAGTTGGGTTTAATGCTGCTTTTAACAGTATTCCAGTTATATTGCGGTGTGTCAGCTTAATGTGGGAGGAAATCCCAAAGTTATGCAGGTCTCAGATGTTTTCCACTTCGGTGAAACAAACCTGGTGCTGACAAACCTAGAAACATAATCGGGGTGAACCGGGATTTGAACCCACAATCATAGGTTACTGGCGTGTCCAGGGGACACAACTCTGCACAGCAAATCGCGGATATACCTGAAGACCATAAAATGTCGTACCTCAGTAAGTCATACTTCCCAAATTGGTTTACTAATAAGCAACTAAAGCATGCCAGTATATACTGAACAAAAAAAGTTAGGGATCATGAATGTTTTTGGGGACATTTTTATGAAACTGTGTGCTCAGTCTTCACTACAAAAACATATCCCCAAAATATTCATGATCACCCACCTTCTTGGTTCAGTATAAATAAAATAATCTTTGGTATAGAAATGTGTGAAATGAATCTGTGTTACCTTCTCGAAGACTCCAAAGACTCGGAGTTCCTCACAGGCCAGTTTGAGGTAGAGGGGACTAGTGGCCTCCTTCTTGGATGTAATGAGCTTCAGCTGGAACAACATCGCATCACATTACCACCATCACTACCACAAGACTGAGAAATAAACATTCACTTATATCAGGGTGCGAGTCAAAATGTTTGCCGCTAAAATGTGTTCCCAAAATCACGGAATCATGTCAGTGTATTTTTTGTGGTACTAGTGTATTGTGCTTGTTGCTTAGTGCTGCACTCAGCAATATTCCAGCTATATGACGGCGGTATCTACATAATAGAGTCTGGACCAGACAGTCCATTGAGCACTGGTTTATACAAATGGGATACGATGACATGTATCAACCACATCAGCGAGTCTGAAGACCCGATTCCGTTGGTTGCCTCTTGCGACAAGCATGGTTGCTGAAGACCAGTTCTAAGCCGGATCTCCTCAGGGAGTAACATTAATGGCTACCGGAGATGGGCTTGCTTACCTGATTGTTGAATGGGGTCTCACTGAGCGTCTTGCGATGTTCTAGAAGAGTTGTTCGGACAACCTCAGCCTTATCAAACACATCCAGGCCACCAATGACGATCTCCTGAGTGTTGAGTCTTTGTAGAGACTTGTGGCACTTTTCATTGTCCACCACAGAAAGCACAAACACCACATTCTGAAACACAAACACCACATTCTGAAACACAAACACCACATTCTGAAACACAAACACCACATTCTGAAACACAAACACACGTGTGGCATTGAAGATCTTGCTTCTGTGTTTGCTTTTTGTGCAACAGTGTCACAGCCGTATGACAGCAGTCATTGCGGACCAGACGGTTGATTTCATGTACAATGTCACACAAGAGTGAGTGAGTGAGTGAATGTTGTTTAACAGTCAGGACTATTCCAGCTATATCACAGTGGCTCGTAAAAACCTCAAATCAGATTTGGATACTTATGGTACCATTGCAATGTCTGAACACTGGCCATGATTAATAACAGGCCATATAGCTGTAACATTCCTGATATAATTCAACATCCATGGTCAAACTTACCTCTGGCACCGGGTTGGGGAGCCACTCCATGTTGTAAGGTTGGTGGGCGTTGTCCATCAGGTCAAGTCCGTCCATCACCACCACCATCGTGGAGCCACACACCTTTCCTGCTTCCTTCAACAGCTCTCCGAACTTCACCACAAGGTTCCTGGAACAAACAATACTCTTACAGGCTTCAACAAAAACTTCCCACCAGGTCCCTAGAACAAACAATACTCTTACAGACTTCAACAGTAACTTCACCACCAGGTTCCTGGAACAAACAATACTCTTACAGACTTCAACAATAACTTCACCACCAGGTTCCTGAAACAAACAATACTCTTACAGACTTCAACAGTAACTTCACCACCAGGTTCCTAGAACAAACAATACTCCTACAGACGTCAACAATAACTTTACCACCAGGTCCCTAGAACAAACAATACTCTTACAGACTTCAACAGTAACTTCACCACCAGGTCCCTAGAACAAACAATACTCTTTCAGACTTCAACAATAACTTCACCACCAGGTCCCTAGAACAAACAATACTCTTACAGACTTCAACCATAACTTTCCCACCAGGTTCCTGGAACAAACAATACTCTTACAGACTTCAACAGTAACTTCACCACCAGGTTCCTGGAACAAACAATACTCTTACAGACTTCAAGAATAACTTCACCACCAGGTCCCTAGAACAAACAATACTCTTACAGACTTCAACAGTAACTTCACCACCAGGTCCCTAGAACAAACAATACTCTTACACACTTCAAGAATAACTTCACCACCAGGTTCCTGGAACAAACAATACTCTTACAGACTTCAAGAAGAACTTCACCACCAGGTTCCTGGAACAAACAATACTTTTACAGACTTCAAGAATAACTTCCCGACCACGTCCCTAGAACAAACAATACTCTTACAGACTTCAAGAAGAACTTCACCACCAGGTTCCTGGAACAAACAATACTCTTACAGACTTCAGCAATAACTTCACCACCAGGTTCCTGGAACAAACAATACTCTTACCAGGGATGTGAGCAGGTTTTGCCGAAAAAAGGGGAAAAGTCTAGGGGGGTCTGGGGGTATGCCCCCCCAGAAATTTTTAAAACATTTGATTGCATTTTAAGCAATTTCATGCAGTTTGGACAACATTCACACCAAGAAATGTAATGAGTCAATGGCAAAAGTCAATAAGTAAAATAAACAAGATGGCAGATGCAGTAAAATTTCGAAGTTAAATCAGTACTTTAAAAAATCGGGCATAGCTTTCGCGCACCTGGCTACCCGCCAGGTCTGGGAGCAATACTGCCATAAACTTCAACCCCCATCCCCCAGACACAAGGACAACTGTCACAAGTGTGCAATGTCTGACCCTTTCCCCATGTTGAAGCATATTGAAAAAAACTTACCTTGTACTTACCTTTTGATGAAAAAAACAAAACTCCATTGCAAACATAAGACATTAATACAATATATATCCCCATGACATGGGGTTTTGGACGCTGAAGAAACATTCATAAATTTCTCGCTTATCACATGAACAACTGTAAAACATCTCATTCACTTACAGGCTAAAAGACAACTTTATCTTTAAAACAAGCCATCAGCTGACTCTGAGTATTTACAATTTCTGTGTGACGCCATGCCCCACGTTATAGTGCAAGTATTCGTGACGGAAAACGTATGATGTCCGAAAACCTATGCTGTGAAAGCTCCGATCGAAAACAGGACAATCCGCGCCAATTGTCCGGTTTTCGATCATATTTTTCGGATTTTTTTTTTTTTTCATTTTTAATATTTTTTTCCGCGGATGATGATTTTTTTCCGAGGACTACTATTTAAAAAAACGCGATTTTCCGCGTTTCCGCGGAGATTTCACATCCCTGTCTTACAGACTTCAACAATAACTTCACCACCAGGTCCCTAGAACAAACAATACTCTTACAGACTTCAAGAATAACTTCACCACCAGGTTCCTGGAAAAAACAATACTCTTACAGACTTCAACAATAACTTCACCACCAGGTTCCACAAACTTCACCAATGCATGAGGTCTGGTGCATGTTGATCAATTAATTGATATACTTCCCAACTTGACAAGATATATTTCAATCAGAAAAGGCACATGTGCTCTAGAACACGCACCTTTAACAACTGTAGGTTCTGAAAGGTGAATTTATCACCAATTTATATAATTTCAGCAGCAAATGGTACTCACTTGAAGTCTTCCGGTATCTCCGACTGCAGACCAAACAGTCGATTGATCTCGTGACACAGGCGCTTGACGGTGGCCATGATGTTCTGCGAGCCGGGCGCGGCACCAACCATGTGCACCAGGACAGTGGAGGCGCTGTCACAGAACTTGGACTCGATGTAGGAATGAACAAGGGAGGCCTGGGACGATGAATGTACTTACATTAATCATTGTAAATGTAAAAGCAAAATTAAAATGTTACATTACATTCTATCATGGAACGTTGATTAGCATCTAGTAGGAGAGACTTAACACATGACATTGAAAAACACCAAATACTAGTTCTTCAAAAGAGGAACAATTCTTCTTCTTTTTCTCAAAATCCCCATGGAAAACTGTAAATGTCTTACAAATGTGTAAATGTTAAAATAATCATATATTTGAAAATGGGCATACCACGAGGGATGTTTTCCCTGAACCTGGTTTTCCGGCCAGTGTGATGACTCCCGACTGTATCTCAACTATCTTGTTGATACAATCCTTGATTAGGGCCTTCCGACCAATGAACTGGGACTGGCGGCTGTCGACAAACGCTCGGTGCAGCTTGGCAATGTGTGTGTCCTCATCAAGCATGGCCTCCTGGGAGATACAATCATAAACCGTTCTACTTTCTTCAGTTTCTTGTTAAACAATATTAATAAGAATACGAAAGTAATATTATATTCATGCCAGTATCATAAAATATAGGTTGATGCAATGTATATGTAAATATAATTCTGTGATTGTATACAATCTCATCCAAATCTGGCTTCCACAGGTGATATCGCATAGGTGAGATTAAGCAATATCTCTTGGGAGATATGGAGATATTGCACCAATGAAATTGCCTCACAATGCTTTGCAGACAATTGTTACATGACCGGTTACCATGACATCACAATCAAATGACATCACTAATCTCTTGCCTCGGAAGCTATTTATATGCACTTTTTACACTCAAGTCACTGGTTATTAGTGTTAACAAACTGAACAAGTTTTTTGAAGATAAATAGAATCTCACATTTGTGTTTAAATAACATAATGTTTTTACAATGCCACCAGTAGCAAGTATTTCCGACCGTTCCAGCAGCCACTTCCTGCTTACCTCATCTGGGTACTGGTTTTGAATGGCAGCCCACAAGTTGTTGAGAACTCGCATCCCGAACTCGTTAAGTCCGCTGGTGATGGGCTTCTGGTCCACGGAGCCCCCCCAGGTACAGGGATAACTGTCCACAGGAAACCCATTTACATTAAGTACCCATTTACATTAAGTACCCAATTACATTAAGTACTCAAACTGCAATATCAGTCACAAAGCAGGGATGGATAAAATGATCTTCATGATTTTCAAATGGCCAGATATTTACCAATTGATGAGTTATATTTAAAAATTAATTTTTCTGAATTTTGATTTTCATTTTTATCCCACCAGTATGAATCAGTATGAGGGTTATAAATGGCCATTAGAACCCTTCAAGTTTAATACATTGAGGCAGTCGTGTATGAAGAAAATCACATCAGAATTCATCTGTTGTGACTTTATTCCTTCAATGAGTGAATTTCATATGTCATCATTATCAAATCCTCCCCAAAATGTCAAAATTTGATAGAGTTTTTTACAGGATAGATCTAAATGTAGAGATAGGAGGCATGATTTCACGAGCCTTCTCCATTGATATCTTTATTAACAAATGACTCCACTTGCTGACTTACCCATCGTAAACCTCCAGACCACTTGCTCGGACACGAGTCTTCAGGCGTGCCAGTCTCTCTCTGCTGATCTCGGTCTCAGTGGTGAAATCAGTAACGAACTCCTTAGGGACATCTCTGGAAGCAAAAAGTAATTGTACAGACCAGGGACCTGCATATTTGTAACATATTTGTAAAATATTCACCATAACGAAATTAATTTTAAGTTCTTGCATAAAAATATGCTTGAAATTATTAGTAAAACCTATAAAAAACAAACACTATGAGTACCGTATTCGACGTAATAAGCGCCTCCCTCTAATAAGCGCCCACAGCGATATTTGCTAATATATTGGCTAGTGAACAATCCCAATTAGCACCCCTTCCGATTGATCAATGTACTCAAGACTTATTTATTCATGTATAATACGCACTCGTGTGCTATATGAACCCTTAAATTCTGGAAAAATATATCTGTCGTATACGAACAATTTCAGGCTGTCAGCATAAACCACGAAATCTTTCAACTCTTGTTTTTTTCCACCAAAATAATATTCTAATCAGAGCCCCCTATTTCTAATTTTGAGAGCGCCTTGGGCGTTTATTACGTCGAATACGGTAATTTGCTATGAGTCTTTATTTATCTTTATTTACTGATTGAATACTGGGAGCACATACACAACAACTCTACTGCAATGAATAACGCACAGAAGTGCTAAATCTCGCTTATTGTAGCTAATTAAACATGTGCATCCCTGTTGTTATCTGACATATGAACAGATGAAACACATCACCAACCAGCTTTCAAAATTCACTCTAGTCCGCAAGTCCAAGACTACTAAATATAAATTGTGCTGAGGACTAGTAACAATGATGGAAGTCTTCACTGACTAGTAGAATTTGATGGTTATAATTTTGAATCAGTTCAGTTTGCTAGAAAGTGAAACTGAATAAAACTGAAAACAATTTTGTCTCGTTTAAGCAGGACAAGCTACAAAGTCTGAGGACTAGTGAAATAAAGCTTCCGCTAGTCTTAAAAAAAAAATTGGAAAAGTTTCCAACACCAACCTTTCAAACGTGCTGTCTCTGACGTAAAAGAAGGATCTCTCGCGGACCTTGTTCGGCTGGGACAATGCCGCTGAGTGCATCTCCAGTTCTGTTACAGATGCTCCAGGCGGGTAGTTACGGACCCAGTCAAACTCGGCAGTGTCCGGCACCTCATACTTGTCTGGAACCCAACCATATCGGTTGCCAAGGATACCGAGGAAGAACTGACATTTGGTCAGCTCCTGAAGACACAGGTCCAAGGTTCTGAAAATGAACATTGCAGTTATCTTTAAATAAAACAGAATCGATCGGTTGATCTCACTTTGTGTTACCATGGTTACCACGTCTTAGTATCAGTGGATGCTACACAAGGCTGCTGATGAGGGGTTTCGATACCAATATATTTCTAAATAATTATGTGGACATGACATTAAAGTTAAAATACAAACACAAATAAAACAAAACATTTTTTGTTTAATAACCATTGTTTTGTTACAATACTTAACAAAGAAATAATTACTGTGAGTAGGGTTATAGTCATACTGCATGGACTCCTTCTCGTTATATCTCAACTGAGCTTCAAACAGAGTAGAAAATTGTAATAAATGATGCCGCTGTAAACCCCATATATGTTAACGTAAAACTGCAAACCATATGTCAAAATTACTCAGACACTGACAAAGATACAAATACATAATGGCTGGCCTACCTGTTGAGCTTGGTCTGTTCCTCCGTGACGCCCCACCTGAGATCCACCTCGTACACGTTGATGAAGTGTTTCCGGCCACGCTCCCGCAGCTCGGGGAACACAAATCGGGTCAGGAGGTCACGTTCCCCATGCATGTCCCGGAACGTTGACGAGATGAACACCCTAGCTGTTCGCCATCTGAAATATATCAACATTCTTTTGCTGTAATTTTACATCTCGTTGACATGGTTGTCCTTGTTAAAATCTTAGTATTGACATCTCCTTTTCCCTTATAAGTGAGGGACTGCCTCAGTGTAGTGGACAGATGATCTGCCCAGAGAGTGGACGGTCAGTGGTTTGATTCCTAGCCTCGTGAATGATTGCTTGGCTCGGAGTGAGTGTCCTGTGTTTGTTAGTTGTTGAACACCACACTCAGCAAATTTCCAGTCGGTCTGTAAATAATCGAGTCAGGACCAGAAATACATTGGTTGACATCATGAACATTGATCAAAGCAATTGGGATACGATGAGATGCATCAACCAAGTCAGTGAAGCCTGACCACCCGATCCCGTTAGTCGCCTCTCACGACAAGCATAGCCCTTTACGGCAAACATGGGTTGCTGAAGACCTATTCTATGGGTGGAGTCGGGTATCCATGTTAAACTGCGGCATGAAATCTCACTATAAAAACACACGCATGCACGCATGCACGCATGCACGCATGCATGCACACACACATACAAGGCAAGGACGTCTAGACCTATCTGTTGTATTCTATGGCTTAAACGTCCATTCCACACTACCTACCTGGGCATCTGGGCTGAGATTGGCAGCACCCTCTCTGGAGTGACCTTGACCTGCCCCTTGTCGACCTTCTCAAGGGCAGTCACCACCACAGACTTCAGCTTGAATGCCTCGTCGATGTTCTCAACATGGAGTAACTGCCCTCCATCTCCACGTTCAGCAATGAACCTGTAATCAGAAGTTTTTGTGATGATAATTACATTTTAAGGACAAAAAACTCAAGCCCTAGTAACAAACAAAGCTTACGACATGGTTATAAAGAGACACATGGTTATCAAATATCCATATGTAATTCATTCTAAATTTTCATATCATTTTCAAATCATTTTAATTTTTGTTGCCAAGGTTACCTGAGAATCTGGTCGCTGAAGCCGGTGATGTAGATGTCATTGTCATGCTCTGGTTTGATGTTCTGAGCAAACCTGAAATCCAATTTGAGTGATGAATACCAGGTGTACGAACACAGGAGATTAAGGGGTACAACTTTCCAATGGGTTATCTGACAATACACAAAAGAACCATGATCTTTGACTGAGCTTGAACAATAAGGTAAGGTACAGAATACTTTGCTACTAAAAACATATAATATATATACTTCCTTTTAGTTTCATCTTACTTTCACAAATTTGCTACACCTTCAGTGACAACGGTATTATTGATAATTAACAAATACAATGGCATTACACAGTTGCGTCTGAGAATTCTAAAGCATTTGTATTTCTGATTTCTAGAAATGTTATTATAGACAGAATATAAGGAAATCATCAATCATGGTAATAGTATCCTTTATGAGAGTGGGTATATTTTACATTTGACAACCTGTGTGCAAGGAAATATAGGAACTTATTTTTTCTCTGACCAAAAATGTGGCCATGATACATAATTTCACAGGTTGATAAGAAAAAACCATTAGACACCATTGGACAGAGTTGAATATGATAGACTAAATAAGATGGCAGTAGATATATGCACCTCCCTTTCAAGTATAATGAGGTTTGTTTTCTGTTTTCAGTAAGCAATATTCCAGCTATATCCCAGAAGCCCTAAAATCCAGTCTGAATCAACCAATCCAGTGATTGATAGGAGCTAAGACTCACACCAAACAGGGATGATGACACACAACCAACCACGTCAGTGACCACCCAATCCACTTAGTCAACTCATACAACAAGCAAAGGTTGCTGGGGACCTAATATATCCCAGAATGGAGAGGTGAAACACACTTGCAAACCTATCACCACGTTACCCTATACATTGCATTACTTTCCTGACAACCTCTGGTAAACCTGGTAACAAGCTCATCTTCTAAACCTAGGTTTTAAAATGGGTAACTTCTAAACCTGCTTTGAGGTTTTACATTTCAAGTGTCATACCCAGGTTTTACAATTGACATTTTAAAAACTGGCCTCTTGATATGAACACAATATTCATTTTTGATTGGTCAAAAGTCACAATTTTTTTTAAAATTAAATGCCATGACGTGAATCACACCTGTTACCTCACACATCGTGTTAAGTTTTGTAACCCACTGATTTTCCACTGAGTTACTGGGGCAGGTGATGAGAAGATGTTCAATTTTACGTGTCATGACTCCAGCTAGTCCATGCTGCACATGCTGCTCTATTGCAGTTTTACATTTTCAACCAAACCTCGGAGGCATGTTTTATCCTATACACAGCAACTACTAAATAATCTCACCCGGTGTTTCTCCCTGCGAATGACACGCTGCAGTAAAGCAGGTTCTGGTTGACCACCTGCCGATACATCTTCAGGAAGTCCGACATCACTTGACCTTTGTCCGAAGTCGGGTCAACTCCACCACTCAAGATGATCAGATTGTCCACCTGAAAGAGATACATAACATGATATTGGACTTCCATGCCATTAAGTGGTTCAAGGTTATGGTACTTTCATAGCAACGTGCATATATGTGCGTGGCATGGCTGTTTGTACTAGTGCTAGCCCACTGAGATACCATGCTATAGTTAAACATGGATACCCCACTTAGGCACAGCATACTGACTCGGAGCCAACCACCAGTCCTTGTTTGTCCCCTTAGCTGAGCACCAGACAGGGAAACAACAAGTATCATCTTTTAAGGTATTTTGGTATGATGCGGCAATGGCTTGAACCACCAATCTTCCACTCCCCGTGCAGATGCTCTATCCACTAGATAATGGAGGTGGTCGAATGAATGAATGAATAAGCATAATAAACTGACTAGGAGTGAGTGAGTGAGTGAGTGAGTGAGTGAGTGAGTGATGCAACAAAAGTAAACTTCCATTCAATATTCTTTTGATTTTTTAAAACGATTCCGGTGTTAAAAATAAAGCCTGGATATTTGTCTTCACTAATTGTCTTCATTGTTTGTCTTCATTATTTTCTATACAAGGATGAAATCTGACGACACAACTCGATGTTCTCATGTCAAGCTCACCTGTATTCTGTCTCGGAGCACCTCCACCAGCACTTGGAATGGCAGCCCCTTCGTCAGCGGATGTCTACCACTCATCTGAAGAACACAAACAACTCTTACAAGCATGGCACACACAGGTTGTCACAGAACCCAAGTACAGTGTGGAACTTCAGGAAATCTGAGCCTAAGGCATGATCAATCTAAACCTAAGGCTTGACCAATTTGAGGCTAAAAATAATAATAGTCTTGGTTCTCAGGCACATCATCATAAAGTCTGCCGCACATTTCATTTTTATTTCCATTCTTGACTTTTGACATTTATACCTCCATATAATTATGTCATATCTTCAATACCTATTGTATATATATATATTTATATTATGTAGGTCTCAGATCCATGGGAGGACTCTGATCCGTGGCTGAATCTCACATCTACGCCAGATTCCACAAATGAGGCAGATTTTGGCGCAAACTCTAAGATCTATGGCAGATGATAAAATAATATTAATAATAGGCAATTTCTATAGCGCTAAACATCATATAGATTCCTATATAGTGACAGACTTTAGATGGTCAATGTTGTGATTTCCATTTATTATTTTTTATCATTTCCCCTTTGGAACAGCATCATCAGTGCAGGGATTGCATATCGATTCTTTTCTTACAAACATTCCCCAAAATTTCAACGTAGAAATAATCATCTTCTCCACCATCCTCTCAGCTGGAGTTGATAAAATCCTGAAAATGTTTACGCTTCCCAACTTCAGATTCAGTGCCTTTACATGTGGAACTTCTTGGATTCTTAAAATGTTTGATATTATTTGGCATTAGGGTCTTTTGATACTGGTATCTTCCTCTGCCAGCTTGAAGCCGCCATAAGAAAACATTCATTTTCAAAGGTTTCCGGTTCCGTTGTTTCCTTGACTAATCACTGTCTCAAACGGTAATATAAACTTGACGTCATCATAGGCAAGGAGTCGTGATGTCATCTCATATGACATCATATTACAATTGAACTGATTGCCCATTCAGGGATAAGACATCATTGCAAACCTGACATCCCTTAACAATGAGAATCTGCCATGGATTAAGTCTCGCCATAGATCTGAGTCCTACATATATACAGTCAATTCTCGTTAATCCGACACTTGTTAATCCGACAATCGGCTTTATCCGACACTAATGATGGGAACTGATTAAATCCGTGCTATTTAGACCCGTTAATCCGACAGTCTCGCACTTCGACTCCGACTCCGACAAAGCTTATTTGCAACGAATTACCGAAATCACTCATCAATCAGTCTCGTTAATCCGACACAGTGATCAGCGAGTACACAGCCCGTGTTTTGATGCAAGACGAATTGGCTGGTAGCTGCATATTACAACGGCTGCAGAGATAAACTTGCTTAACAATAAACACTTAATGCTTTAAATAAAGAAAACAGGATTTATTACATGCTTAGATTACCTCAATCTCATTAAAATCAGATACAAGTTCTCGCTATCGCCGGGGACATCCCATTACAGGTCATGTCAGAACAACCTTTCGCGAACTATGACCTACCTATGAAATGAACTAACAGGAAGTCAACTTTAGCCTCTTAGAAAGCAGCTTTCTTAAGCTTTACGGTACCAGTTTTAAACTTGCGACTTCCATTCCAGACAATGCTTTTTAAAGTATTTTGAATAAGTCATACAATCCTTAACAGTTGTTTTGTGTTAAACTTTAGAGGTTGCATGAGTAGAAAACATATTCCGCCAACAATGTAACATAACAATATGAATATTTATTTTTTATTTTTTTATTACGTGTTTGAATCGTTATCTATCGCGAAGCTGTCCCATTTTCGATCAAAAACATTGATACTACTTAATTTCGTTTATCCGACATACTCGTTAATCCGACATCATCTTATGCAACCATTGATGTCGGATTAACAGGACTTGACTGTACATCATACAAAGCTAGTTGATGAAATCGATACATTCCGGTTTTCCTGTACTTTAGCATGGAAAGAGAAATCATTGAAAGCAACACCTACCTCAGATATGGGAGAATTAAGTACAGTGCCCATGTTGTCCAGGATCGTGCCCTTAGCGATGTCGATGCTGGCGTAGTGGGTGTCGTTGTAGACGATCAACATACTTTCCTCACAGGAATGCTTGCACATCAGGCCCAGCAGAACAGCCACCTCGTCCATCTACACACAACACAATGGTGATGTTACAATGAGGGTGGATAGATGGTTGCCGGGTTTGTTGTTTAACGCCGCACTCAGCAATATTCCAGCTATATGACAGTGGTCTGTAAGTAATCGAGTCTGGACCAGACAATCAAGTGATTGATATCATGAGCATCGATCCACAGAGGGTCGATAGAAGCTGTTGACATCATGAACATGTAGAAAAGAAAATGATATCATGAAAGAAAATTACTTTTCTATGATTGTAAAATATATTGGTTGCATGTAAGAGAAAGTTGCTATCATGTAAATCATATAAGATATTCTTGACATCATAAAGAAAATGTTGCCATTATTACATAATTTAATAATTCAAATGAAAGAAATGTTAGTAACTGGCAATATCTTTTGTTATCTTGGCAACTAAGCATAGAAATTGTGCAACATAACTGTAAACACCACAGCTTGTAAATCATCTTCCCTAGGCAAGAGAGTTAACTGACTTTAAAAGTCCAGTTTCCGAACTGTGGCTATTACGAGTTATGTCCCTTCCATGCCTCTCCTATGGACCAATCAGATTCCACCTCTTGTATCACTTGCATTTGCTTCCAACAAAATGGCAGTGCCCAGTCAAGACGATCTGATCGATAATCAAGATCTATATTGTGATGAAACGAGTCTTTCATCGCGAAGTGCAACAAATCATGTGAGCACCTTGAATAAAAACAGGAATAGATTTAGAAAATGTCTGTTGACAACAAGTTGGTGGTGAACATGTTTTGCAAATCCTTCAATCGACCAAAATCTGCATGACAGTTTACGAACCTGCTTTCGATTTCATTGCGCGATTTTGATTGGACTATGCATAGACTCATTAGTCCAGCCAAAATGTAACTCCATAATACCAGCCTAGTTCAGCAAGGGTGGAGACTGGACTTTTACAGTCAGTTAACTAACGTGCCTCGGGAAGATGCATGTAAATATCAATACAAAACAATTTAAAGGGTAAGTAATGTCAACATAGCAGCTTTGCAGATCCTAATGCTTTAGGGCATACTGACTCACAAATGCTTTACCAAAATTAAAATTAAACAAGTATTTGTCACAGAGTGACGAAATATCCCCCGCCATATACACCATAGTACCAAATATGAAGACAATCCAGCGATTAGTTCTTGAGATATTGTGGCAACACCGTTTTCCAACTCCAAAAACAGATTTGCCTGCTGTGACCTTGAAAATGGGGTCAAGGTCACCAAATCTGACAGGTGTATGCGGTGTCTGTATATACACTATAGTTCCAAATATGAAGACAATCCAGCGATTAGTTCTTGAGATATCGCGGCAACATCGTTTTCTAACTCCAAAAGCAGATTTGCCTGCTGTGACCTTGAAAATCGGGTCAAGGTCACCAAAACCGACTGGTGTCTGCGGTGTCTGTATATACACCATAGTTCCAAATATGAAGACAATCGAGAGGTTTAGTTCTTGAGATATCGCGGCAACACCGTTTTCCAACTCTAAAAGCAGATTTGCCTGCTGTGACCTTGAAAATGGGATCAAGGTCACCAAAACCGACTGGTGTCTGCGGAGTCTGTATATACACTATAGTTCCAAATATGAAGACAATCCAGTGTTTAGTTCTTGAGATATCGCGGCAACACCGTTTTCCAACTCCAAAAGCAGATTTGCCTGCTGTGACCTTGAAAATGGGGTCAAGGTCACCAAAACCGACTGGTGTCTGCGGTGTCTGTATATACACCATAGTTCCAAATATGAAGACAATCCAGTGTTTAGTTCTTGAGATATCGCGGCAACACCGTTTTCCAACTCTAAAAGCAGATTTGTCTGCTGTGACCTTGAAAATGTGATCAAGGTCACCAAAACCGACTGGTGTCTGCGGAGTCTGTATATACACCATAGTTCCAAATATGAAGACAATCCAGTGTTTAGTTCTTGAGATATCGCGGCAACAAACAGGTGGGACGTACGGACGGACGTACGGACGGTCGTGAATACTATATCCCCCGCTTCGCGCTTTCGCGCGGCCGGGGATAAAAAGTTAAAAAGGGGGAAACAGATGATAAAAAACGAAAGGGGAAATCGTCCCCCAAAAGACAAAATTCCGTCACTGATTCCCTTTACCGGTACTTGGGTTCCTGGAGTTTGGTGCTATGCAATTTCAACAATCGTGACAGTCAGGCCAACGCCCTGTCTGCTTGCCTCCGCAATACATTCCAGCTTTATTTTTCTGCCTGCTCATTCAATTGAATTACCGTGTTCCTAATTTATGTCACCTTATCATTAATAACACTGGAGATGCCTTCAGTTGTTTACTCAGGGGATTCATCACTGACAGGCATTCATTGTGTAGAATAGGGCCGAGGACAGCTGGTGGTTTATTATCCAAACAGGAGGTTAGTAATAAAATGTTAGTTACGGATTGTTAATTGTTATTGTAATTATTCAAAGGTTGTTTCAAACACTTACAAGGTATGCAATGTTGTTAATTTTGCAGGATTAACAGAAAAAGCAGAAACAGTATATATGTAATGGCTGAGAATCACAAGATAGGTTTGCTGCGCTAGTCTATCAACCAATGAAAACAGTTGTCACTGCTGCACTGATAGCTTCAGGTCATGCCCCAAACAGGTTTGTTTTGGAAGCTGATTTTGGAGCATGTCATTTCAGCACTTTTACTTGGACATCTAAATACTATCTACAAATATTATGAATTTCTCTCGGAAATTGACTGAATGTATCTGGGAAAATTGATATTCACAACAAAATCGCAATTATCAAATGTCACAAAATATCATCATGACAAGAATAAGTTTTCAGTATTTTTTTTTATTATTCATGCGAGATTGTATTACAGAAACATGTGACCCTTGACAAGATATGATACCTAATGATAAAAACAATACATGTTTATCTGCAAACATGCCGACGGGAATGATGATTATGATTCATATTATTATTATTATGTTATTAGTGTTTACCATTCTCGGCTTGCCAAGTCCTCTCGCTGCAGTGCACGGTATTTTCATCTCGTCGCTAATGTCACAGAAGATGATGGTCCTGCCTCTGATGGGCTGAACGTTGTAGACCGTGGCAATCTTCACAGCTGTGTCCAGGGCCTTGCGGTACCGCACGATCAGGTTCTGGTCATAGGCAACCTCACTGCAAGTACATCAGTCACTCCATCAAGTTCCCAACCATCTCAAGGTCTCAAATGTATTCTCTGTCATGTTCATGTGTAAGATTTATGTACTGACGAACAACACCACAACAATGTCATGGTAACTACCCTCCCCTAATGTTTGGCATATTTTTGAATGACCCTCCCCATGTCCTTGTACATATTTTTCATGACCCTTCCTGAAAATACAAAATGCAAACATACTTTATATTTTGTTATAAAATGCACATTTTATCTTGACCCTCTTCACATATGTGTACTTTTTCTCATGACCCCTCCCCTAGAGAGTGTCATATTTTTTGGTGGCCCTCCCCTGATTCCCTCTGACCTACCCACCCCTATAATTAATGACTGGTCCCTAAACAATGACAGTGGTCCTGACACTGACCTCGTGCCTTGCTGCTTCTTTTTGTCCTTCCTGTTTATCCACCACTTGTCCTTTGCTCCCCGACCTCTGCCTCCACGACCTCTGCCCCGACCCCGAGTTACTCCTGATGCCGTAGCATTGCTCTCAGCTTCCTGTATAATGTCTTTTTCTGAAATAATTAAAAATGCATGAAATACTCTTATCCCCTGCCAATATGACATGTCTGGCTGTTTGCAAGGGAAAGAATTATTGTACATGTTTCAAGATCCGCTCTGGAAACGAGCACTACCGCCATTTTCAGGCTAAGCCAAAGTCGTTGCCATGGAAACTAAAATAAATAAATTTTTCAAAAATCCAAAGCTATCAATTGGCACAGTGACCACTAGATCTATCCATGTGACAAGTTTGGTTAAGACATCTTTCATAGTTTTTGAGTTCTACTCTGCAAACGAAACATGACAGATGGACGGACGGACGGACAGCACCCATACCTATTCCTATATCCCGCTTCAAATGTGGCAGGGTATAATAATAGATGAAGACATGTCAGGAACCAGTACAGTCTTCATCCTGTGTATAGTGCTTGGGGTGAGGTGCTTCAATGTTACAAATAGAGTTTTAGGAAACACTTTATTCCAATATCAGGACCTCAGTATGTCCTAGAGACACAAATGGAGGGATGTGGAGACTTACGATTTTTCTCATAGTCCTTCTCCAACTGTGTGAGCACTTCATACGCTGAGAAGAAACGGAATGGGAACTGTTTGCTGTTGATGACTTGGCGCTGTAATACGAGAATGGTGAGAATACAAGGATTACACGCAATGTTAACTAACTCGTAAATCACAGATGACAACAAAAGAATAAGATTGTCATGCTGCTAATGTAAAAAGGAACTGACAAACTGTTTTGTTATCGAGATTCAAATAAAAGCCAATTCATGAAACTGATACAATAACTCAAACAGTGTTTCAGTGAGCTTTACAAGTGTCAGGTTGAGACTTCTTCATCACTGTTATAAACAGACACAGAAGCCTTAAATCTTAAACTTTAGAGTTTGACCAATCTCATTAAAATAAGATCTTATAATAGTTCTCGCTACCGCTAAACAAAGATCTGAAGACATCCCATTAGGGGTCACGTCAGAACGACCTTTCATCCGACCAATCAGTGCGTCGCTTACCAGATTATGAAAGTGACAGTCGGAATGTGATTTCTAATCATGCAGTCTCGAAAACATTAACATGGGGTATTCCGAACAATAGTTACGGGTTTAACGACTGAATCCTTACAATCTAGACCATCTATTAGTCATTCCAGAATGTTTTTCTGTTCAGGTTTCAAATTTGTAATCGAGAATTTGTCAAAATATGCTTCGAAGCGTAGTCGCCAATTTGAAATTTGTGCCGTAAAGCACGAGAAAGCTGCCTTCTGATTGGTCATTCCATTGGTCGGTCAAAGTTCGCGCAAGGTCGGTCTGACGTGACCCATAATGGGATGTCCTCAGATCTTTGTTTAGCGGTAGCGAGAACTAAGATCTGATTTTAATGATAATGGAGTTTGACAAGGTGACCTTGACTTTCATTCTTAATTTAGACCACTGCTACATTATGGAAGCAGCATCAACTATGAACAGTAGCGATTGAGTGAGTGAGTTTGGTTTTATGCCACTTTTAGCAATATTCCAGCAATATCACAGCAGGGACACCAGAAATGGGCGTCACACATTGCACCCATGTCGGGAATTGAACCCGGGTCAACCACTAGGCTATCCAACCACCCCACTATGAACAGTAACAAGGAATGCATAAAACGTACACCCGTGTGAAAAGAATCTGGAAAGTTCATATGAAGTTCTAGCTTTGTGAGGTGAAATCTAGGTGAACCAACACAACACCTGCCATGCTAAGAAGGGAAGCAATGTGTGTGTGGAACGCACCTCATTGGTCAGCCTGAACAGGATGCTGTTGTGATGTTTGGGGGAGATGCCTGCTTTGATCAGGTTTCTCAAGTTCCTCAACATCGCCATGAACGGCAGCTTCTTGTGATCTGGGGAAAACAAGAAACAAAAGTAAATAATACATTTCTTGAAAAGGTTCTCTAAAACCATATCAACAAGTAATTCTTTTAAACAGTTTCAATAAAAAGAAAGAAAAATCGAAATTACACATACAATTGATTTGAAAACTAGTTTATTCAATCTTAAAAGATAATAAAATCCTAGCAAATGTTCATCTGCAGGATACTTGAATTCAAAAAGCGAGTTCCCCCTCGCTAAACATTTTTCGGACACTGGTGATTAGGATCTGTGAAATCAAGCATTAACCAACCAATCAGCTCCTCCCAGACAGCGGCCTTGTTCCCCTTCATTGACACCTGTGTTTCCCACGTCTCCGGCACCGGAAGCTTCATCCTCTTGCCTGACCTCTCCTCCTCCCAAGTCCCGGGAAGACGACTCGCATAAAACTCTTCTAGCGTGGAAGGGTACCTGGACAAAAATGCAGATGATACTAAGTATCAACACTTAGACAACCCCACTATCCACACTTACACAACCAAACTATCAACACTTACACTACCCCACTATCCACACTTACACTACCCACTATCCACACTTACACTACCCCACTATCAACACTTACACTACCCCACTACCCACACTTACACTACCTACTATCAATACTTACACTACCCCACTATCCACACTTACACTACCCCACTATCCACACTTACACTACCCCACTATCCACACTTACACTACCCCACTATCCACACTTACACTACCCCACTATCCGCACTTACACTACCCACTATCAACACTTACACTACCCCACTATCCACACTTACACTACCCCACTATCCACACTTACACTACCCCACTATCCACACTTACACTACCCCACTATCCACACTTACACTACCCCACTATCCGCACTTACACTACCCACTATCCACACTTACACTACCCACTATCAACACTTACAGTACCCCACTATCCACACTTACACTACCCCACTATCCACACTTACACTACCCACTATCCACACTTACACTACCCACTATCAACACTTACACTACCCCACTATCCACACTTACACTACCCACTATCAACACTTAAATTACCCACTATCAACACTTACACTACCCCACTATCAACACTTACACTACCCACTATCCACACTTACACTACCCCACTATCCACACTTACACTACCCCACTATCAACACTTACACTTCCTTTGCTATCCACACTTACATTACCCCATTATCAACACTTCCCATTATGAACACTCACTTCTTGCCAATGAGACACATGACGTGCTCCACGGGCTCCTTGATGTGCAACTTTCGGATCAGTTGTTTCAGGGAAAACGTCTTCTGCTCCAATGTTTCCTCTGTGTCACTCTCCTCATCGTAATTCACATCACTCAGCTGAAACAGAGCAATATTAAAGCGGTCAGTCATCCTTTTCTTAAAGAAATTAAACAAGATCAGTAAAAACACAATCTGTCTTATTTGAAATTAAATCTACATGTACACCCGTCAATGACTCCCCCCCCAAAAAACGTTACCGTCCCCTCCGCCTCAATGACAGGCCTGGGACAAATACACAGAATCAGGATACGATACATTACAGAGTGAAAGACACAAGCAGATCATGGAAAACTAAAGAAAAAGGTTATTTGAGGCAATTTAATAAATATGACAAATGGGATTAATTTACATCTGCTCAGTGGACGGTATTTGGCCCCAAGTTGGCAGAAAATGAGATTTTACATCCCTGTAACATGATGGCTTGGTCGGTTCAGATAATATTCCACTGATAGTAGGACCAATAAAGAGGTAGAGGCCATAATGCTTATTTTCACAATATTGAAGGTAATGTCAACAGCAAATCTTTTCCCAATTTAGGGCTCTTAGTTTGGAATCCTATTGAAAATAACAAACAAATACTGAAAAATACTGCAATGCACTGAAATTTACAATGTTTTCCTGTATGCAAATTATGGTTTCACAGTGATAGATGATAATGTACCGCAAATCCCTTAAAAATGCCAAATGTCTACTAGTCCTTATGACATCTCAACTATCGGGCAGCTTGGTAAGGGCTACAGGACTAGTGCCAATGTCTGTGGCCGGTTTCATGTCCTGCGTGAGTTTGACGTCCGGGTTAAGTCCATGTGGCACAGGTTCTACATGCTTTTCACTATGTAAAGTCAGGTATTATTCTGAGACCTCTTAATGGGAGTAAATCACTGCTTCAAAAACTTGAAAAAAAAAGCATGATATAATGTGGCGCTCTAGACCACTGTAGCACACATACCTCCCCTACACTTCGCAAGACCAGGCGTGCCAATCTTCCCTTTCATATTCTTCTCCATGACACTGTCTTCCCGACAATTTCACAGCTGAAGTGTTCTCTTATGAATGGTACTTAATGTTAATGAGTTTCCATGGTAACAGTACGTATTCAACCCATGAACTTACCTGTCTCCGTGGTTTCTTGTTGTCATCATCGCTGTCAGACTCTTCGCTGTCACTGTCAAAGAAGGTGCGTTTCTGACCCACCCCTCCCGGTCGCATCATACCACCTCTACCTCTGCCTCTGCCTCTTCCTCTTCCTCTCCCTCGTCCACCTTCATATCCTCCCTTCTTCTTCTTCTTCTTCTTCTTTGATGAATCCTTGTTATACTTTGCTGTAAAATGATTTTAAGTGTATGAGCAGCCGTTCGGTTAAAAAATACATAACATAAAGCACTAAAGTAATAGTAAAATGTTATGAATAAAGACTGAATGTTACAAATAAAGGTCATTATATTGACAAACAAATAATGAATTCAAAATACAAAACAATACCTATGAACAACTCGCAAACAAAATATGTCATATGTAAAGAAAGATGGAGTGAGTGAGTATGGTTTTACACCACTTTTAGCAATATTCCAGCAATATCACAGCAGGGGACACCAGAAATGGGCTTCACACATTGTACCCATGTCGGGAATCGAACCCGTGTCTTCGGCGTGACAAGATAACGCCTTAACCACTAGGCTACCCGACCACCCCTGTAAAGAAAGAACAATGTGTACTAAAGAACGTCAGTACACAAAAGGACACTAAACTGTTAAGGATGCCATGTGGTGCTGCAATTTGTAAAACATTCCGAGTTTAATCGGCTTGTTTCAATGTGTATAAGATAAATGCATGCTGAAGTGCTCAATGTATTACTTCATTCCTCATGTACTCAGCGTGTGACGTCGTACCACTTTGTATTTTTACCGGATGGCCGCCCATAGGAGTGTTTATTTTGAGGATAGTGAGTTAAACTTAATGCTGAGTCAGCTACATTGTAAATAGTCGGGAATCTCATCAAAAAAATTAATTACACATTTAAAAATTCATACATTAATGTCCATAAATTGGACACTCTTTCAACAAAACGATTAAATCCCCAACAACCAGAGCTGCTAGCCATGGTCAATGTGTATGCTTGTTTCTTTCTTGTTGTTTAACACAACACTCTGCAATAGTCCAGCTATTTGAAGGTGCCCTGTCAATAACAGGGTCAAGACCAGACAAACCAAAAATTGGCATCCTCACCAATTGCTTGAAGCAAGAGCTGGTTTATCAGCCAATCAGATATCAGCTTTCTAAAACGATTTGGCTTAACTTCTTTACCACCTCAATTCGGAAATTTCAATTTTGGCAAGAGAGAGTCCACAAATCCACAAGCATTCCTTCAAATATTACTCTGTTCTGGGTGAGATACCACTGCTATCAGAATGTACGACACATTCACAACAAAAAAATGGTGCCACTATGCTACCGGTAGGGTTGGGAATTGGACCAAAAAGTGTATTGCGATATATTGCAATATTTCAAAAACATATTGCAATATATTGGGAAATAATTTCTACCAAGAGAAAAGCTTTTTTTCATATCCCTTTGACAAATATTAATATGAAAGCTGCAATGTTAACAATTTTGTCAAAATTATGAACCAATTTTAATAAATTGTACTATTATTTTTATCTACAATCAAATAAAGAGTATGAAGCATTTTTTTTGTCTTTGTTTTGATTTAATAAGGTAAGACTATACATCATGGAATATACATGTCAGTCGCAGTTTGAATAATGAGGGAAAAACCGATACGCCAAAAACGTATCGCGATACGTATCGTGATGAATTTGTATTGCAATATACCGGTGTACCGATAAAACCGCACATCCCTAACTACCGGTACTACTTTTGGAACTTAGTTTGTTTTCAAGATGCAGAAATCAGATATGCTGGTTTCAACCCAGAAGTCATTCATGAACAACTTGTGTTATTCCGGGACAAGTCCAAATTTATGACTCAGGTCCGAATGGGAATTGTTTTTCCACAGCCCTGGCAAAAACTATTTTGATACACATATAAAACTCTGAACATGTATACACTGCAGTTGACAGACAGACACTTTATCCTTACCCGAACATATAAAAGTCAGAACGCATGCCTGCATAGTGAGAAAGAAATGTGAACATTAGCTATACTTGTAGTGTGACCATTGAGTTTTATTGTTAATGTCATTAAACAGTATGTCATGTGACTAACCACGGGTCCGGGTAGTCGTGTGGGTACCCGGGTCCTACTCAGGACCCACCCGACCAGAGTACCCGAGGTAACCCTTCCCAGCCCTATTCCAGATGCGATTTAAAACACATTGGGACTTACGGTATTAATACAGTATGATTGAACACATTTAACTTTATCTAGGATATATTTTTAGATGCAAGATCTGTAAATAAAAAAATCATTCCTGAGGGATTCTTTGACCGAAGTACTTGAAGTCATATGCGCAGTCTGATTGGTTTGTCGTATTCATCACATTCATCGACTGGGGGACAGGTCTTCTTGCAGGTTACGGAAAGAGGCGAGTGGTGACGAATGACCCAGATGTTAGAAGCCTTGATGCTCTATGGAGGTGTTCTCAGATCTTCATGCAGGGAGGCATCGTATTGCAGAAAAAGATCTGACTGTCATGTGACCAGATAATATTTACAGTTGCACGGACACAGTTTCAGCCACACAGCTCCTTCATGCGCTGATGATGGTGATACGCCAGCATGACAGTACTGAGAACGAAGATGGATGACTGATGATGGTGATACGCCAGCATGACAGTACTGAGAACGAAGATGGATGACTGATGGTGGTGGAATGGATGACTTACCAAGCTGGTATTTGTCGAAATCTGGAAACTTTCCCAGCATTACTCGTCTCAAGGTTGCAGGCAGTGCCCCGAATGTCAGACTGTCATCGTGAAACGCCTGAGATTAATGAGAAAAGTTGTCAGATATAAAAAATAACTTCTATTTTGCAGTCAGAAATTTTAAAATTCATAATTATCACCTGAAAGTTTAATAATTTTTAACAAAAAAGATGAGATTTGCTGCCTACAATGATAAAAGTGTGTGTGTGTGTGTGTGTGTGTGTGTGTGTGTGTGTGTGTGTGTGTGTGTGTGTGTGTGTGTGTGTGTGTGTGTGTGTGTGTGTGTGTGTGTGTGCGTGTGCGTGCTTGTACTAGTCTGGACTGATGCTCATTCATAGTGCTAGCCCACTCAGATACCATGCCACAGTTTAACATGAATACCACACTCAGACACAGTATACTGACTCCGAGCCGACCAGTCCTTGTTTTAGCCCCTTAATCCCGAGCGCCAGACAGGGTAACAACAAGTATCATCCTTTAACGTCTTTTGGTATGACGCAGCCGGGGATCAAACCTCGGACCTTCCGCTCTCCGGGCGGACGCTCTACCACTAGACCACGGAGGAGGCGGTCTAACAAGAAATAGACAAACAGAAGACAGTAATCATCCTGACCTGGTAGATTTCCGCCACTTCAATCCAGTCGGAGGGCAGGTTGATGGAAGCAGAGAAATACTTTCTCATGTATGGGCGACACGACTTGACATTCGCAGCCAGAGCCAGCAAGAAGTTGGCTGTAGTTCGGATGTTCAAGCCTTTCCTTGTGTGTAAGGCCACCTGAAAATCAAATAACAAAAGGCATACAAATATTTCCCAACGAATTAAACTTGAATGAACTTAGGAATGATTAAACTGAGAAACCAAACACCAAGGGTGCATCGACATGCTTATAGCTGTCTTCAATTAACAGCATGTGAGAAGTGTTCAAATTAAAACATAAGACCTTGACCTTACCTTCAGAAGAAACTCTGGGTCATAGGTCGTGACCTTTTCTGACATGGCAATGAGATCTATTCTGGCTTTATCCTTTGAATCCTTGAAGTTGGGTGCGCAGATAAGGGATGCACTGACAGCATTGATAAATGCATGCTGAAAAATAATATTCATTAAAAAATAATTAGTATCAAGCATATTGACAACATAAACATCAATTTTAAGAAGACAATGATCAAACTAGTCAGTTATCATTAGCGCCTTGATCATAACCATCATGATGATTATCAAATAGCTTGCCAGGTGAAAATTAGATTGGTCAATGACAAAACCTTTGGTGTCCACCAGACTGAGTATGAATTTTGCTGATATTTTCTGTAGGTTTAAATTTTATCCTATAGGCATAAACTGATGTTACTATACCAGAGGACATGTTTACAAGACCTAGGCTTCAGACAAGTGGCTTAAGTCGCAGACTTAAATTCTTGATGCATTACATATTCAAAATATTTTTTTCCTTCATGACAGACAGCTACATCAAATTGTATCGGTAGAAATGATCGAAACTTGTTTTGCTTAACATGCTGAAACTAAAATTCTTGACTTCATTCTGAACATAAACTGGTTGGCTGACAAAACGTGAATGATGATGAGTTATAATGAGCCTGTATCAATGTTAATGACAGTTATATTTTATAATTTCTACGACAACGGTCCATTCTAATGATGGTGATCAATCACTCACCTTCAAACCATTCACATCACAGAGTGGCGCCGTCACAAGGTGTTTACTGACTCGGACATCCTTGTCTGGCGGCATGAAGTTCGGCACTTCAAAACTTTCCCCGGCATACATCCCTGCAAAATTGTAATCAGGGTAGCTTGTCTCATAGGCCTTGTAGTTAAACCCTGGCTCCTTCGACTTCTTCTCCTTGGGCAGTTTGGCCACCTTGGACAACTTGGATGCCTTCTCTCCTTTCCTTGAGGCGTCCTTGACCTCAACTGACCGTTTCTTTGGAGGTGCATCGCCACGTGTTGATTTCACTTTCCTCTGGGTTTTTTCATGCGAGCTTTGGCTCGATTTTTCACTATGGTCGTCTTTTGTTCTTAAAGATGGCAATAATAGCGTCTTCGGAAACGAACTTGATAACAGTCCACCGGTCAGTAGGCCACTGCCGGACAATAAACTGCCACCAGTCAAGGTGGAGGATAGTGTCAATTTCTGGGTCAGCTCTGTGCTGAGGAGAGAACTCTGGGTAGAGAATGATGTGTCTTTTGTCTTTTTATTGTCAACGTCGGAGGAATCATTGCCTTTCCGCTTACGCCCTGCATCGCCAGCCTTGGATGTTGAAAGTAGACTTGACCCTCCAAGTCCACCTCTCAAACCTTCAACATACAGACGATGGTTACAATACATGCTTTGACTAGGTGATGGAGACAACCAGTTACAGGTGAGAAAGATAACAGGATCGCAAATGACTTTAACATGATGGAGGGTTAGCTGGCTTTTCTCAAAATCAAGTGTTTTTCTTCTACTTTTCAACATTTAACTGTAAATGTAATAAAGATATTATTCTGGTGACAAGAACTTGATATTTTTTAAACTACATTTCTAATAGAAATGATGATGGTAAAGAAAGTATAGAAATACCCATTCAATGTTTCTCCCAATACAGTTTCAATAAACAAATTGATAATATCTATAAAACACCTTGATGTTTGTTTTTTAAAATGGAGATCAACTTTTACTATTGCGTTCTAATTGTATTTGTCACACTGGTACTAAGTCTCTGTAAAGAAATAAACACGATATCATGAAGAAATATAATAACTTATTACATATTACAAACTAGAAAGGTATTTGCATTACCGTATTTGACATATAGGCACCCAGGGCGCTCTCAAAATTAGAAATAGAAATATAGTTTTCCAGAATTTAATTTCCCATAAGTAAGGATACATAACTAAGGATATATCACACGTATTATACAAGAATAATTGAGTCTTGTGTACATTGATCAATCGGAAGGGGCGCTAATTTGGACTGTTCACTTGCCAATATATTGGCAAATATCGCCATGGGCCCTTATTTGAGCGGGGCGCTTATTACATCAAATATGGTACATGCAAAACAAGGAACAGTCCCATCTCTACAATTTCCTTAATGTCCCAAAACCTTCCAACCAAAAACATCCGTGACGTAAATTTCATGTTGACTTTACCAAATCATGTGACAGCTCACCAATATCTTTCCATACTCATCTCTGATCAACAGTAATGTCTAATGCAGGCCTATGCCTCAAGGTTCCCTAACACACGTATTAAGCACTTCCGGTACACTGACATTAAGTCCGCTCTGGGATAACATATGCCCAATGCAGCACAACATTGAAACATAAAGTCTGATGCCTCTAACTAACTTAGTAACACAATTATCATAGTTATAACCACTTCTGGTCTAACATCTGTTTCATGACATCACTTCCATTTGGGGAAAACATCAATTACATGTAGTATAACTTTGAAAAACAATGTCCCTTGACCTACTCAAAAGAAGTAAAGGGCCACCCGAGTCTTTCATGTTACTATAGGTAATCTGTCATGCCATGACAAACAGGCCATGACATAATCTTACTTGAGTGTTTTGATGCAGTGACCGAAAAAAGATCATGTCTCCCAACCAAAAATCCCATGCCACCCCCAGGGTTTTAAATGGTTGGTCCTCTATCACACTCGGTAGCCTAGCCTTCAATCAGAGCAACCTAACCACATGCAGTTGGTAAATGCTTGAATATTTCATGAATTATTCCACAATGTCCTGAAAGGGGGTTGGAAGATCAGGGCCCCTTTTGGCCCACTGGAAACGTCAAATTTTAAAGTTGCATAAAAAATTTAAATATTGGGTGAGTGAGTGACTTTGGTTTAATGCCGCTTTTAACAATACTTTAATGGCTGTTTGAAATATTGGTATGAAAATTATCAGATATGTTCTACGGCTAATACTAGCCTTTTCTATTTTTAATGTTTAAAGTTTTGTACTTCTGATGTCAAATACACAAAATATAGCTGAAATGAGTGAAAAAGGCAGATTTTGAGAACTTTACATGAAAATCAAAGTATGAGCAACCCTGTGACCCAAATGATTTTTATGAACGCTTAAATTAGCTGCAAGCTCCGACGCTCATACAGTTTGGTCCTCACTCTATGAAGGTTCATACTCCAATGAACTCACACAAAGTGAATGTCAGTTCTAACATGAAGAATAATATCATTTTACATATTAGCAAGAGACAAACCTGTAGTGGTCTCCAACTTCCATTTGGTCAGAAGAGGACTCTTGGTAAACAGTTTGTCACGTTCTCGTGACATTGTGTCGTCAATATAGACTTCCGCTGAAACTTAAAAAAGTAAAATAAGATGAGTTTGCTTTTTGAGGCATCTGTTTTTCAGTGACTGAGTAAGTCCGTAAGTCTGCTAACTTTGCAGCATAGATCCAATTTGAGTTTATAATGTTGAATCATATGGTATTTGTCTTCCCAATGTATCTCATTTGGCATTGGTAGCAAACAAAACCAGAGTGTGAACCAGACAATCCCGTGACTGGTATTTTGAAAAACGTCCAACATCATTGGGGTACAATGACAACTGATGCAATCATACATCAATCATAGGTTGCAGGGGACCAATCCTAACCCAGAATCCACTTGTGGCGTTAGTAAGTAAGCAAGGTTTTACACCTCTAAGCAATATTCCAGGAATATCACTGTACGGGGGGGGGGGGGAGCTTACGGCTTACATTTAGTACATTGGAATTAATACATTGCTGGAGTCTTTCTGAAGCTAGTACAAGCATGGCAATAAGATGACACAATAGAATCACTTAACATGCTTAAGGAAGTCAATTGATTAATTTGGTTAGAGAAGTACATCTCGACACTTAGCTCTAGAACCACAACTGCAATCATCAGTAATATTAATGAACGCCACTTACTTATATTATCCATAGGGAGTTTCTGGACTAAACACCGGTTATGATCAAAACAAGCGAGGTATAGTTCAGTCCAGAAGCAGGAACGTAATGTTATTCCTTTGTGGAGCGCTCTTGATAATCGGACGAGAAACTATTATCAAAACTAGGTTTCGAATGTATTTCTCGTCTGACACCACGCAATTGTTGCTTACCTTACTCTAACAACTGTTCAGTTGTATTCGTGCAATCCAGTTAAAATCCCTGACGCAGCAAAACATGTAAATACACGCGATTAACCGCGACTGCTGAAATATTTTGCAATAAGTACTTAGCTGGTTAGAGTTACTTCCCTTTGTTTATACTTGCCCAAGCTCCTTCCCAGCGCGTGACACCTTCGTTACACTCTCGGTAACAGTATAGAGAGCTCCGCGAACGGGCTAGCGCTGCGAGGAGCACGTATGGGCAACGAGGATCTTTACAGTAGGGGCGTATGTAGACTTGCACAAGTATATGAGTAAATTATTATTTTAATTCATATTCCTTAGATTATACAAATGATAAGAACAATTTGACCCATAAAAAGACTGACGCCCTCAATCCTTGTACGGCCGGCTTATCTTGTCATAGATATCCATGGTAGAGTCTTTGAGCAAGGCTTGAGCATATCACGACACGGTTCAACTCCGGACCATTCGTCACCACTCGCCCCTTTCCGTAACGGGCTTGTCCCGGAAAAACACCGAATTTGTCACGAATGACTCCGGCCGGGTTCTGTTAGCAGATTCTGTTATCCAGTGGACAAATAGACATGTAAAAGTCTCAAACAATGAGTATTAGTTTAAATCATAATTCCTAGATTACATAAATATTAAGAACAAGCTGTTCCTGCAAAAGACTGGTGTCCATAGATATACTGTCCTCTTATATTCACGTACTTATCTAGACTAATTCTTTCTTTCTTTTCTTCGAAAGATCGTTAATACTCTTCTGCTGTTTTCATACGGAATCAAGCAAACTAGACTTGGTTAGTTTGATCTAGGATTGCCTAGGCTTTTAGTAAAAACATTTCTAAAAAATATATATTCCACAGTCATGTCGCAGGACTATAGGACTTATCATTCAGTACTGTATACATTTTAGGTTAGTGAACAAGGTAGCTATACCTACCCTCCGCGCTGTTCGGCGACGATCGAGGTGCCTCATGGTGAAAAAAAACTTTGTTTGTGCACATGTAAGCCTTTGAAGACGGGAACCTTGTTATTGTCCTGTAATAGGCGATGTGTGGTCAGTCTCGCTGACTTGGTTGATACATGTCATCGTATTCCAACTGCGTGGGTCGATGCTCATCATGTCAATCACTGGATTGTCTTGTCCAGACACGATTATTTACAGACCGCCGTCACATAGCTGGAATATTGCTGAGTGCGGCGTTAAACAACAAGCAAATCGGTGGTGCTGTCGGACACTGCTAGCGAAAACGGAAATGATAGCAATTGATTATAAGTTATTCTATGTTGCAAACATTTATAAAGTAGCACAGATGATTTGATATTTAAAAAAAACCAACTTTATACCTCAACAACAAAAATGATAGGTACGTTATTTTGCATATACCGTAGTGCTCTAAAAAGCGCCCCGACGTTCTTTGAACAAGCTTCAAAGCTCGACTGTAATAAGAGGCCAGGCGCTACATATCAACTACGTGTACATTGTTGCAAAAGCCACAGTCACTAACAAATTGACATACTATACAATGTTATGTTCTTGATGCACAATTTATTTAAGAAATAAACGACGAGTGGGAGTTGTTTATCGTACAATAAAACACTAGATTACCGTATACGTATCAACATTACGTACAGTTTCATTAACGATGTTAGTAAAAAGTACACGCTTTAAAACATACTTACCCGTATTTATATAATTATAACTCCCTGAATACAATTGGGGAGTGGCAATGGTCGGACTTGTCCATTTTATAAATAGGGGTTCAAATTGGGTCTACGTACATAAAGGGGCCCTGCATGGAGTAATAAGGAAACCTTAAGTATATTACTTTTAGAGCTGAAAAGGGGATGCACATATGCAGCGAGAGAGAGAGGGGGGGGGGGGGGGGGGGGGGGGGCGTGATTGTAAAGTAAAAAAAACCTGTACGCTCTAGGTCCTAAAACAGACGTCTGTAGCGACCAGAACTGGGATACGACCAATCCCCAGACCCCAAGTCTAACAGTACAGATATATTGTATGGTTTCCTTTACATTATATATTAAAACTCAATTTAACCCATTTGCTTTCAAACATGTTCACACCACAAGTCATCTGAACACTCCGTATTATGGATCCTCCCGGCATGACGATGATGATGATGATGACGATGATGATGATGATGATGATGATGATACCTTCTGAAAAGTTGGTTACAAGAACGCTGTGTGCAAAGGAGTCATCAAGATGCAAAGACGAAGAGGAAGGAAATAAAGCTAAAAACAAGTATTGCCATGAAGCCGTTACACAACACATGTCAAGAGATAATCGAATCACTTTGTAAAAAAACTTTCTCAAAATACTAAAAACATAAAGCTTGAAGTGCTTTAAAAAGATAACATTACAACATTGTATAGTTTGGGAAAACTTTCATTTTAGGGTGGATTTTCTAAGAGTATACACTGTTGCACAGAAATATTTAGATTTATTTATTATCATAAATGAGTTCCAATATACCTGAGGGTCACTGACCTTCGCCGATTGTTGTTTACCTGTTTATTTACATTCCGAGCTGACTCCACTCATCCGTACCATAGCCAGTGTAATTAGCAATGGATCCTTAACTAATTACACAAGCACTGATGTAACCTGAGCCAACTCGCCATTTCGCCCGGTACCACCTCACATGGCCACTTGTTGATTCCAGCAGGCGCCGCGGGAGGGGGGACAGGGAGGAGTGTTTGCGGTGTGAGGTGACACGAATCAACAAATAGCTAATGAGATACAGAGGCTGAATGACAATAAACGATGAGTATCTTTCATCTCCAATTACCCTGGAAGAAGCGATCCCGCTATTTAACACCCCCTCCCTATTCCCAGCCCCTCCCCCGTAACAACCCAGCCTCCCGACCCGTTTCTGTCTCTCTAGCAGCCCCTTTCACGGTAACCAAAGACTGACGCTAAGGCTCTGAGGATATATAATTTTGATAGAAACAAGCATTAATTTGAAAAGAATCGCCAGTCAGATTGAAGTTTCAAATCTGAACCTCTGTACAATCTTTTATAAGTCAGGGATGGACAGAAGGGAGAATAATAATACTGACGTTTACCTGTTTGTTTGTTTGTTGTTTAATCACTCAGTAATATCCCAGCTATATGACGGCGGTCTGTAAATAATCGAGTCTGGACCAGCCAATCCAGTGACTGATATCATGAGCATCGACCAACGCCATAGGGATACGATGACATGTATCAACCAAGTCAGCGAGCCTGACCACCCGATCCCGTTGGTCTGTTTACCTGTACTCCAGTACTCGTCACGCCGAAGACCCGGGTTCGATTCCCGACATGGGTTTAAAGTGTGAAGCCCATTTCTGGTGTTCCCCGCCGTGATATTGCTGGTATACTGCTAAAAGCGGCGAAATATCAAACTCACCCACTCACTCTGTAATAGGTAAGATAAACCTTAGATCAGTATAAGATATTCTAAGAACTATGTCAAGTTTATCGTAATATTATAAAACATAAATTTGTCAAGTGTTCAACTAGTTTTTTGTGATGATGGTTTCTGTAATATCGTGTTTAACTTGCAGTTACCAACGTGTGTGAAGGGACAGAATATATTATCTCCAGTGGTTGTCGTGAAAACGAGGACTGTATATTGTGGTCTGTGTTGCAATGCAACAGGCTGGTTGTGTGCCTTCGTTATAAGCTGTCCGTGGTATATAAACCAGTGGTTTGTCTGCTCCAGGTTCGACTACTTACAGGTGATATACTGTAAACATGCTGAATGTGGGTAAAACAACACGAATGAACTTTGTCACTTGCGATAGAAGGTACAAAAAAGTGTCATCCAAACCTTTATATGGTTTTGGGCCACGATATTTCTCATCGCTTTATTAACATTGGTAATGGGGGTGTTCATAAATAGCTAGTTTTTTTTACCATTTACTGTTCAAAAACGGTATTGTGGAAACTGACATGGGGAAAAGGTGGCATCGCACACACCATGGAATCTTAACCAAGTCTTCATGCACAGGGGCGAAACTACCATTGTTGCAGAAAAGCAATTGCTTACAACGAAAAAAAGCACAATTTTTGTTTACACCTTAGAAAACCTCAAACTCTATACTATCGTACGTGATATTTATTGTTAAACTTTAAATCGGAATCTTTACGCATTTTGGGATTTAGTCGTAGACGTAGACGGCGAAATCAAACCGCGCACACAATTATTTTCTTTGGGATGATAGGTCGGCTCGCGATAAATTATGAAAAAATAAATAACTATCACAAAGTACGAATGAACATGTAAAAATACATAAAAGTAATATTATCGATTCGTTTTAAATGTTCAAATTTCACTTGTCATAGATGTTTCTTGAATGTAAGTCGAAAAAGTGTTGTTAAAACACGTATATATATTACTAATACAAAATTATAATTTTAAAAATACGAATATTTGTCGCAAATAAAATCTAACATAAACGGCCCTAAAACGCTGGAAGTAGCGTTTAAGAGTTTCTAATTTCTAAAAATTTCTGGGGGGGTCCTCGTAAAATCAGATTTGCTTACACTTAAAATTAGCCTAGTTGCGCCCCTGGTGCATAAAACTAAAATATACATATTTTGGGTCGTTGGGGAAGAGAAAACAAAAGAATCATTCGGCAAGACTTTCACATGGTTTCTAACCTTCATCAAATGTCAATAATGACATTATGTTGAACAATGTATCCAGAATAAAAAAGATCAAAGAAAAGCGCCGTGCATGCACAGGTGTGCGTATATAGTAACTGGGGAGGTTATAAAACCTTGACTCATCATATTTACTGAATTGAAACTCTGGTACAGATTGATTACTATGCTCTGGAATAAAACTTTTCACTCATATACGCGGATATAGAGTAGGTGGTATTATCTCCTATGCAGTGTGCTAAGTGCACCCACCCAACGCCACCCATACACTGGTTTGCCTGGTCCAGACTCGATTGTTTGTTTGTTTGTTGTTTAACGCCTCACTCAGCAATATTCCTGCTACATGACGGCGGTCTGAAAATAATTGAGTCTCGATTAGACAATCCAGTGATTGACATCATGAGCATCGATCCACGCAATTTGGATACGATGGCATGAATCAATCAAGTTAGCGAGCCAAAGATCGCTTTGTGCAAGTGGGCCAAGGTGGGATGTGGTCTGCGCTTTACCATTACATTGCCATTTTCATGTAAGTGCCGTACACAATATAACTGCACTTACATTCCTGCAGGGGCGGTCGGAAAGCCTAGTGGTTAAAGCGTTCGCTCGTCACGCCGAAGACCCGGGTTCGATTCCCGACATGGGTACAATGTGTGAAGCCCATTTCTGGTGTCCCCCGCCGTGATATTGCTGGAATATTGCTAAAAGCGGCGTAAAACCAAACTCACTCACTCACATTCCTGCATGGGCTGTAGACATCGAGGGCAGAAATGTCAAGCACTATAGCCGTTCTGATGATAGCTGGGAAATAAAATTTATATTATTTTTTTCAACTATATTGCAGTTTTGTAAAGGTCTAACAAGTGCATTTGTTCAGGAATACGTGAAATGCTTTGATCCAATGTTTAATTATATCATATTTCTATTTTCAACCCACATCCCTATATTTCTGTTTGTTCATACAAGGCCAGATTTGACAAAAAATGAAAAGCAGTGATTTTGTGTTAATATACTCTTATAAATAAATTATTAAAATACCATAATTAATATCTGTTGAAAATTCCTCTTAAACATACCCTCTCACAATTGATGTTTCCCCTACTCATACAAGGCCAGATTTGACAAAAAATGAAAAGCAGTGATTTTGTGTTAATATACTCTTATAAATAAATTATTAAAATACCATAATTAATATCTGTTGAAAATTCCTCTTAAACATACCCTCTCACAATTGATGTTTCCCCTACTCAACATTTTGATGAAATCAAAACAAATATTCGACTTTTTAAAAATTCGCCCTACTGATCTGAATCCACGCACTACAGTGTAAATTGCATCTTCTCAGCTTCGTGGAGTTTTCGATAAGACCAATTTAAGTATTTCTATTGGCTGAGGTGTATTAAGATTATGGACATGGCTTTGACGCTTATATTTTGTACATCATGGCAATGCATTAGATATTGGTTTACAGTCATTGTGGCTCATTGTGATACTCTTCAAATATATTGCGCCGTGTGTTTGATAAGGCCGTTTCATTGCGACGTGGCAATACTGTAGCTATATTGCAAATTCATGTAGTGTTACATTGTGTCACTGTCAGTCCATTCATACTAGGTCCCACATTCTTCGCGTGTAAGGTCAAGTTGATGCTACTTAGTTTTTACCATAATTATTAGCTGTATATGCATCTAAACGGGTAACATCATTCCTTTATATATTGGAAACAATATTGTCAATGGCGCTGTTACATTTTTATATAACTACATGATTTCCGCTGGCATGCTGAAAATATATTATATTGCGACTTCACGTACTTAAATTATCATCATTGTATTTTGAGTGCGTCATCAAAAATAACATTTATGGTTGAGATACAAAATATCAAACTGATCGTCATTTCTGATAAAATAGTTACTTCGTTACCCCAACGACTTTAGTGTCACGTGATTTATGTTTACAAATAATGTAAGCGCCGCCCAATTGTTAATTGACGGGAAAACCCGAGCCAATGAAAACCGTTGGCGGCCTGGACGTATGGCGAGTTATAAAATGCACGTGGAATCCGTGCGCCGTCACACGTGCCAGGTGCAAGAGTCGTCAGTGCTGCCCAAATTCTATCACCCAAGGCGGCGCACCATTGACCGAGGCTACCATCTTTAACTCGGAGGCGACCTGTGGCTGATTCAACAATGCTACTACACCCTGTGCTGGAACCTGACTCCGGGGACTGTCGTACGACTGACGACTTTGAACTACTCGCTGGGGATGGTGTTCCAAACCACCAAAGCCTACTACTCCCTCAGATCCCCAAATTCACGCCACAGCTCGCCAAGAAGAAAATCTTGTCCGCCAAAGAAGACTTCATAGGTAGGAATGACTCCGCGTTTAGCGACGTGTTATGTCTGGGGAACGACCACATCTACGACCCCTACCAGGACTACTTTGGGTTGTGTCAGGAGTTCGCCGGGGGCCGGGGCGAGCTGAGCCCTAGTTCCGATATTTCCCTGTCATCGGACGAGAGTAGCGACAGCTTCAAATATGCAAGTTTCCAAGCTTCAAATCCATCGCTTGTGAATTCGAATTTCAGCAAGTTAGACCAGGAAAGACTTTGTGCTTTGACGACGGCGGAATTCGAAAGAAACGGAACTACTTACGAACTGGACGAGTATGACATCATACAACAAAAGGTGCGTGGGCACGAACCCCCCACCCGCGAGATCCCGGTTGTTCCAAATGATCGGATCAAGGAATACCTGTGGCTCAAACAGTGCAAGACAGCCCGTGGTGATGCCACACAACTACAGGTGCAGGGGAAGAAAAAATCGAAGTTGATCTGTGTATTCTGCAAGAACAACAAAGAACCTCCACACGTGTACACAGGACATGTTTTGAAGGATTCCCGTGGGTATACAGCGTGCCCAGTGTTGAGGAAGTACCCGTGTCCAATCTGCCAAGCCATCGGGGACCACGCCCACACCATCAAATACTGTCCCTTCAACAACGACTCGGAGTTTCGAACCAGCCCCTCTCCTCTCCGTACGACGCGCATGGCCACAGGTAAAAAGCGTCGTACATGAAGAGTTTACCAGAGTGTGTATACTGTTACATTCCACCTTTCAAGTGTGTTGTTATAACGGGGACTCGTAATGCATCCAGTTTTCCAGATGAATGGAGCTGATTTTATTCGCAACTGATTTTAATCTTGACTCGAATGAGAAATTGATGATGAACTCGCCTGTGTTGTGTATGATATTAACTATCTAGTTTTGTTTATTGTTTAGCCTAGGAACACGTGAATGTGTTGAAGAGGAGTGCTGTGTTCAAAACGAATTTACCGTTTTGACAAAGAATACAGTGCTTATGTGTTAAAATGCAGGGACATTTTAACAATGTATGTGGTGCAATGGACTGTCAAATTTGGAGACGTTTTAGTTTGAAAAAAAATCATTCTCAGAGTACGTTATAAGAATTAGCTTGAAATTTTACATTTTAGGATTTCAGAGTTTTTGTTGATTTTCCAGTAGATCTTAATTATTGTGCATTTAATGATTTTATTTATGATGCTTTAGCATGTAGGATTATACGCCATTGTAAATTTGAAATTTTAGAAGTTTCCGACAGTTTTATTGATATGTTATTTTATGACCGCCAGTATCGAATACTGATGGAATATGCCTCCTGTAAATAGGGCGACTTTGTAAAGGCTCTGCTGTATTGAGAAGTAGTAGTTTTAGTATCATAGAATATAGATGTAATTCATACAAGATTGTTTGTTTTTCTTTGTCAAATGACATTAGTTTACCGTGAAAGGAACGATTGTTTTAACATGCATATACTTAAAATATGTACTGTAATTAACACTCACACGTTTGTTAACAAATGAGTGTGTGTTAACCCCGACAGTCGTTTTCCCAGCAGCCTTTGCTGATCGTAAGAGTGAGTCAGTCAAAACAACGTCGCATCGACATTATTTCAGCCATATAGCTACCAAATGGATCGGGGTAACTTGTTGATTGCCAGTCATCGTAACCAAACGACGCGGATCGTTGCTCATAATATCGATCACTGGATTGTTAGGCCCAGAATCGATATTTACAGGCCGCCGTTGTATAGCTGGAATATTGATGTGTGCGGAATTAAAAACAATAAGCAAACCAGCAGCCACACGTGCCTGCTCGTCGCTATATAAGTGCAATAATCTTGAACGCGAAGTTACATCATCTCATCAATTCAGTGAGGCTAGAACTATAAAACCAACCGAACTATAGTACACAGTATTTTATCAACACGTGAACCAATCAGATATCACCATCCTGACATGGCTTCATGATGAGTATTTACTGTATGTAAGTGCAAGAATCTGTACGCAATGTTATACCCGATTTCATGTCGCCTTAATGTTGAAGGCGGGGCGGTCGGGTAGCCTAGTGGTTAAAGCGTTCGCTCGTCACGCCGAAGTCCCGGGTTCGAGTGTGAAGCCCATTTCTGGTGTCCCCCGCCGTGATATTGCTGGAATATTGCTAAAAGCAGCGTAAAATCAAACTCCCTCACTAATGTTGGAGGCAATTACAACAGTGACGCAGGTCGTAATAATTCTGTATGCTCAAACCCATGTCCTCGTGAAATGTACTTGGGCCTGTGTGGGTCAGGATGCAGTGAGGGGCGGTGGGGTAGCCTCGTGGTCAAAGTGTTCGCTTGTCACGCCGAAGACCCGGGTTCGATTCCCAACATGCATGGGTACAATGTGGGAAGCCCATTTCTGGTGTCCCCCGCCGTGTTAGTACTGGAATATTGCAAAAAGCGGCGTAAAACAATACCCGCTCACTCACCCCATGATGCCGTGATCATGATGTATCTTAGATTAAAACAACACGCCTAAACGTTCAGTATAGCACCCTGTTGATTTTCTTCTCGGGGGTGGGGATATGGAAGCCTCTACATTGTAGGAAAGTAAATTACATGCCCATTTGTTTCATTTATGAAAGTAATTGATCCCTTCCCCCACCCCTCCCGAAAATCGCAGTAGAGTAGGTCTTCAGCAACCCATGCTTGCCGTAAATGGCGACTATGCTTGTCTAAAGAGGCGACTGACGTGATCGGGTGGTCAGGTACCCTGACTTGGTTGATGCATGTCATCGATCCTAATTGCGTGGATCGATGCTCATGATATTGGTCACTGGATTGTCTGGTCCAGACTATTATTTACAGACCGCCGTCAAGTAGCTGAAAATCAAATGATTGCCCCCTAACGAGGTGCCATGCTGCATGTTACCATGACGATGGATACAATCTTCACAAGAGTGGTGACACATCTCGGGCATACCTGTTCTTGTTTTTTTAAACTATGAAAGGAGGAGATGATAATTAGTTTGTCAACAGCATTTCATCAAGATATATTTAGAGAACGGATGACCGACCGATTTCTACTGATAATTGATCTCTAAGACAGAAAAGCCTCGGATTTTCTCGTGACAAGCCGATGACTGAGAATTTTTTTCTTTTGTTCTGCGCTGATAAGTACTTTATTCTTGTTAACATGCATATTCCCGCCCTGGTTGAGAAGATTACATCATGTGCAGTCCGTGCAAGGTCACCTAGCCTCCATGGTGTGCGGCGCTGTCTGTGTTTTGTCTGCCACGCGCAGCACAACATGCACGTGATTATTGCAGAGAAGTGGGCGGGGCACAAAAGCAAGACCGGTACATGATGTCGAGTATACAATAGTTAGCCCGTGCTTATACACACGCCACGCGCACTTCTGGTAGGATACAATATGTACATTGGATTACTGGGAGAAAAACTAGTGTCTAAATACATCTTCGAAAATATGTATATAATGTGGTGATAAAAACCTAATTAATTACAGGAAGCGTGGTCATGAAATAATGTAACAAAAAAATGGACAAATTGTTTCCTAGTTTCAACGACCTTCGAACGTTCAACAGTGAAATTGTCTTTTAATGTAGATAATCATTCTTTTCGGAAGACATTTCTGTTTCAGGGTTTGTATTATAAATTACGATAAATGAGGGTACCAACCTCCCCTCCCCTGAATCCCCAATACCGTCTTATTCCGAGCCTTTTCATTCACACCCGAATCCCGAATACCACTGATCACAAATCACAAAAGCACGTCAGAGTGCTCTCCACAAAGGCAGAATGAAAACCCACAGATCACGTTCCTAGTTCATGAAAGGGTGCGATTTGAAGTTAAATTACCGAACGAATGAAGTAAAAATATTAAGTATAAAAAGAACGTTTTTACGTATACCATAAATGTTGTTTTAATGTTGAATCTGCGCACCTATTACGATTTTATTTGCGTTCCGCATACCACAAGCCTGGGTCCCGAATACCCTCTAAATAGACACTCGAATCCCGCTTACCAGCCTCATAAATAGTCGTGTTCCCAAATGGAAGGTGGCAGAACATTATATTTAAATAGCGAGCGAGTGAGTATGGTTTTACGCCGCTGTGGAGAATCGAACCGGGCCTGCCTCGTGACGAGCGAACGCTTCAACCACTAGGCTACCCCACCGCCCATCGGATTCGCCTTTTTATTATGACTTGAACCAGTAGTCGGTATTTCAAAATGTATGAATCTTTGTCACCAAACCGATGTATGATTGTCTATCATGAAAGGATTTGTCGATGGCAACATATATTTTGTTTAATAGTTTTCAATTATGATCTATTGACGGTACAGCCGAGACCTTTATACTTCTAGTATATCGTATTGCCAGAGCTCCAGATAACTTTTTGAGCAATTGAGTTTTTGCTCGAAGGTTTCTATTTTAATTGGGTTATAACATTTTTCATTGAGTAACCAATATCTTTTCACTCATCTATTCATCACTCTATTGGTTTTTTTTCTCCAAAATGAGTAAACATTTTGAGATTTCAAAAAAAATAATAATAAGGTTTAGATGTATATAAGGGTTCTAACTATATGCTTGACTCGGAAAGTAAACTTGCTCGAAATTGTGTTTCGGAAATTAGCTCCATTGTACGCATGCTGAAAAAGCTTCACTGGGTATTGACGCATGCAATTTATACATTGGAGTTTTTCATTTAATGTATGCGTTTCTGTACGCAAGTAATTGGGTTTTGAATATTTATTTATTTATTTATTTTTTTTTGGGGGGGGGGGGGGGGGGGGGGATTTTACGCAAATACGCAGCTTATCTGTAGCTCTGTAATAATTGCTGAATTGAGTTTGTTATGTTTGAGTGCGGCGTTAAACAACAAACAAAAGCATTTAAACTTATAATTATTGCCTTTGAGATTTGTGCAAGTCTAATATTACCAGTTTAATGTAAATTATTATACATATACATATTATTATACATTATACATTATGTATAGTATGACATATTTTGCTCTCAAACTAGACTTGCACAAGTCTCTAAGGCAATAATTAATAGTTTAAATCATAAGTTCTAGATTATGTAAATACTAAGAACAAGATGTCCCTATAAGAGACTGGAGTACTGTCCACATATCTAGACTTGCCTGTTAGGAGGGTAGAATTGTTACACATCCGTGGTCTTTTCTTTCAGTATAGCCTTGGAGCAAGGCTACTCTATACCACTGAAATAAAATTAATCTTAAACTGAAACTAAATGTGAACGTCGTTGTGGTACACTGACGCACAAACATAGAGGTCAAACATGACCAGCTCCTCATTGAGTAGAGCCTTGGGGTGAGTGAGTTGAATTTAACGCCGTTTATATCTCGACGTGTCAGCTTGATGTGGGAGGAAGGCCCGAAGTGATGCAGGTCTCAGACGTTTACCACTCTGATATAACCTACAAGCACGGGTCTGGTACTGACAAACCTAGAAACATAATCGGGGGGAATCGGGATTCAAACCCACAATCATAGGTTTCTGGTGTGCCCTAGGGAAGAGCCCTGGAGAACATGGTGGTATGTTCTAGTTACTACGGATTGTGTTGTTTGATGTAAATAAAACAGTTGGTCCACTGTTATTATAACACACATAATTTGTCAGGAAAGGAATCAGTCGTATCAGCGATCTTACATGTGTATAAATTTATGGAAATCACCAAGACTCTTTAATCAACATCGACACACCACACATCATTTGGCCTTGTCAGCAAATCGCAGTAAGCTTTTAAATCGTCACAATGTGTACAACATAATATCTGACTTGATCATTATAATTATATATGGCCCGTGAAGATCCGGGGTAGAATAGGTCTTCAGCAACCCATGCTTGCCGTAAAAGGCGACTATGCTTGTCGTAAAAGGCGACTAACGGGATCGGGTGGTCAGGCTCGCTGACTTGATTGATTCATGTTATCGATCCCAATTGCGTGGATGGATGCTCATGTTGTCAATCACTGGATTGTCTTGTCCAGACCACCGTCATATAGCTGGAATATTGCTGAGTGCGGCGTTAAACATCAAACAAACAAACTTTATATACGCCGAACAAAAATTGTTAGGGATCATGATAATTTTTTGAATTTTTGTTTTGTAACGACACACTCTGTAATTATCTCAAGGGCTCGGCAAATGTACGCTATAAATCCCTAGATCAGTCCTGTGGTTCTCGCGATCTCAAATTACCCACCCTTGGTTTTCACCATTAGCCAGTTTGATTTGCCAAAGTAGACACAATTTATGGATACCATCTTCTTTATTTTACTTTAAAGGCGACGTTTCGGTATAGATCGGATAGATCCTTATACGGTTGTCAAGCGAGGATATAATATGATTTGATTTGCTACGCCACTCAGTCTAAGGGACCAGTCAGAATGCGAGTTACAAACCAGGCTCAATGTTAGGTTGGCGATATCAACAACATGGCGACCAGTTCCATTCATTGATATAGAGTTTGCGAGAAATTCAACATTGAAAAACTGACTGACACGCAAAAGAAAGCCCTAAAAATGTGTTTGATGGATTCATTTCCATCATGACTGGCAGTGGTAAGTCCTCCTGCACACATTTACCTTTTCTTTATTTCGATGTTTGATTGGTCGCTGAAAGTCAAGGGCGGGTAATTTGAGATCGCGAAACCTCGGGAACAGATCCTGGGATTTGTGTAGGTTCACGGAAATGCAAGCTCGGGAGATATATTGGATGCTGCAATGAAGACTTCGCACACAATGTCATAAAAATGTCCCACCCCCAAGTAGTCATGATCCCTAACTTTTTTTGTCCAGTATACATTAAGATTAAACCGGACACATCAATCCAGGGGCGAGCAGGAGACATTCATCGTAAATTACCGAAGACATCATATGGAACAATGACCTTCAGTTTTCCCCAGAATGTTTGTACAACAGGGCAATTGTTCCTTCACCCTGTCTGGGTGAAGTTAAAGGCGAACGCTATCTGGCTGACAGGACCCTGGGCTGTTGCGACTAAAAGCGGCGAAGAGCTTTTAACCCACGGAACTTCCAACACGGCAATCTGACCTTGAACTTCATAATCATAGGGAACCGGAAGTGTCCACATTATGTTTTGCTGACCGTCCCCAAAGGATGTATCCAAGGCAACCAAGTAATTCGTCGCATTATAGGAAGAGTGGGGCTGAGTTTTATTAACCCGTCTTACGGCGAAAAGAAGGAGGTCAGCATGCGTTTTGGGATCTATGGCTACCATTACCCTTGACGTCACTTGTACGCTGGTGTTTAGCATGTGGGAGACGTTAGCGATTTGTTGGACCTGGCTGGAGATTTGATCGAATCCGTTAATGGTGTCGCCAAACTGCGTGACAGCCCACACTAGGCTTCCCTCGCCAAGCCTGGCCCGTTGCTTTGAGTGAGTGACTGTTGTTTTTTCGCCGTTAGGATCTGTGTCCCGGAGTTTTTGTTTCACACGAGCGTTCCATGACGAGTCCAGACCCTGTCTGCCATAGGAATCGTCATAGACCGACATATGAGAGAGGGAGAAGTTATTGCTGTACGACAAGCTCATGTTTGTACCTAGATCTTGAATACCCACCAATTTGGAAAATGAGCTTTCCAGGCAGCACTGACGATTTTCTTCCAATGTCAGCATATCACAGATCCCTGTAGGGGGCGCCACACTTGCCATCACTGTTCCAAAGAAGTATATCAAACTGGACTGTTCACTTGCCTGCTGAGACCATTGGTGACGAATCCTGTCGCTGGGATGGCGGCCCTTGTGTGAACCGCCCGTACCGGAAGTACCAGAGTTTTGATGCTTGTTTGTGTTTCCTGTACCGGTAGAAAGAATGAATTCGTCCTGAACCATTCCCACAACATCCTTAGATTCGCCATGTCGAAGTACTGGATTCCGCAAACTGTTGGTTGGTTCCCAAATATTTGTTCCACCCTTTGTTTCAGATCGTGTGAGCATGTCTAGGAGGACGGAGTTACCATCCACCTGATTAGCCGTCATATACTTCAGTCTCGTGTCGTGCTCGAGTGTGTCACGTTTGTTTCTGGAGAGACGAGACCGTTTCATTTCATCAGGGTTCCCAGGTCCTACTATCTTCTTATCACGTGAGATCTCGGACGTGGGTTTATGTTTACTACCTGCTACGTTCCCAGCGTTTTGTTTCCCTTCATCTTGGGACGATTCCGTAGATTTCTCTGGTCGCCGGCAGTTGACCTTGACCTCTAGTTCCAGGTTGAAGTACCAGACGATATCGATAGGCTGCAACAAGCGGTCCAAGAGGTCTATGGCGTACAGACGCTGCATACCCAGAGTACCTAGCTGTGGAAAATGTGGAAGAACCTGGTTTAATCTGCGACACAATATGATATCCATTAATATGCCAGTCTTTTACCTTGTCTTTATAGACAAGGGTATAGGCTCAGTTAAGCCAGGGCAGTGAGAATGTTAAGCTTGCAGTGTTTGTTTGTTGTTTAACGGCGCACTCAGCAATATTCCAGCTATATGACGGCGGTCTGTAAATAATCGAGTCTGGACAAGGCAATCCAGTGATTGATATCAAGAGCATCGATCCACACAATTAGGATACGATGACAGCTTGCAGTGAGGTCAAACAATCTTTGTCTGATGAGATGCTCCCCGAGGCTCTCTGAGGCAGTGGGGTAGGGTAGGAAGGGAGGGACAGGTAAGCTGTAGTGTGTGCTGTGTGAGGGGTAGGGGAGGGGAAGGACAAGCTAAGCTGTAGGGGCGGGTACAGTCGCCGTTGACAGCCGTTAAATGAGTAGAAAGCAGTTTAACGAGGCGGTTGCTTGTACAGATAGAATAGATTCGCAATCACGTACAAATGAAAAAATAATAATGCCGTGGCTACTGAAACAATAATTTATTTAAGAAGAAACAATTGAATGTATTCATACGACGTGTGGCACAAATAACCGTTCTCTAATGTATTCAGTTGTCATGTATATGTTATTTTAGCGGAAACCAAATGCATACACACCGGTCATATTTCTACCAGTTCCGACAAGCGTCTCATAGGATGCGCTCACAAAACTGATTTGGCCTTCAACCATAAAGGAATCAGGTAATGCAGTATTCCACATCACTGTTGGTGCTTTGTGAGAAGACAGAACTCCTTGCAGCGTCACAAGGTGTTGGGAGTACATCAGAGCGGTGGTATTTGCAATGCTCAATGAGAGCATGAGAACAAACCTGTCGGCAGTGTCGATGTGTACCATTAGTCTTGAGGATAGCCTGACGTGTTTTACATTCAGTAAGGCATTTAAAGTAATATTCATGAACATGCTTTTAGTTTTCGGGTTAAGTGCTGAAATAACAGAACCCCGTTGCTGAGCAACCCAGACGACTGGCATCTGAACGTTGTCGTCATGACAAAACGTGACGTCATCGTAAACAGCAAAATTTGATGGTGGATAACTGGATGTATGCACTATGGTTCCTTTGGAACCGTCTTCTCTAACGGCCAGCAACGTCGAAACGGCGCCACAATCACCACCACGCCCATCAACCCCCGACAGGCTGATGTAGATGGTGCTGTGATAATACAACAGCACATTTTCAGAACCACCATCTGTGTCATGAGAGTCGGCATCAGATGCGAATGTGGCCCTTCCTGTTCCAACGTTCACGCTCCATACCACGCGCATGCGCTCTAATTCACTGACCCGGATGTCGACAGAATATAAGCGCTGCATTCTCACAATCTGAAAACGGACAAAGGAAGTGATTGAAGCCAAGCATTGTGAGATACACTGGTGCAGGACACGGCGGGTGAAGGAGGGGTCGACCTTGACCATACTCGAGTATTAAGGAATTCTTAAGACTTTTAATTGAAATGTGGAGAAGGGATGAGTATAGGCTGCTAGAGTGGAGAAGGGGATAGGTTTAGGCTGCTGGAGCTGACGGGATGGGTGTAGGCCTGCTAGAGTTGAGAAGGGGATGAGCATAGGCTGCTAGAGTTGAGAAGGGGATGAGTACAGGATGCCAGAGCTGAGAAGCGGATGCGTATAGGTTGCTGGAGCTGAGAGGGTTGGTTGGTTGGTTTGTTGCTTAACGCATCACTCAGCAGTATTCCAGCTATACGACGGCGGTCTGTAAATAATCGAGTCTGGACCAGACAATCCAGTGATTAATATCATGAGCATCGATCCACGCAATTGGGATTGACGACATGTATCAACCAAGTCAGCGAGCCTGACCACCCGATCCTGACAAGCATAGTGGCCTTTTACGGCAAGACTGGGTTGCTGAAGATCTGTTCTACCCCGGATCTTCACGGTTCGACGCCGCAATGAAGAGAAGGGGATGGGTATAGGCTGGTAGAGCGGAGGGAATGAGTATAGGCTGTTGGAGCTGAGGGGATGAGTATAGACTGTTGGAGCTGAGGGGGTGGGTATAGGATGCTACAGCTGAGAAGAGGATGAGTATATGTTGCTAGACTTAAGGAGGGGATGAGTATAGGCTACTACAACCGAGAAGGGGGTTGGTATGGGATGCTATAGCTGGGAAGGGGATAAGTTTAGGCTGCTGGAGCTGACGGGGTGGGTGTAGGCTGCTAGAGTTGAGAAGGGGATGTGCATAGGCTGCTAGAGTTGAGAAGAGGATAGGTTTAGGCTGCTGGAGCTGACGGGGTGGGTGTAGGCTGCTAGAGTTGAGAAGGGGATGTGCATAGGCTGCTAGAGTTGAGAAGAGGATAGGTTTAGGCTGCTGGAGCTGACGGGGTGGGTGTAGGCTGCTAGAGTTGAGAAGGGGATGTGCATAGGCTACTTGAGGTGAGAACGGGATGAGTACAGGATGCCAGAGCTGAGGGGTTGGGTGTAGGTTACTAGAGCTGAGAAGAGGATGAGTATAGGCTGGTAGAGCTGAGAAGGGGATAAGTTTAGGCTGCTGGAGCTGAGGGGTTGGGTATAGGCTGCTAGAGCTGGGAAGGGGATGGGAATTGGCTGCTGGACCTGAGAAAGGGATGAGAATAGGCTGCTGGAACTGTGAAGGGGCGTTTAACAAGAAACAAACTAACCAACAAAACAGATGTCCCTGCGTGCCACCAGGGCCTCCCTACCTTTTCTTGGGGTATAGCTGCATCCTGGGGGTCGGGCTGGAACTGGGTGAGGATGTAGGCGCGGCTCCCCCGCATGATGGGCTGGGCGATGGGATGAAAGATCCCGTTGTACATCTCAACGTTTCCCCGTAGCACCAGGGACGCCAGGGGGATTCCATCTGGGGAAATTACGGAATGGTTTATTGGTGCTGTCGAAGGCAATATCATTTCAGACACGAGTGTTTTAACACTTAAAAAAACTACGAGAAAAGGTAACAGACCGGTATACCTAAATAAACATGTTTTTTGATGTGATCAGATCAGATTTCCCTTATCGTTCAAGGTAGGTATATACATATATGTACAAGCAAAGACGTGAAAAGATGTTGTATATACGTCCGTGGTACAAGCCATCACATCGATTATAATATCTGTTCTTCCTCTTCATCACTTTTTCTAACAAATTATTGTGTGATGGCTTTCTTGTCACGAGCGTGTATCAGCGTCCGTATAAACTAACATATAGTGTAAGAAATCAGGGGCGGTCGGGTAGCCTAGTGGTTAAAGCGTTCGCTCGTCACGCCGAAGCCCCGGATTCGATTCCCGACATGGGTACAATGTGTGAAGCCCGTTTCTAGTGTCCCCCGCCGTGATATTGCTGAAAGCGGCGTAAAACCACACTCACTCACTCTATGAAATTATTTATTACACAATACATTTCTATCCTAAATAGGGGCGGTCGGGTAGACTAGTGGTTAAAGCGTTCGCTCGTCACGCCAAAGACCCGGGTTCGATTCCCGACATGGGTACAATGTGTGAAGCCTATTTCTGGTGTCCCCCGCCGTGATATTGCTGGAATATTGCAAAAAGCGGCGTAAAACCCTACTCACTCACTCACTATCCTAAATATGTTTCTCCTGGTGCTGATTTCATAGACTGTATACAAGAGTTGGCTAGACTTGCTATACATAATCTGGTTGTGTTTTCATAAAAGACATGCAATATAGGATACGACTGATTTATGTCCCGTCATCAGTCTCATGTCGGAATGTGTGGCATCTCTGTTTTCTTAACTTATTTTCGAACCCTCGATATACCGCTGTCGTCGGGGTTCACTGTATTATTCAAACATGTCAACTATTCCCAGATGTAATACAAATCCCCTTCAGGATAATAAAGTATTGTATTATCTATGTTTCTTATGTGTCAGGGGCGCCCACTCTCCTGTGCGGCCAGCATAGAATCTCTGCCACAGGCCAGCGCCATGTGACGATACGTCACATCTTTCACAGTCCGTTCAAGATATTGCATATGTTGACTTTATATCTGTTTCATTTTTTACATCTAAATAAACATATGTCAGAGAATGGTTAATTTGCATTGAGAAAATATCATACAATGTGAAAAACTATTTTCATTTGCGTTGTTATCCTTTGTTTACATTGGTTGTAAGGATCCACGTGGTGTCATCGAAGCCCTACGGAGAGCCAGCGATACGGGCACTTTGATGTATAGATATGTATTGTCATGCAACTCACTGTCGCAGTTGTAGAAGCATATCGATATAATTATACAATACCATATGAAAAACGCCCCAAATACTTGCATTATGCTAATCTGTTCTGATTTCAGAATAAGCGCGTTTGTTTACGAACAAGAGAAAAGTCCGGTTACGTGATATGCAAATAGCCTGTGGCAGTGGTGTTATGCTAAGTCACCACAGCGATGGGCGTGTGTAAAGCACCGCAATCCGCCGTACAGAGTTGCGTCCCTTAGGCACACCAGAAACCTATGACTGGGTTCCCGGTTCGCCCTGATAAACGTCTGAAACTCTGCATCACTTCCTCTCACATTAAGCTGACGTGGTATAACTGGAACACTGTTTAAATCAGCGTTAAACCCAACTCACTCATCCACTCACTCTTCTCATGTGTAGGTAATTCACTCTCCTACCCAGAGTTCCATGCGGCCGGCAGCCAGCTAGCATAGTACCTCTGCCACAAGCCAGCGCCCTGTGACGATTCGTCACATCTTTCACAGTCCATTCAAGATATTGCATATGCTTTTCATTCGTTTCATGTTTGACAAGTCTACACATTTTCATAAACAAATTTTAAAGAATGGTTAACTTTCATTGAGAAAGTATGCTAATACGTAAAAATCTACTTGTTTTTGCGTAGTTATCCTATGTTTACATTGGTTGTAGGGCTCCGCGTGCTGTCATCGAAGCCCAACGGAGAGCTAGCAACACGGTCGCTTTGATGCATAAATATATATTGTCATGCAACTCACTGTCGCATTTGTAGTAGAATATCTATATAGTTATGCAAAACAATATGTAAAGCGCCCCCAAATACTTGCATTAGTCCGTTCTATACTGATTTCTGAAAAAAGCGCGTTTGTTTACAAACAAGAGAAAAGTCCGGTCACGTAATATGCAAATTAGCCTGTGGCAGTGGTGTTATGCTGAGTCACCACTGCGACGGAGTGTGTAGGTAATTAAGTAGTTCAGTTCGTTACCAATGACATATGGCTGAAATAAAGTGCAAGGTCACACTAAATCCTTATTCAGAAAATCTACCATCCAACGGTATTCCATCAGCTTATGAACAATACTGAAAAAAAGTTATGGATATGAATATTTTGGGTGATATATTTTGAAGTGAAGACTGAGCATAAACTTTCATAAAAATATCCCACTAAATATTCATGATCCCCAACTTCTCTTGTCAGAGAAATATGTCAAGTTTTAAAGAAGTAGATATTATCCGAGTATGTTCTGTATCGTAAATATTATATTTTAGGAATGAAAATGTAAATACAGGGGAAGAAATAATAGGAGTTTTTTTAACTTCAAGAACGAATTGAATACATGAGTCAGCCGTCCCCCTTTAATATTAGATAGTATGAAATGATTAGTTCATTCAGTAGTATGGGCACATGGCTTAAAGTACAGTTTGTCGTCCCACCCAAAGCCGTACCCAAATATTCCCAAACACCTTATGTAAACCAGTATTAATAATTTTACTTTAACAACCAAATTAACATGCTAACATGGTAGTGATTGCGTATTCAAAGTGTCATCAGATGCCACCCCCAGACCCCCCCCCCATCCTTATTTTAATACTTGAGTGCTGACGGTTGATGTGAAATACCAAAACTCTAAACTGAGGATATCAAGTGACATGCTCCAGGCAGTTCACATTACATTACGTGAAGGCAGACTTGACAACCGAGGGAGAGTAGGGGAAAGGGTTGGGGTGGGTGGGGGTGGAAACTCACTCGGTACTGGGGGGTGCTGTGAGGGAGGGGGGGGGGGGGGGGGGGGTGCTGTGAGGGGGGAGGGGGCGCGATTAGTTCAGGTCAGGAAATGGTCGTAAGTGTCAGCCTAAGGAATGGAGATGTTTATCGTGATATTCTGTCATTTAGATTCCGAGATGTGGTGATGTTCATGTGTTATAGATGCTGGATTTACAACAACCCGCGCTGGCTTGCCACCTCGTGAGGGAGGTGGAGGTGGGGGTGGGGTGGGGTGGGGGTGGGGGTGGGAGTGGGGGTTTAGGTGTTTGTACTGGGACAGCAGCGTGTCTGACATATAGCAGATCCACACACCGGCTTCGAACTGTCTCATTCATTTAATAGTCCGAAAACAATTAACACTTGCCACATGAAAAAGATATGCTTATTGCTCCCCTGAAACAAGTAATGTGTTTGCTAGTAGAGAAATTAGTAGAGAAATTTGTTTGTTGTTTAACGCCGCACTCAGCAATATTCCAGCTATGTGACGGCGGTCTTAGTCTGTAAACAATCGAGTCTGGACAACACAATCTAGTGATTGATATCAGGAGCATCGGTCCACGCATTTGGGATTCGATGACATGCACCAACTAAGTCAGCGAGGCTGACCACCCGATCCCGTTAGTCGCCTCTGACGACAAGCATGGGTTTCTGAAGACCTATACTAACCCGGATCTTCACGGGTTTCGCAAATAGGCGAGCATATCCTACGCCAAGGTGGCACCAATGTTTAATGGTGACTAAAAGGAAGCCAACAAGAAATAGTTATATTCGATGGTGATGTAGTTCATATAGGTATCATAGTTGTGTTTTCGACCTTTAGGTTGCAGTGTTTCGGCGACTGTTTTCAGACTAGTAACGTTTTGATAACGTTTTTAATATTTAGTCAAATCCAATTTACTTTTGCAGAGCAGTTTATAAAGTCTTGAAATCTTATATACTACTCAAAAGAAGTTAAGGATCACCTGTTTCTTTCATATTACTATAGTTAATCTCTCATGTCATGACAGATTAACTTTACCATTATGAAAGAATCGGGTGATCCTTAACTTCTTTTGAGTAGTATATTACACAATGCATTTCTCTCCTTGCGTCTATTTTTGTAATGAATACTGATTTCATGTAGACTTTTATTACACAATACATTTCCTTTCATCAGAAAGTATATTTTCTTGTGCTGATGTTGTTTTCAGCTAGCTTGACTAGCCTTGTTAATAATCTTGAATGGGTTGATTGAATTAAACTAAATGCAGATATCCTACAGGTTTTGAGGTGATAAAACACATATTTCATAGTCGAGGTGCCTGACTACACAAACTCATATAATTAGTGAGATGTTGACTTTTTATAAAAGTGATGATTGATGAATAAAGTAAGTACAACCACAGGAATTATGCGATTTAATAAATATGTTTGTGAGGTTTCATATATATTTCCCGTTAGGACATGTAGCAATTGTAGCGTTCATGTATTTGTTTTATAAAACATGAGGCCAAAGAATTTTCAGGAACCAGTTATATTTTTATATATAGTGTAACATGGTCTGTCTCAGACAGAGACCGCCTCCGTCGTCTAGTGGTAGAGCGTCCGCTCGTATAGCGAAGGTCCGAGGTTCGATCCCCGGATGCGTCATAAATACGTTAAAAGATGGTACTTGTTGTTACCCTGTCTGGCGCTCGGCATTAAGGGGCTAAAACAAGGACTGGTCTGCTGGGAGTCAGCATACTGTGTCTGAGTGTGGTATTCATGTTAAACTGCGGCATGGCATCGCAGTGGGCGTGCGCTATAAACTCGGCATTAGCCCGGACTAGTACGAGCAGCCACCCAACACACGCACGCACGCACGCACGCACGCACGCACACACTGGTCGCTGTATAAGTGTAATAATCGTGGACACGACGTTAAATCTCACCTCACCTCACCTCACCTCACCTCACCTCAGAGACAGAATATTGACTCACTTGCGAGATAGGCGACGACCTCCCCCGTCTGAGACACGATCAACAAGATGTTCCCATCTCCGAATTCCAGACTGAAACAGAACAATGGTGGTGAGTGGATTGGGTTCTGCGCCGCTTTGAATGTATTTCAGTTGTATCACAGTTGAATAAGGGTGGCAGTCTGATGGGAGCCGGTCCACTTTGGTGAAACCCTAGTCTGTCTCACGGTCCCAGACTAATATCTAGTCTTTGATATGATCATATTTTACGACACAAATAGTTGTTAAATTATAGTTATGAAATATAATAAAAAGGAGCCCACTCTCTTCTGATACTGCAGAAATCTAGACTTGCTATTTTATTCATTTATATTTGTTTCAGGGTCTGTATGACAGACTAGCACAGTCCCTGAACCATATTATATTCCCTTCCGCCCAACCCTTACTGTAGTTGTATGACTCTAACCGAAGCAAGTCTAGATTTCCACAGTCTTTGTATCTCCCATCTCCCTTTTCAATGTAAATGGAGTTGTTTGTTTTTTATCAGAATATATATTTTCAGAGACTAAGCGTTAGACTAGTGAAATCCACGATCAAGGATATGATGCCGACTGAACTGGATAATGACCAGGAACAGGAATCATTGGATTCTGGCAGGTCTAAGGGACGCAACCATGTACAGCAAATAAGACGACTGGGCCACTCGCGTGCCCCACGGACAGTTGTAGCTGTAAGTCACTGAGCGGCTGGTGGTCTGTTTGATAGAGGTATGTGACCCTGAGTTGTGTAAGTCACTGAGCGACTGTTGGTCTGTTTGATAGAGGTATGTGACCCTGGGTTACGCAAGTCACTGAGCGACTGGTGGTCTGTTTGATAGAGGTATGTGACCCTGAGTTACGCAAGTCACTGAGCGACTGGTGGTCTGTTTGATAGAGGTATGTGACCCTGGGTTCTGTAAATCACTGAGCGACTGGTGGCCTGTTTGATAGAGGGATGTGACCCTGAGTTACGCAAGTCACTGAGCGACTGGTGGTCTGTTTGATTGAGGAATGTGACCCTGAGTTCTGTAAGTCACTGAGCGGCTGTTGGTCTGTTTGATAGAGGTATGTGACCCTGAGTTACGCAAGTCACTGAGCGACTGGTGGTTTGTTTGATAGAGGTATGTGACCCTGAGTTCTGTAAGTCACTGAGCGACTGGTGGTCTGTTTGATAGAGGTATGTGACCCTGAGTTCTGTAAGTCACTGAACGACTGTTGGTCTGTTTGACTGTTGGTCTCAGTTACGCAAGTCGCTGAGCGACTGGTGGTCTGTCTTCTAGGGGATGTGACCAAGAGTAATGCAAGTCACTGATAGACTGGTGGTTTGTTTGATAGAGGATGTGATCCTGAGATATGTAAGTCACTGAGCGACTGGTGGTCTGTGTTCTAGGGGATGTGACCCTGAGTTGTGTAAGTCACTGAGCGTCTGTTTGATCGAGGTAGGTGACCCTCAGTTACGCAAGTCACTGATCGACCTGTGGTCTGTGTTCTAGGGGATGTGACCCTGAGTTACGCAAGTCACTGATCGACCTGTGGTCTGTGTTCTCGGGGATGTGACCCTGAGTTACGCAAGTCACTGATCGACCTGTGGTCTGTGTTCTCGGGGATGTGACCCTGAGTTCTGTAAGTCACTGATCGACCTGTGGTCTGTGTTCTCGGGGATGTGACCCTGAGTTACGCAAGCCACTGATCGACCTGTGGTCTGTGTTCTCGGGGATGTGACCCTGAGTTACGCAAGCCACTGATCGACCTGTGGTCTGTGTTCTCGGGGATGTGACCCTGAGTTACGCAAGTCACTGATCGACCTGTGGTCTGTGTTCTCGGGGATGTGACCCTGAGTTACGCAAGTCACTGATCGACCTGTGGTCTGTGTTCTCGGGGATGTGACCCTGAGTTCTGTAAGTCACTGATCGACCTGTGGTCTGTGTTCTCGGGGATGTGACCCTGAGTTCTGTAAGTCACTGATCGACCTGTGGTCTGTGTTCTCGGGGATGTGACCCTGAGTTACGCAAGCCACTGATCGACCTGTGGTCTGTGTTCTAGGGGACGTGACCAATATTTGTTAAGCTCGGGCGTTTTGGATGTGACCCAGAGTTCTGCAAGTGACCCTGAGTTATCCAAATCACTGAGAATCACAATGTCCTGGGAATAATGCAAGGGTTTTTCTATGATTTCAAACCGTGTTAGTGACAGCAAATTTCAAATCTCTCATTCACAGTTAGTGGATGCCATCGTCACTATAATACCTGAAAACAGGTGTCATGGGAGGGTCCAGGGGAATAAGTGGTTTCTCCACCGTGCCGTCGCCGTCGACCTTCGTGAGGTATCTGCCGTCGCTGCCGATGATGTCGCCACTGATGTCCATGATGGGGAGCGAGGGGTTCACCAAGCTGGAGTCTCTCCACAGCACCTTCCCGGTGTCTCCGTCAACCCCCACGTAGCCACTGCAACGACACACATAAAACGAGTTAAGTACCTTTAGCGAAAGTAAAGGTATCAAATACTAGTAACACAACTCTGTGAGGTTTTGTTGTTGTTGTTGTTGTTGTTGTTGTTGTTTAACGCCGCACTAAATGTTCCACTTAATGTGCTGGTGGTCTGTAGACTGTAATCATAATTTCTAGATTATTTATAGTAAGAGCAAGTTGTCTCCTAAATAGACCCGCGTCTTTAGACTTGTCTTTTACAAGGATAGAATTACTACACATCCATTGATTTATCTTTCAGTACAGCCTTGGAGCAAGGTTAGGTGGTCTGTTCGACACGAGTCTGGACCAGATAGTCCAGAGCAACGATCCACGCCGTCAGGGTACGATGATACGCTTTGTTTGTTTGTTTATTTGCTATTTAACTGTTTAAGTCAAAGATCACGGCTCATTTGTGTATTCGTCAGTTAACCCATTGGAAAGCTGTCACACGTTTTCTTTTCTTTTGTTGTTTGACGCCACAATCAGAAATATTCCAGCTATATGACGGCGGCCTGTAAATAATCGAGTCTGGACCAGGCAATCCAGTGATTTACATCATTAGCATCGATCTACGCAGCTGGGATACGATGACACGCATCAACCATAGCAGCGAGCCTGCAATTCATCAATTAGCCTTCAAAAATTGCCAACCCACCTGTCCATTTGGTCGTCTTTTACGACTAGCGTATGTTTCTGGCGACCAAATCATTCTGGCCCGGAACCTCTAAATGGTAACCCCACCACACCCCACCCCACCACACCCCACCTCACCCCACCCCGCCCCGCCCCACCGCACCACATCGACATGTTTTATGGGGTGTTAAGCCATTATGCCACCAGGTGTTCCAAGTTGTATTTGAGACGTGCACAACAAAGACGAATGCAGATGCAGTCACATTGTAGTGCAATATGATTGGACGTCTATTTTTAGCGTTATGCTAAAATGAAGTTTGGCTGGCGAAGAAGGACCAGAGTATTCAAAATAGAATAGTGTTAATACTTATTATAATCGAGGACAGAACCAAAATGGGATCAAATGATCCAAAGCTGACACCGATGGTGTTGGATTTTTGAACCTTCTGCTTTGTCTGAGCCAATTCCAAAACACAGATATGTTTGATCGCTCAACACTCCAACGGCAGCGCCCTTAGATGTGAGGCTGGCAAGTTGACCTGTGACCTCACGCGAGAACAGATCCCACTGCAAGGTGTTGACTAGACTAACATCTAGCCTCTGAAATAAACATAATTTTACAGAAAAAACAGTTGTTAAATTCTAGTTATAAAATATAATAAAATGGAGACCAGGGACTTTCTTCAGAGACTAAACAAATCTGCAGAGCTATAAATGCTTGGAATTTCACAGCACGTGTAAAATATTATAGACTTGCACGGGATGCATTGGATATATTTGTTTCAAGGTCTGTGACAGACGAGGTGTTTACAAACGCCCCCAGCATCACGATTTTGTTTCCATGTTAAACTCTCTATATAAATTGCTAGTATAGAAAGGCAGCATTAGGACATTCATAAGATGCTGTGTTAAAACAACAGAAATACGCACAATTTTGAATACCAGTGTGTGAATATGGTTTAACGTCGCTTTTAGTAGTAATCCTGAAATATGAAAAGACACTAGGAACGCGCCTAATGCTTTTTACCCATATGGGGAATCGAACCCACATCTCATGCGTGGCTAACGATCTACCCACTAATTTACCCCGCAAGTTGTGTCACTGAAAGGGAAAACATGTGTAGACGTCTGGTTCAGTGAGCCGATGGCCCTCTGATAAGTGCAAGATAAAAATCTCAAGGACAAAACTTGATACCAGTTCAATATGGCCTGTCTATATCATACAAACGACCAACAAAACTATCTTAAAAGAGACTTGCTCCAATGTCAGATGCACCGGTCTGAAAATACAACAGAATCTGTAATGTGGTCACTTGTGTAGAACTTCGTCGATTCGGACATCAAGCACGTACTTGGGTAGCCTGGCATTTAGTCCCGGAAATAAAGTCATCTTATTCAAGTATATATTTACAAAATAACAAAAGTAAAATCCAAATGGAGCCCAGACAAATGCTTAATTACCTGGAGCTGATGCAATCGAGACTTACCCAATTATTCTAGATTTGTGTTGGACTTCTTTTTTAATTTATTCTCTAGGGCCTCTAGGGTTGCCCATGGAGGTTAACGGGTTGAATGAGTGAATGGGTGAATGGGTGAATGGGTGAATGAGTGAATGGGTTTGGTTTAACGACGCCTGTGGCAATATCTGACATATATGGCGAGACAGCGAAAGAAAAACTACAGTGACGCTGAGGATCACAATCAGGGTGAATCATGACGCTTAATGAGTGACGTTGCTTTCAACAGCACGGTTGATGATGAACTTATTGAAAGCCCGAAGTGATGAAGGTCTCAGACATTTACCACTTTGGTGAAACCCACGAGCACGGGTATGGTGCTGACAAACCTAGAAACATAATCGGGGCGAACCGGGATTCGGTCCCACAATCATAGGTTTCTGGCGTGCCCAAGGGACGCAACTCTGCACAGCGAATCGCGGCGCCTTAGACGACTGGGCCACCCGTGCCCCCATGTTGGGACAGACAGACCTGTGATCCTAAATCTTAGTGTCGACCCACGTTGTCAAGGACACGGCATCATACCTCGTCTAACGCGGTGACCAGTACGGAACTACGAACGTTCTCATGAATTACGAATTACAAAATCAACATCTTGTGCATGAAACAAGAGTCATTACGAATGTTGCTACCCACTTTTGCGACGGGCAGACGACATATCTATCGTTACTGACGCAGCCAAGCAGACGACTTCCGGTTCCTGATGAATTTGACAGTTGTGCCGTCCAGACGACCTTGACCCCTGACCTTGGAATCCCTGATGGCGTCAAAAGAGAGAAGGACCCCGTGGGTGTGCACCCGTATGACGGGCAGCCGGACACAGGTTGAGAGACCACGCTCCGGACACACACGCAGACGGTGACCACGGCGCTGTACAGGAGTAACATGGCCCAACTTTCGCTGACCGATATAGATGTGTGTTGCCTCCTGCTGAATGTCCTTTATCACTCCCTTGTCATTTGACTCATCTGATACGTGCCAATTGAGGTCACCTGAGAGTGATATCAATTGCGGACGATTAAAGACCTCAACGACAATGTCGGTGAGAACAGGTGTACTACTAATGCATACGGCAGGCTTATTTAAGCCAGTCAGCATGTGTACGGTTGTACACTCTGTACAGTCACAAGTAACGATGCTGATAACGCTGGACAGGTTGAAGTGCATCAACAGTGTTGATGAGACGAGCGTACTATCCGCATTTCACGTGTCCAGATGATGCACGACCTTGCCTTAAACCGTTGGCGGGTCGCCATGAAATGGTCAATAATTGTGCATGAATTGTCCACTGATCAGCCTACTGTTGGATGGGTCAGATTGTACACCAGCTACTGTTGGGAGGGTCTGACTGTACACAGATACTGTTGGATGGGTCAGATTGTACACCAGCTACTGTTGGGAGGGTCTGACTGTACACAGATACTGTTGGATGGGTCAGATTGTACAGCAGCCAGTGTTTGGAGGGTTTGACTGTACACAGATACTGTTGGATGGGTCAGATTGTACAGCAGCCACTGTTTGGAGGGTATGACTGTACAAAGCCACTGTTCGGAGGGTTTGACTGTACACTAGTTTCTGTTGTGTGGGTCGGACTGTACACCAGCTACAGCTGAGTAGGAATGACTGTACACTAGTTTCTGTTGTGTGGGTCGGACTGTACAGAAGGAAGGGTCTCACTGTTCTGATAGGGTCGGATGTTGGGTACATTGTGGAGATGTTGTCAGATATTCTGAAACAATTTATAAATCCTGATTGTCAATTATCAAATATTTTATTTTTTTCATAGTGTTTAATTTGTCGATTATTATGTATTTATTCTTTTATAAAGTTTCAAATGACAGGCATATTTATTGGCCCTCTCCGTGGAGTCTGAACAGTGCATGCTTCTGTCATCACTACATCTCATCGCCGGTTCCTTGGAAAATAGTGAGTGGGATGTATACGGTATCACGTTGCATAGTGATGTGAAGAGGCGGCGCGTGGGACTTAGTCTGTCACACAGACCCTGATACAAATATATCGAAAACAGCCCATGCAAGTCTATAATGTTTCGCAAGTCTAGATTACTGCAGTATGAAGAGTGTCTCTGGGCTTCTTTTTATTAAGATAATATTACAACTTTTTTTCTGTAAGATATGTTCATTTCAGAGACAAGATGTTAGTCAAGACCATCCCGTACCACATGAGTTATCGACCCAACCCAATTTCTTTACAACAGAACGTCGGCGGTTTCATATAAAACAAGAGTCATATGTTGAAATGTGTAGGCATGGACAACTAGAGTCTGTCTTACAGACCCTGATACAAATATATATCAAATACAACCCATGCAAGTCTATAATGTTTGGCAAGTCTAGATTACTGCAGTACCAGAAAATGAAGAGAGTCTCTGGGCTCCCTTTTATTATATTTTTATTAACATAATTGAACAAATGTTTTTTTTCTGTACGATATGTTCTTTTCAGAGACTAGATGTTAGTCTAAGACAGCTAGACTAACGCTTAGTATCAGAAAAAATATACATGTGGTAGAAAGAAACAAGTTCATTTAAATTGAAAAGGAGCCTCAGTGAGATGGGAGATTCAGACCCGAACCTGTGGAAAATCTAGACTTGCTTTATTACAGGAGGGGATGGAGGGGGTTACGGGAGGAAAATAATATTGTTCAGGGAGTGTGAGACAGACTAGTAAGACAACTAATAGACAGGAAATCGTGGCACAGCTGTGATATGAACTTGCTCTTTCGATTACTTCGGGCAATCATTGTTTACATGTCTATGAGGACGTTCCTGTCTTTAAAGACCGAGAACGGTGGAATTTGCCTCCAATTGTTGCTAATAGTTTATGAAAATGTATATGACAGGGAGACGGGAGCTTTCCGATCTACTGATAAGGGCGCGAGGACTCGGATGGCTGGAATGACCTCTTTGTTAATAAACAGTCAGAGTGGGAACTAGACTTGCACAAGTCTCTAATTTAAAAACTATCAATTTAAGTCATAATTTCAAGATTATATAAATAATAAGAACAAGTTATCCCTCCAAGAGACTGGCGTCATTAGACTGTCCCGTATCTAGACTTTCCTATTACAACTATAAGGATGGAATTACTTACACACCTGGGCACACTTGCACAAAGCGATCTTAGCGCTAAGATGATTGTAACTCCCATCCTTTTACATAGGCTTACAATAGTTGTAGTGCTAAGATCGCTTTGTGCAAGTGGGCCCTGGACTTATCATTCGGTGCAGCCTTGGAGCTTCCATGCGCAAGCCTCGCTCCACGCTCTGTAGTTAGCCTTGCTCCAAGGCTCCATTGAATGATAAGTGCATGTGTGTATAGTAAGTTCTATCCTTATAATAGGCAAGTCTAGATAAAGGTTGGTTGGTTGGTTTGTTGTTTAACGCCGCACTCAGTAATATTCCAGCTATATGACGGCGGTCTGTAAATAATCGAGTCTGGACCATACAATCCACTGATTAATATCATGAGCATCGATCCACGCAATTGGGACATGTATCAACCAAGTCAGCGAGCCTGACCACCCGATCCCGTTAGTCGCCTTTTACGACAAGCATAGTCACCTTTTACGGCAAGCATGGGTTGCTGAAGACCTATTCTACCCCGGAATCTTCACGGGTCTCTAGATAAAGGGACAGCCTAAGGACGCAAGTCTTTTATAGGGACAACTTGTTCTTATTATTAATATAATCTTCCGTGACGTCATTGTATTGTTTAAACGCTCCATTATTTTTCAGGAATGGCGAGTTGATTGTCAAGTATAGATTATCTTGAATCAACATTTCAATTAATTTGCACTTGGAATTGAAGGAACTATTTTTTAAATATTTCGACAAGTGAATGATTTCAAATTTTGTCGGAAAACATGTGTCGCCAGCGGGGTTCGAACCTGCATCGTCAGATTTGTGGACATGAGATTGTCGACCACAGCTACGGCGACACCTGAAGGTATGGTGTGACATTAACTATATAAAAAAACATATATATCCTTGCTCTGGGCTCGATATTTCCTATAATCCTGTCAGCATGTGTATTTACAATGTGCAAGCGATTGATAAATTATTCGTCTTGGTCCCCACGAAATCATGAAGAGCCATGCATTGTAAATATCAGCTCGCGACGGAGCTTAGTGCACGTGCAACGGCGACAGAGAACGCATTCCTCGTGCATCACCGCAAGGGCGTCTCACACGGTATAAACACAGTCTACAAAGAATCCAAGTTTATTTTTCAAAATATTTCCACTAGAGAAAATATTTTGTCAAACTGTAAAAGTAGGAAAGCGTTTTAAGTGGTCGAATATCCTCTACATAGTGTTTAATAATGTATAGCAGTTACATTATTACAGTTACACTATTACAGGTACATTATTACACTATTACAGTTACATTATTACACTATTACAGGTACATTACACTATAACAGAAACAGTATTACACTATTACAGGTTACCGTACATTATTACACTATTACAGAAACATTATTACACTATTACAGAAACATTATTACACTATTACAGGTACATTATTACACTATTACAGTTACATTATTACACTATTACAGGTACATTATAACATTATTACAGCTACAGTATTACATTATTACAGTTACATTATTACATGTTCATTATTACACGATTACAGGTACATTATTACACTATTACAGTTACATTGTAACATCATTACACTTACATTATCAACCAGTGAAGATTCCGGGGTAGAATAGGTCTTCAGCAACCCATACTTGCTGTTAAAGGTGACTATGCATGTCGTAAAAGGCGACTAACGGGATCGGGTGGTCAGGCTCGCTGACTTGGTTGATGCATGTCATCGATCCCAATTGCGTGGATCGATGCTCATGATATTAATCAGTGGATTGTCTGGTCCAGACACGATTATTTACAGACCGCCGTCATATAGCTGGAATATTGCTGAGTGCAGCGTAAAACAACCAACCGACCAACCAACCAACTTACATTATTACACTATTACAGGTGCATTATTACACCATCACAGGTACATTATTACACTATTACAGTTACATTATTACACTATTACAGGTATATTACAACATCATTACAGTTGCAGGATTACATTATTACAGTTACATTATTACACTATTACATGTTCATTATTACACTATTACAGTTACATTGTAACATTATTACACTATTAAAGGTGCATTATTACACTATTACAGGTACATTATTACACTATTCAAGTTACATTATAACATTATTACAGTTACAGTATTACACTATTACAGGTACATTATTGCAGTTACATTATTACATTATTAAAATTACATAATTACAGTTACATTATTACCTTATTAGTTACGTTGTTACAGGTACATTATTACACTATTGCAGTAACGTCATTACAGTTACATTATAACATTATTACAGTTATATTATTACACTATTACAGCTACATTATTACACTAATACATTATTCCAGTTACATTATTACACTATTACAGTTAAATTATCACGTTATTAAGGTACATTATTACAGTTACATTACTACATTATTACAGTTATATTATAACATTATTACAGTGACATTACTACATTATTACAGTCATATTATTACAGTGGCGTGTCAGTTTCATATGGGAGGATGGCGGGTCCAACGTGACGAAGGTCGCATTCACTGGTTATAACCAAGGGAGTAGTCGTTTAATTAACACGTTACGGAAAGCCACGAGAACGGGTAAAAATTTGACGATCACAATCTGGATTCGACCAGCGGATGCCGACGTGTAAGGGAGCGGGGTTATATTTTGAACAATAACAATAAACATACATCTTCAAGCCATGATAAGATAATAAGATAAGATAAGATAATATTTATTGCAGAAACGTTCCATTACGGGACAGATGCAATTTTAAAAGACAAGACATTATGATTTATATATACATATATACAGACATACATAATTTACATTCCTGTAGACA